TAAGTAAAAACTCGCTAAAGAGCCTACTTAGAAAAAATAGGTAGAAAAGAAAGTAGAAAAGGTATAGTAAACTTAGTAAACTTAGTAAAATTAGTAACCTTAGAAGGAAGAGTTTATAAATTAAGTGAGCTTCGCTACTACCCTTAAGCCCTATACTATATAGTAGGGGGGGCTAGTATAAAACTATAAATATACCCTCTCTCTTACTAAAAATAGAGAACCTATCTTAAAAGATAGATAGATCCTTAATATAGGATCTAGTACCTATATCTATAATAATAGAGACCTTTTTATCGACTTTATACCTTAGATCTCGGATCTTACGATAGGAGATAGCACTACCTAGGTACTAGGAAAGGGGAAGGTTAGACTAGTAGGTAGATATCTAATAAAAGGTAAAATAGAGATTATACTTAGTGATACCCTCTATTCCCCTAGTTTCTATATAAACCTAGTATCCTATTCTATACTAAAAAAGAAGGGTAGGATATAGTGCTAGCGTATAAACTATATTAGAGACCCTAATAATAGACTAGTTATCTACGTTAACCTTTAGGACTAGTTTAACCTCTAGATCTTTAATTAACCCGGAGAACTTATATAGCCCTAGTAAGCCTATTTTATAGAGAGAAAGTCTATAAAACCTTAATAATTAAGAGCCTTATTAGATATCTAGTACCGACGGCTTACCTATATTAACTAGCGAAGCGCTATAAAACTTACTACTATAGTAGATAGAGTTATTTTTAACAATAAAGAAAAGGAGTCTACTAAAATATAGGTATTATACTAGACTTATTAGCTAGGTCGTATACTAAGGTAGATATTAAGATAAGCTATTAGGCGTACTTTCGGATAATTTAGAAGAGTATACTTTAATCTTATTTAGCTACCGCTAGTATAGAATAAGTACCGCTAGATCTCTTATTTTTACCTAGAAGGTCCTAGGTTTTATTAGCTAATAATCTATAAAATAAAGCCTAAGTGTTAGCTAGCGATTAATCGTTTTATAGAACTAGTAAGAAACTAATAGGATCTACTAATTAAAGCCTTCTAATACGATAATAAGTCCTTAGCTAGAAAACCTACGGAATATAGCCTTACTTCTAATAGTATCCTTATATATTATAACCCCCTAAGGCACTCCGAAATAAATAGTTATACCGAAAGATCCGGTAGTATAATTATTACCCGTATACGTATACTCGTACTTAAAGGAAAGCTCCTAAAAGATCTATAGCTAGAGGCCGCTAACACTATAGTATAGTTACTAAATTATACGCCGACGTATACTACTACCGAAAACCGCTAGGTTATACTATAGGAGGAGGTACGGAAGGAGTTCGTACCGTAGGCGCCGAGGATTAACCTATTAAATATTAAACTATATAGAAGTTTAGTATACTATAGGATCGATAAATAGGTCTAGTCTAATAAAATAAACCTACGAGCTAAGATCGGATTCTTAGTTAGCTATATAGTATTAAATATCTAGAAAATCTAGTTTCTATATAATAGGAAAGTAAAGTTAATTAGGGATATAGTATTTAATAAAACTCGTAAATATACCCCTAATTATAATAGATATTAGCTTATTCTAATACTAATATAGTAAGAACCTTAGGAAATTACTATAGAGGAGTTTACCTAGGTACTTAATCGTATGATAGCTAGTTAAGAGACTAGCGAAATAGAAGAGAGAGATTATCGAGATCTATAAGAAACTTAGTCTAATAATCTATAAGAAACTTAGCACTATAATTATTAAGGATCTTAGTAAGGATCTTAGTAAGGATATTAGTAAGAAAACTAGTAGAATATATAGTAAAACTCTCCGTAGAGGGAGATAGCTAGTAAAGTTAGTTAGCGAGATACTACCCTACTTTAGGGGGTAGACTAATAGATAGTCCTACCCTCCCTAAAAGCTACAATTATATAGTAAATACCTAAGATCTATAAACCCCGAGCCCTATTAGGTATATTTCCGGATAAACCCTTTCCTCCGCTCCCTATTATACCGCTATAAGAACCCTATACTACCCCTAGTTAGGGGGTAGATATACTAGAGGATCTAAAGGATCTAGTTAGCGACTAGGTTTAGGATAATAAAGCTATTCCTACTATAGAAGATAAGCTAGAAAGATAACTATAGGCGGAACTTCTCGCCCTAAGTAGATAAATTATAGAAGATATCGACACTAGTAATATTATTAGTAGAAAGCGAAGACGTTAAGCTAGGTAAGATAAAGACTATATCTATATAATAATTATAGGAGCTATAAACGAAAAGGAAGACCCTCCTATACTACTATATACTTTCGCTATAGGTCTATATACTAAGAAGCCTAAAATTAGACGTTATTAAGATAATCTCCCCCTAGTCCTAAAACACTATAAAGATATTATAAACTATCTATTTTAGGAAGGCTTTCTCGTAGTAATAAGGAAGGAGATTAACTCTCTAATAGAAAAGGAAACCTATAAGATTATAGAGAGACTAAAGGATAGAGGTAAGTAAATACTACCTCTTATATAGGTATTTACCTATAAATACGATTAGAATAGTTATCTAGTTAAATTTAAAGCTCGTATATATATACGGGGAGATCTAGAGACTATTTCGTACGAAGAAAAGAGAGCTACTATACTAATAGTAAGGACTATAAGGATAATCTTCGCCCTTATTACTATATTTAATCTCGACCTAAGATAGCGGGATACTATTACTACCTTTTTAAATAGCACGCTAGAAAAGGAGGTCTATACCTAGATACCTAATAGGTTTAGACTACCTAGTAAATACTAGAAACTCCGCCGCGTACTATATAGTCTACGGATCTTACCTAGACTTTAGTAATAGGAAGTAGCTAATATATTTCGTAAGCTAGGACTATAATAAGCCCTAGAAGACCTCTATATCTTTATCGGAAATAGACTAATAGTCTTTTTCTATATTAATAATATCCTAATTACCTACTATAATAGTAAGGAGATATAAAAAAGGGCTATATAGCTAGAACGAGATCTAGAAACTTACTAGGAACTAACCGATTATAGAGAGGTAGTATAGTTTCTTAATATCCGTATTATTAGAGATAGATAGTAAAAGAAGCTATAGCTTTATTAAGATAGCTATATAATAAGTATTACTATACGATATAATCTTATAGATAGACTAGCGGTATATACCCTAATACCTATCGAAGAGCTAACTCTATATTAGGGTATAGCTATAGCCTAAGAGATCTTATTATACTAAAAGAAGGTAGGATCTACTAGATATACTACTATAATTATAAGACTAGATACTATAAAATCGACTACTCGTCTAGTATAATACTTAATAAACCCGGGCCCCTAGCACTATTAGGTAGCTAATAGAGTTATTACCTACCTTAATTCTACCCGCTATCTCGCTATTAAATATAGTATAGAATTAGGTATAGAAAGAGACTCTATATAATTCGCGAGTAATACTTTATATAGGGATTATCCCGATAGAAAGAGCTCCGCTAGCTATATCTACTAGGTATACGGTAGACTAGTCGACTAGAAAGCTAGTAAGTAGCCTATAGTTACTATCTCTACTACTAAAGCTAAGCTCCTCGGTCTTTTAGAGACTATAAAATAGCTATAATAGTAGCGTAGACTTCTTAATACCCTTAGTTTTATCCCTTCCTATTAACTAAGTATTAATTACGATAATTAGCGCACTATTAGTCTTCTAACTAGCGAGGATATAGCGTTTAAGACGAAATTGCGATATATTAATATTTATTAGCACTAGCTTAGATAGGAAGTCAGGGAAGGAAGAATTAAGGTGAAATAGGTACCGATAGCTAGTATAGCTATAGACGGACTCACAAAGTTACTCACTAGGCAAAAGTATAAAGCTTTCCTTAAAATGTTAAGGATAACCGATATAAGCTATCTAATAGCAGGGGTCGTCTGATTAGCAAGGGAAGAGAAATAGTATACCGACTAAGCGTAGGAAGCAGCTAGACCATACTAGCCTAGCTAAGGGGGTATGTCGGAGCATAAGATCGGTATACCGGAAGTTTAGTTTATCCTATCCACGCAGTATTTTTGATATTAGTCAGATAGTCATATTTCCTACTAGAATAGTGGATACAGAAATACAGAGATTTCAACTCCCTTAATTGGATCCCTACTATACTGAATACCACGTCAGTTGATAAAGTGAGCATTAGTAAGGCCAGCTTCTGTGGAAAGAGATTTCAATCTTTCATTGTTAGACCGTGGCCAACATTGGTGTCCAACTGAACAATCTCCTACCCTAGCATTGAATGCCGGTGAGATTGCCCGCGAGTCTTTCCATTGATTCCTAGACCTGTGCTCATAGCCCTTTTCTGTTCCACAACTGTGGGTAAGCTAGTCCAGATGTAGATTAAAGTGGGCCTGGCCAACACTCAAAAAGAATTAGAGAGATAGCCGGGGCAACTGTATCACATACCACAGCCAGGTTCCAACTGGGAATATCGTCCAAATCGATTGGTGACTTGGGCGGCATGTGGATACGCCCACTAGATTGAGGTTACCGTGATTGAGGCAACATATTGACATCCATAGTGATCCTCGGAGCCGGAGCTGACAAAGCTAGCTCGCGAAAACATGACTATGAATATATCCTTCGTAGTGGACAAGACCGCCTCAGCCCCAAACTAAAAGGTCATGATTGTCCTCATGGTCAATTCCTCACATCCTTCCTTTGATTCAAGATCGGGCTAGTACAACACCTTCAATAGCGGATCCAAGCAATAATTGCTCACAAGATGATACAGTACGGGCAGGTACTGTAGCCATTGCGATAGGTACACTATCATTTATATAACCCAACATAGCTGAGGCTCACACATGTCGTTCGGCAAAACTTGCGCCTTTGCTCTGAAATAAATGACTGAAATGTCTTCAAAAAGTTGGCATAACTAACGCTTTAGTCATGAAGCCACGTGATGTCGCGTTGACCGTCGCGTCCCTTCATGTCTTTCTCGAACCACCCTCTCCAAATTCAACATGGTGGTAGACAGAGGACTGTATCATGTCAGATCAAATAAGATCAAGGTTAATTATAGAACACCCTATCGGGGATGGCCTGAACAGCTTTCGTGCCACGTTCACCTCGATCTGTGAAGACGCGGACTTGCGCTCACCAGATGAGGCCATCGATCGGCTTAAGCGGGAGGGTAAGGTATAGGAATCCCTTATGAATCCTCCTTTTTACTAACTAGTTTGCACCTTAAGCCTACTTCCATAGCGGCCTTAAAGACTCCATCCTCGATAGCCATCTTCAAAATCCTATTCTCTCAGTAGACCGACACGCGCGTCCGTCCTCTCGAGCCATATAGAAAGTGTCGTATCTACAGTCCGCCCACCTAGTCTTCCGTCGCTTCCATTATATGCTACGCCCCACGGATTGTCAAATCCATTTCGCGCTACCTTATAAGATCTCTCTAACAAGGCCGACCGTGTCTCGTAGGAGTTTACCTAGTTATATCCTCTCTATACCTAGAATAGCTAAGCAACATAGTGTTACCTGTTGAGACTAGAGGTCTTATGATATTGAGACTAGAGGTCTCGTGATGTGCAGGCATCACCTTCTTAGTTAGATAGTCGGGAGCCGAGCTTCTTTCCCAATACAACTCTCTCCCTCCTCCCTTTCCGAGCCCCACTTCGTAGGTCTCATCAGGTTATAAAGCCCGGGTTTTTCTAAAATCATTATCATTGAGGAGGCAATTTTCTTTTATCTTAATCTTCGTGTGGTCCACAGTGTGTAGAGAGAGTCGCAACTATCGGACCGAACGTATAGTGGGAAAAAGGGTTCTACCCTATAAAAACCCCACACTCTAGAAAATTTTTCTTCCGGAAGTCAGTCTAAGACCTATATTAAGAGTTAAAGCCACCGGATACGCTAGAATCTAACTAATTACGTCCTCGGGAACTTATTACCTAACAAAAATAGATAATATAACGCCTATTATTCTAGGTGAAGGTAGACTAGTATATAATAACTAGAGTGAGGTAAAGAAACGGCGTAAAGTTATACTAGACTAAGGGTATAGACTACTAGATCCGGATACGATCACGCTATATAGAATTACGCCTTAACTTAGTAAGAAAGAAGACTTCGATAATTAGGAAATATTAGTAGAAAAGTAGTTAAAAGGACTAAGACTATATAACCTTATCGATAATAGTATCTTACGACTAAATCTAAATAGCTAGGAAGCTAAGAGATAGTTAGATCTTACTAAGAGAGTTAGTAGATAGCTATTCGTAGGCCTAGATCCTAAATTAGTATACGAGATTAATATCCGAGGAGATAATATATAATAGGCTGATAAGTTTATATAAGAATATCGAAGATATCTAAAGGGAGAAGGATACGGATTAATAGTAGAAGCTATTAGTAAGTTCTATAATACTAAACGTATAGATTTTAATATACTAAAGGAGTATATTAAAGAAATAAAGATCCGATTTAAGGCTACTATAGACGTCGAAGCTAGTATACCGTCTTACTATATAATCGCCCTAATAATAAAGTAACTTAATAAAATCCTAGAACTAAGGGTATTCGTAAGTATTAGAAATAAGAGAATAATAGCTATAGGAGAAAAAGGACTATACTAACACACTATAATAAATAACGTCTATAAATACTACTAGGGTATAATTAATAAGATTAATCTAAAAGGACTAGATAGAAAACTAGGAGCCTCGGTAGTATTAAATTTTATAGCCTTAGCGGTATTAAGTCTCGATATATTAGGTAGGTAGAAGCTTATAAACTTACCTCCTATAAATAAACTATACTAGAAATATACTAAAGAATAGAGAAATTATATAAATTAGAAGATAGTAAATAGGAACTATAGTTTCTACGGAAAAATAGGATATAATACTAAAGATTATTACTATTTAGTTATCGATTACCGTCCTATAAATTAGAAACCTATATTAGGTCTATAGTTCGTTAGATTAAAGAAAATATAGTTTTAGATAGATAAGTCTTAGTAAGTCGACGGAAAACCTACCGAACGTATACGTTAAAATAACTACGAAGCGGTAGTAAACTTAGATATAGATAACGGAATATATAACTTTAGAGGTTTAGTATTAGAAATAGAAAAAGATATATAGGAAAATATACTTTAATAAGTTAAATATAAGAATTTAGTACTTTCTATAATATAAATCTTCTCTACTACCCGACGACCCCGCCTAGGAATTAACTAGATTATAGACTCCGGAGTATCTATATATATTTATAATAGAAGAGAGTTATTTATTACGTTTAAAAAATATAGTACTATAAACTCGATCGGTTAGGAAACTAGCGGTATAAGTAATATAAAGGTAGAAGGTTATAGAGAAGTTATACTCCTAATTCGGAGACTAGATAGTTCGAGATATAAGTTAAAAATAGACTACGTCTATACTCTAAATATTATATTTAGGCTAGTTAGCCTAGTGAAGTTAAATTAAACCTTCGGTATAACCTAGGATATAGGCGAGAAACTAATTAAGGATAAGAATAACGAGTCTATTAGCTACACTTTTATAGCTAAAAGCGTTCTATTTATCGAACTAGCTAATAAGAGAAACCCGATAAAATATAATCCTATTAATATTTTATTTCTTATAATTAATACTAAGTTAGCCTACCGAAGACTAGGCTATACTAGATCCTATAAGGGAAGAATTAATAAAGATAAACTAGGAGAAGAAGTCGGAAACGAGGCTTTTAACTATAAAGTATATAGAAAAGGGAAATCTAAGAAAATAGTCTCTCGTATATAGTAAGTAAGGGCTATAAGAGTTAGTTAGCTAGTTTATATAGATCTATAGCCTATAAAACCTAAGGGAATTAGTAAAAACGGGAAAATTAATATTAAATATATTATAGTGCTTACCGATAATACTTCTCGTTTTAGAACTATAATCCCCTTAGTTTATAAAGGAGATATATCTAAAGAATTAAAGAAATAGTATATTAAGGTTAAGACTAGGAGTAGATCTTACCCTATAGAGTAGAGAATAGATAATAGTAAGGAGTTCTTAATATTTATAAAATAGGCTAAAGAGTAGTCTATAATAATTAGCCCCTTAGTACTATATATATATAAGTAGAATAGAGTGTCTAAGTTTACCGGCTACTATCTAATATAGATAGTAAGAACTATATATATTAACACTAGAGGAAGAGTACCTATAATACTATAGATAGAAGTAGTACGTATAGTAGTATATATAATTAATAGACTAACTCGTTAGGGAGGAGATATACTAATTATTATATAGAGAAAAGCTATAAAACTTAGAGGCGAAGATACTACGAACCTATTATTTTTACGAGTTTAGTATTCTAAAGCCTATATCTATAAGCCTAAGGAGATTCGTATATAGGATATAAAAATAGACCCTAGAGCTTAGATAGGTTACCTTATCGGGTATAAAGGAGATAATAGTTACTACTTCCGTATCTATAACCCTAATACTAAGAAGGTCTTAGTATATAGAGATATTATATTCTAGGAACTTCGACTTTAGAATTAAGATCTAGATAGTGTAAATAATATTACGATAGGTAAAGAGATTATTAATTAACCCCTAAAAAGGAAGACTAAGTTTAAAAATAGGGAAACCCTATATAAGTTAACTAAAAATACGTAAAATACTCTAAGAACTTAAGACTAGATAAGGGACTTAATTAGATTAGCTAGCCTAGGAGAAGCTAATCTCTTTTATTAACTAATAGGAGATAAGAAGACCCTTAAAGGAAGAGTTCGAGTATTAATAATATATAATATACCTTTAACTTAATAACTAGTGTCTCCTCTAGTAATAGTACGACGAGTGCACTAAAAAGAGTCTAGAAAGGTAGAAGTTAACTATCTAGAAGTTAGCTATCTTAGACTACCGAGTAGCGGATTATTAAGTCTACCTAAAAGCCCGATACTAGTATAAAGAAATAGGGGTTAAATTATAAGATCTAATATAGAAATAGCGCCTAACGATAAACTACTAAACCCTATAAGACTAAACCTATCTATAGTTTTTTAGTAGAATAATCGCTAAGACCTTTTCCGACTAAAGACTATATAGGCTACCGTCCGAAGCTAATCCTCCTTCTCTCGACGATCGACTTAACCTACGAAAGGAGTTCTACTAGAGTTTTATAGAGATCTAGAATAGGATAAAAACGGGAAATAAGTACGAAGGGATAGAAACGTATAATATACTATAGAAGGATCGGCGATAAGCGAAGGGAATAAAGGGCTAATACTAGAGGACTATAAAATAAACTCTCTATTTAGAATAGGTTTTATAATATCTTCGATTAAATAGGGTCCGGGAGAAGGCTCTATTTTATTAGTAGATAAGATAAAGAGCTAGAAAGTTAAGATCCTAAGAAACTATAAAGAAGCTATATAGTCTACCTATAAAGAATAGTAGACCTAGGTAATAGAGGTTTAGATCGGTAAATTAATAGCTATAAAGGTATATAAGATAGTTATAAAACCACTAGTAGGAAGTATAATATTATTAGGAAAATAGGTTTATAATCTTAAAACTAATAAAAGTAATATTATCTAAGAGTTTCGTGCTCGATAGGTAGTATATAGAAATAGATAGCGTCCTAGATATAACTTTAATAAGAGCTATACTCCTATTATAAGAGCTAAATTAACGAGACTATTTCTAAGCTTTACTATAATTAAGAGTATAACTATCGAATAAGTCGACTATATTATAATATATCTTAATATAGTGATTAATAGTAGAGTTATCTTTATAAGATAGCCTACTAGGTTTAAAACTAGAAAAGATAAAGTCTACCTCCTTTTATAAGCTTTATACGGACTAAGATAGTCGGTATTTCTTTAGTATAATACGATTAAGTTAGTACTAAAAAAGATAGGTTTTAAACCCCTAGAAGATAAACCCTATATTATAGTTTATAATAAAAAAGCTTAGTACGAAAGAAAGGTTAAAAATAAGGCTAATAGCGAAGTTAATAACGAACCCTAAAAAATATAGCTATTACTATATATAGATAATACCCTAATAGTAGCTAAGTTAATAGCTAATATTAATTAGTTTAAATTAATAATCCCGTTTAAACGTAAAGATCTCGGAGAATCTAGTAAATTTCTAGATAGTAGTCTCTCTCGAAGTAAAAAAGGGATCTTTCTAAGTTAAAAACTATATACCGAAGAAATTATTATAAAATTAGGACTATAGAGTGCCTCCCTAGTCTATCTTCTAATAAAAACGTCTTATAAGAGCCCGAAGATAATAAAGGACCTAAAAGATAAAGATATAAGAGATTATAATAAAACTCTAGAATTCGATAAATCTTAACTATTATCTAAGGAAATTAAGACTTTTACGGAAGACATTAGAAAACTCGGATAGTTAAGTAATAAAAGTCGTCTAGATATTACGCTTACGGTAAATAAGCTCTAAAGACGTACTTCGGTATTACGAATAGAGGATATAGAGGTATTAAAATAGCTTAATAGATATATAAAGGGAATAATAGGACTAGGACTCCTATTAGGAAAATAGCGGAAAGAAGGTCTTTTAGGATATATCGATACTTTATTTAATAATTACGAAGATAGGAAGTTAATAGAAGCCTTTATAATCTACTTTACTAGTATACCTATAAGCTAAAGATCGAGAAAATAGTCTATTATAATAAGTAGTAGTACTACTATAGAATACGTAGTATACGACGTAGCTATAAAGGAAATACTATAGCTATTTAAAATCTTATAGTAAATAGGTTTTTAATAAGGATTACTAATAACGCTTAACACTAATAGCGATAACGTAGCTACTATTATAAGAAAGGACTCGCTAGTAAAGGGGACTAAATAGCTAGAGGCTAAATACTACTTCGTAAGATATATAATACGGGAAGGAGTGTTTAGATTAGAAGTTATCTAGAGTACTAATAATATTACGGATACACTAACGAAACCACTAGGGAAGGAAGTCTTCGAGAAATTAAAAAAGAAGATAATAGATAAAGGATGCTAGGAAATAAAGGATAATATCTAAATTGAAAGAAAATACTAGAAAACACTAAAAATATAAAGAAAATACGGAAAAGAATAGTAGTTTTTACTATAGAGATCAAAAAGGAAAAGATTCTATAGGTTTTCTGCGTCTTAGGAGCCTCCTGGGGACTGATCTAATACCTAGGAGGGTGTGTTGAGACTAGAGGTCTTGTGATGTTGAGACTAGAGGTCTCGTGATGTGTAGGTATCACCTTCTTAGTTAGATAGTCGGGAGCCGAGCTTCTTTCCCAATACAACTCTCTCCCTCCTCCCTTTCCGAGCCCCACTTCGTAGGTCTTATCATTACCCTTCCTACTAACCAAAGTACCTCGTCGTTCTCTATATAGATTCAAGTATGCTAGGTTATACTGTGTCGTTCGTGGTTTTGCTTTTGACTCTATCGTTCGTGTATCCTCAGACCTAGCGGTATCTTCCTTTCAATAGAGTAGCCTAAGGGCACCTGTTGCGAAGACGCGTGACCTCCTAGCACTTTAGTCTAGTCTAGCTAGCTTTCCTTCTTCTTCCTTTTCTCTCAGCACGCACAATACAAGATTTTCTAGTCCACTCCTTCTTATGAGTAGTCGTATAGGATCATCTCTCTATCAGGTTATGAGTCCTTTGCTGTCGAAGCCTCTATATAACTGTAAGCTTCGCATCTTCTGATTCCTCCGACGAGACCCTAGTGCTGCGTCGTACCGACCCACTATAGGGTGTTTTTGCAGACTTTTCACTAGTCACCCTAACAATACCCTACCCCACCTACCTACCTAATATACCCTATATAGTTATCCTAATTTCTCTTTAGTATCCGAATACCTAGGTAGAAAACTAGATACTATTATCTAATTAGCCGTTCGACTTCTCTATTAACCGCCGTATAACTTTATTAGCCGTTCGACTTCTGTTAACCGCCGCACTTTATTAGCCGTTCGACTTCTGTTGACCGCCGTATCTTATTAGCCGTTCGACTCTTCTATTGACCGCCGTATAACCTTATTAGCCGTTCGACTTCTATTAACCGCCGTATCTTATTAGCTATTCGACCTTCTTATTAATTGCCGAACCCTATATAGACTACTAATATATCGGAGTCCTTTAATATTAGGGACTTCGCTATTAGTCGATATAAGATTAACTATATAGATTTAGTACCGAAACTAAAAGGATAGTCTAACTATAGAGATTAGAAGATAGCTATATATCTAGCCCTTCTTACTAATAATAGATACTATACTAGGATAATCTCTTATAGAATTCCCTCCCTAAATAAACCTAAGTACTTCGAAGTCTCTTAATAGGCTATAGAATAGGCTTTACTTACGGAAGCACGGGAGGTATAGGTATAACGCGATAATAATATTACGATCACTACTATAGATATCCGGGAGAGAATAAAGGAGATTAAGGAAATTAATAAAACACTTCGGAAAAAGTATAAAAATAAGCTTAATAATTAGTAATCTTATAATACCTAAACTCTTATTTATATCCGGAAAACTCTCGTACCCGAGCCCTTATTAGTTATTACTTAAATTGCGGATACACGTAAAGCTTTTAGTAAGCTTCGGAAAATATATACGATAAAGTCTTATTAATAAGCCTATACCTACTATTTAAAGTAGATTAACCTATAGTATAAGAATAGATCTCCCTCGGACTTTATAAAGAGGTTTTAAGAGGCCCTTCGTAACTTTATTATTATAAATAAAGAGTCCTCTTAAATAATTAAGCTATATTAGTTTAAAAAGGCTATTATAGAGAATCCTCGTTATCTTTCCTTTTTATAGAACCTACGAGTTAATAAAAAAGATAAGACTTTTATAGAAAGAGTATATATCGAGTTTATTAAGGTAGAGACTAATAATCGTTCCTTTAACGTTTCTTAATTAACCCTATCTACGAATACTATATCTACTAAAGATACTTCTAATAAGGATAAGAAGTCTAGTAGAAATAATAAAAAGGGTAGAAATACTACCTCTTCTTCTTCTTCTTCTAAAGATAAGTCTAAACCTAAGGATAAGGATAAAAATAAGAAGAAAAAGAAGCCTTTTAAACGGGAGGAAAATATTATCTTTTATAAATATTATAACGTCCTAAGAAATCACTATTCTAGGAATTACCCTTTATAGAAAAATAGTATATCTTCTAATATAGTCCTTTATTAATAACTATAGTAATAATATACTATTTAGTAAGTCCTAGTTCCTTAGTTAGGCTAAGTTATAGGTTAGGTAGATAGTTAGGGTCGTATTATCTCGCTAAACCGTACTATTAATACTATTTTCCCTTAATAAGGAGCTTCTTCTAGAGACCTAGTTACGAAATATAATAATCTCTTTATAAATACTATTTTTAGTATACTTACGGTATTAAAAGAAGGTCTATCTATAGAAGATAATAATATCTCTTACTAGATAATTAATTCCGGTACTAGCACCTATATAACCCCTTATAGGTCTATCTTCGTTAATTTTAGGCCCTATATAGTCCTAGTTTCTACGGCTATAGGCGACACTTTTTACACTAAGGGCTATAAAGACGTTATTTTAAGAATATTAAATATATTAGACGAATATATTAGACCTTTTATCTTATATAAGATCTAGCTTACCCTAGATCTTAAGGCTAGCCTAATCTCTATATCTATACTAGATAAGGAAGATATCGGTATCTTAGTTAAAAATAGTATTATAACTTTTAAAGCTACTAATTCTACTATTAGTTTTATAACCTATAAAGGTAAATATTACTAGCTTAACTACCTAGGAATTAATAAAATCGACACTATACTTTCTAATAATCTAGATATACTAACTAGATCTCTAAACTCTATTTTTACTACTAAAAATAGAAATAGGTCTTCTATAATTTCTATTAACCTAGCTTACCGATATACTTATTATACTAGAGAAAATAGGGTTTATAAGATAGAAACCTATACCGAAGGTATTAAATTAAAAAAAGGTACTAGCGTTACTTTTCCCTATACTCTATATATTAAGGGTAAGGGTTATACTCTCCTATTTAGAAAGGAAAGGTCTATTAAGTCTAAACTAGGCGAATATTTATATATTAATATCTAGGGTCTAATCTTAATTATATTATATAGTAGAGAAAAATACTTTATTACCTTCACTAATAACGCTACGCGCTTTTACTAGCTTTTTCTACTTAAATCTTAGTCTTAGGTTACCGAGACTTTTATTTAGCTAAAAAATTATCTTTAAACTTAATTTAGCTATTAAGTTAAAAGGGTTTATAGTAATAATACCTCGGAGTATCGGCCTTTAGGCGTATATCTTTCGTAAAATAGTATTATTTAGGACCTTACTCCTCCTTATATAAAGTAGCTAAATAGTGTTACTAAGATTAAAAATCGATACCTCGTTAAACCCCTTATTACTATTATATCTAAATACTAGCTTCCGAAATACCTTTAGGGTTATCTACTAGGGGGAATTAACTATACTATAAATCGACTCTTTACCCCGAAGATTAGTATATCCCTATATAAGGCCCTTTATAGGAAGAAGCCTAATCTTAGTAATTTACGTATATTTAGCTATTAATACTAGTTCTTAATTCTAAAGGAAAAACGCCCTATAAAGCTAGATCCGTATATATAGGAAGCGAGATTAATTACTTATAACGAAGGAGATAATTATATATTATATAATATACGTACTAAAAAGATTAAACGCTCCTAAAATATTATTTTTAATAAAAATCCGATACTAGAGGCACTACTTATACTAGACTATAATCTATAGGTACTATCTTAGGGTTAATCTTAATCTTAATCTAGATCTTAGTCTTAAGAGCGATATATTCCGATCGACTTTATTTATAACGAATATAAAGATCTCCTAGATCTACTAGATACTAATCTTCCGGAAAATAAGTATAATACCCTATAATTTAATAATCCTTTTAAGATTTGTACTAGGTCTATACTACCCCCTCCGGTAGTTAAAGACTATTTAGAAGATATTATATATTCTCCGGTAAGTCCTCCGCTAGATACTACTAGTCCTATTATATTAGAGCCTAATATTTAATTTTACGATACCTTCCTTAATACCTCTCTCGATAATCTCCTTCCGAACCCCGATTCTTTCGAGTTACCTTTTAACGACGGAAATAATAAAATAGCGGGTAGTCTAGATAGTAGTATAGAGGGATAACGGTAGGAAGATAATCCCTACTTTAACGTAGGTAGGGTTAGGGCTCCCGTAGAGCTATAGACTACTTCCCGGTAGTTTATTATAGACTTCTCGTATTTAGGTACTCTTCTAGAATATATAGATAATCCTAATTTCGTTATCCTAATTAGATCTCGATAGACTAAGTCTAGTTAAGATAGTATACGGCGTTTAACTAGACTTAGGAAGCCTAGTTAGGTATATATTAAAAGCTTAGCTAGTTAATTATTCTTTAATATAAATATCCTATAATTTCTAGCTAATTCTCCTAATATCTTAATTAATCTTTTTACTACGGCGATAACTAAAGAATAATATACTCTATCTAAGCTAATATCTAAGGATATAGGTTTTAAACTAAATAGCTAGAAGGAAGCTATATCTTATATTAAAAAAGATAAATAGTTAGTAGTAGTATATAAAGAACTAGCTCGATAACTTAAAAATAGTATATAGCGGCGTATTCCTTAATTATCGAAAAAAGGTCGACGACCCCTAATATTACGATAGGTATTTAAGATTAAATATAATAGAACCTATAAAGCTTAGCTAGTTACCCGTGGTTTTTAATAAATTAAGGATCTTAATTTCTATAAGATCTATACTATTATTACGAAACCTATATCTTTTAAGATCTTTACTATAATTACTACTTCTAAGGGTTAGAAAATATACTATATTAATATTATAACCGCCTTCCTTTATACTAAACTAAAGGAGCCTATTAAGATAGAGCTACCTAAGGGACTAAAGGAATAGTATCTAGATAATATTAGTCTCCTAATAAAAATAATTTATAGATTAAAGTAGTCTCCTAGAGAGTAGTATAAACTACTCTATAATATACTTATATCTATAGGTTTTACTCGCACTTAGTTAGATTATTCTATCTTTATTAGGTATAGTAAGGCCCCCTTATACGTTATAATTTACGTTAACAATCTACTAGTTATATCCCTATTAGATTAAGAGATTAAGGACTTTAAAATCGCTATTTTAAGATATTTTAACACTTCCGATAAAGGAGTCCTTAAAAGATATCTTATAATTAACGTACACTATAGAAAAGATAAAGATAATAATAGCTTTATCTATCTTTCTTAGAAAGACTATATTAATAAGATTCTTACCCGCTTTAGTCTTAAAAATTATAAACTAGTCGCTACCCTAATAGATAAAAAAATACCCTTTATTATTTTTAATAGTATTACGTTAAAAATTAAAATTAAGGAGTTTTAGATAAAAATTAGGACCCTAATCTAGCTAATAGTCTCTATAAGACTAGATATTACTTTCGTTATTATTAGGCTTACGAAATATACTAAAAACCTAAGTACTAGCCACTTTAAGGCGTTAAAACGAGTTTTTCGCTATCTTACTAGTACTAAGTATCTTATAATTTACTTTTATCCGTTTAAGAAATATAACTCTATTAATTATTATACTAGAATTAGAGACTACCTTCTTTTCGGTTTCTATAATACGGACTAGGTAGGTCTATATAGCGAAAAGGGTCTCTTAACGTCTAGTTTTATATTTAAAATAGCTAGTAGAGCTATCTTATAGACTTCTAAAAAGTAAGCTTATATAGTATTATCTACTACTAAGTCTAAATATATTATAGAGGCTCTTACTACGTAGGAAGCTATCTAGCTAATTTAGTTATTAATAGAGATCGGCATTTCGGGACTTTTTTAGAAGCCTATTCCTATTTATACGGATAATAATAGTACTATTACACTAGCTTCTAACCCTAAATTTTATGCCGCTACGAAATATATTGCTATCAGATACTATCGACTTCGTGAAGAAGTTACTATAGGAACTATGAATTTCATTAAGATTCCTACTACTAAGATAGCTGCTAATGGACTGACGAAACCCCTTAGGAAGATCATATTTAAAAGGTTTGTTGCGTAGCTAGGATTGACTATCTATAACTAATTAAACGTTGATTTTCATGCTAAAAATGGGGGGTTTAACTAAATACTGGTTTTTTAAAATGGAGAGAGATAGACAGGAAAAGACAGTTTACGACTATAGCACTAGTCGTGGGGGGTATTGCGAACACGTGATCTCCTAGTACATTAGTCTAGCTAGCTTTCCCTCTTCTTCCTTTTTCTCTCTCCACGCATAATACAAGATTTTCCAGTCCACTCCTTCTTATGAGTAGTCGTATAGGATCATCTCTCTATCAAAAGACCAGTGTCTCTTTTGATAGCGGTAGCTCCCTAAGGTCGATCTCGATCATTAAGACAGATACCTCGACAATTTCTTGCGTTTCTGAGTATTTGAGTCAAATATATGGTATCTAGACCTGTGAAGCGAAAGTAATTCTGCTCGTCTAGGTGCTTTTGATAGCCCCTTTTGTCGATAGTCCTTGAAGAGTTGTCGTCCTAATTCCAGCATGGTAGAGAGTGGGGTTCATCACGTAGTTGGTCTGGGATTAAGTGGTCGGGTGAAATGACCACGGTCTGCAATGAGAGTCCGAACAAGGAATGGCGTGATATATCCAGCAATGCCATGAGGCTAAATTGACTTAATAGATGGACTCGTTCACGGAAGAAGCGATTAGAGAAAAGCGTGAGAGAACAGTCTCTAAGATATCGCGCACTAAGCCGAAAATTACAGAGATCTTCGCATCCAAGGTGCTCAGCAACGATTGTGACAAGCTCCGGACTGAGGTGGTCAATGTTTGCGGACATATTGAGCGTAAGGCAAACACCTGGGGCCTGTCGGGGTGTGATCAGGGAGCGAACGCCGATGAAGGGCACATGTACGTGTAACAGTATGGGTATTTCTGAGGTCACGTGGTACAAACTTACCATACAGTTCAGTATTCAGCTAAACCAAAAGTAGACTAGCATGTCTCAAGATGGAGTTTTGGAAAGAATCAAAGAGTAAAATGGTGAAACTAATCCCGAACGCGTCTGTACCTATGATTCATAATAACGTATTCGGTAAGCGAGCTGGACACCCAAAACACCATAGTAAATACGATAAATTTCAACTTGAGATCTTAACAACGGTGGTCTAGATATAGATTTCCTAATAGCTATCGAATGACGATGAAATTAAACAAATGCGTGGTTGTTCTGATATAGGATTGTAAAATATCGCATTTACTGGTGTCTAGCTCGCTTACCGAATACGTTAGACGTGATAGACCAAGTAGAATAGACACTGTACGATAACGGTATCATACAATATCATACCTGTTTCAGGTAGCACGGAAATTATAGGAGTTTCAGGTACTGTGGCTTGTTTGTCTCGAAGCGGTGGCTGTGCGGGCTAGACAGAAATTTGGTAATTATCTTACGTCGGTAATCAAGGAGCAATTGTATCGAGTACGAACCTAGAACGGCCCTGACTAAGCGATTGCCGAAATGGTCAGACTACCCAATCTTAAGTCGTGATTGCACTTTTCACATTTTCTAAGAGAGTTACTATGGGCACCCCTTTTTACTACGGGCACCCCTCCCGCTAAACCCTTTATGATTTCCTTCTAGCTGGCCACTGCCCTTACTACCCCCCGTATTACTGATCTGGTTTCCCCCTAGTATTACCTATTATCATTATATGATTAAATTACTGCCCTTATCCCCCAGAAATATTATATTCCTATATTCGCTTAATTTCATAAAGCTATTCCCGCAGTCCCGTAGAAATGAGGGTGTAGGGTGCTGATCTGGGTGAAAATGAGGGTGTAGAGTTTTCGAAGGGGATGATCATATGACCTTAAAATAGATGCTGATTTTTAAAAGTAGTGTAAAACGACTATTTAGCTCCTAGTGCCCCTACTAGCTTAGAACCCCTTAAATATTAAACTCTATTATTCTTTACTATATAAATTAGATATAAATCTTACTAAGCTTTACCTCGTCCCCTACCTCTCCCCCTACCCCGTCCCCTAACTCTCTTAGTTATAATACCGCTAACCGCGATCTAATTATTAGACTTAGTTATCTCCCCCTATATAGTCTAATTATTATTATGCCTTTGATTTACCGGTCTCCGCTATCCTAATCGTCGGATAATTTCTTCCTCTTATACGCGTATAATCTTAAATTGTAATAGCTCCTAGCGGACTAAGTTTTCGAAACGCTATAATACCCGTAATAGCGGGATAAAGGACTACTATAAGGACTACTACGAGGACTACTATAAGGACTACTACGAGGACTACTACGAGGATATTATTAGCCGACTACGTCCTTATATAACTAAGGGGTTTTATACCTAGAGCTCGAGTATCTTACGGTGACTAGCCTCTAGTGTTACTTAGATCTAATACTATAGATAGAATTAAGCCTAGGTAAGGCTCTAACCTCTTACCTAGGCTTTATTAATATAGTAAATATATAGATACCCCCGAGTATTTATAGACTCGCCTAAGTATACTAGTGGAATTATAGGCTTATTACTATTAGCGGGTAGATAGTAATTAAATACTACTTATACCTTTTTAATTATATAGGTAGTAACTAAAGTCTTAACTTTAGTAAATAATATACTACTACTAATCTCCTATACCCCCCGTTATATAGTAAGCTTCTAGTAGATCTAAGTAGTAAGTCGCTTAGTCGTACGTTTAAACTTAGTACTAAGAGCTAAGAGATCTTTAGTTCTAGTCTAGATATCAAGTTTAAGATAGCGGTACGCGGCTTCTACCCGTAAGGTTAAAGTCTTATTAAGATATAAAAACCTATAGGTATAGTACTATAAGAAATAGGGGCTATAACCACGAATCTACTCTCTATTAATATATTATAGTAGAGCTAGGAAGTGTTAATACTTCTCTTTAAAAGTAGCCTATTAAGTCTCTATCTCGTAAACCTCCTATATAAAGACGATTTAATACTAGTCACCCTTTATTATAGCCTATTATATAGTAATCTTATATTAAATCTCTTCGGTAGTGGATCTAGTAAAGTTATTAGTCTTTTCGGCTAAAACCCGGAGGACTTAGCGACGGATATAGGGCCTAGCGTAGCACTTAATATTATAGGTTATATACTAGGAGTATAGTATCGTATTTATAGCTAGGAAAGCCTATTAGATATAGGATTGTTAGTAAACTAGATATTATAATAATAGATTATCTTACCCTTCCGATAGTATTACGAATAGCCTACTCCTTATCCGTTAAAATAGTTAGTAGACTATTTTAAGGGAGCGTGATAGGGGGGTATAGGCCCTAACGGAAAATTATATATTAACGTAAAGCGTATTAGATAGAGGCTTTCTAGCTAGGCTTAGAGAATTATCGTAGGAAGCTTAGTTATAGGAAGCTTAGTTATAGGAAGCTTAGTTATAGGGAGATTAGTTATAGGGAGATTAGTTATAGGGAGATTAGTTATAGGAAGCTTAGTTATAGGGAGATTAGTTATAGGGAGATTAGTTATAGGGAGATTAGTTATAGGGAGATTAGGGGACTTAGCTATAGTAGTATAAGCTAGTATTAGTATACTAGCTCCTATATAAATAGTAGTATAGATCTCCCTTAATTAGTAGAGGACCCTATAATATAAAGCTTCCTTCTCGCTAGTAAGGAAGCTATATACGATATAAAAGGTCCTCCTAACTAAAGAAGCCCCTATAATATTAAGAAGGGGTATCTTCTATTTATTAGTTTTATACGTATAGTCTATCTATAGGATATATAGATTAGCACGTAAGAGCTAGAGACTAGTTTTATAGACTATAAAGAGGGTAGTAAGGGAGTTATTAACGGTATTAACCTTATATCGAATAATCTAGCTACTATCTTTAAGGAGATCTATAAGAAGTGCCTATATTAGGGTACGTCTAGCTAACCGTTAAAGCTTTATCTTAGCCCGCCGATTAGTAATATTACGGGGCCGTAAGTAAGACTATCGCCCTTATAACTCTACCTCCTCCTATATTATACCCGTAATCTAATAAGTCGATATCTAGTTAGCTATCTAACTCTCGATAGTAGATAGTATATATTTAGTTTTAACTCGGCGAGTAATAACGGAAGTAGAGGACGTAACTAAACTATAATTATAGCTAGTATTAGCGATCTCTAGCTACTATATATTACTCGCGATAAGCCGAAGTCTCCTAATAAATATATAGCCTATTAAGCGGCTCTAGCTTAGACGTTTCTATATTACTAGGGCTCGATTAGTGCGATAACTACGACTAAGGCTATACTCGAACTATATTACGCGAGGCTTACTACGTATTATCACGACTAAGAAGCCTAGTGGAAGAGCCTATTAGTTAAGGGTTTTAAGCGCCTACCTTCGGGACTCCTTAATAGATAGCGTAGCGGTTTCGACGATTTAAAAAGGGGGCGTAGTGTTAGGGAGACTAGGTGTAGGGGGGCTCTATATTAAGGGTAAACTATATACTATACCTAAAGTTAGTACGGAGTAGGTATAATTAAATAGTAGGATAAGTATTATACCTTACGTAGTAGGCGTATATACACTAGGAGCTAAATAGTCGTTTGGCACTACTTTTGAAAATTAGCATCTATTTTAAGGTTATATGACCCCCCTTTTCGAAAACTCTGCACCCTTATTTCTACGGAAATCAGTAATTTTTGGCTTTATTTATAACCTAGATTAGTATTAGCTATTTTAATTGGATTGAAAATATCATATCTATATGATCTCTATCTAGTACCCTATAGTTTGGAATAGCTTTATGAACCCAAACGACTGCGGAATAGCTTCATGAAATTAAGCGAATGTGGGAATATGATATTTCTGGGGGATAAGGGCAGTAATTTAATCATGTGATGATAATAGGTAATACTAGGGGGGAACTAGATTAGTAATACGGGGGGTGGTAAGGGCAGTGGCCAGCTAGAAGGAAATCGTAAAGGGTTTAGCGGGAGGGGTGCCCGTAGTAAAAAGGGGTGCCTATAGTAACTCTCTTTTCTAATGTTCTCGTCTTTGCCGAAATAATCTAGTACCTGGAAGTATATTTTTGTGCCTTGCCCATATATCTACCATTTTGCTGTTCTAGAAATATCCGTCATTGTAGTAATTCGAAGAAGGTCAGTTATTCATTTTGAGGGTTACAAGGTGAAGTCCAGCTGGTGTCTAACGAGCTCGTTCCTTCCTATACGTAGTGCAGATTTAATTTCGATAATGCGGCTTGGGTCCTGATATGCACGAGGCTCAAATCTGCAACAGTTACTGAACCTGACACGTGTAGACCATAAAGTATCATGTTATGCTTTTACTATGGCTGAGGAGTTGGAAAGTGGCAGACCTATACGACAGGCAGAAGCCCGGTTGGACAACGTAGAACCAGCAGGCAAAAGGGTGCATATAAGCCAGAGTGGAATGACATAGACTGAAGGCTGGCAAGCCAGGCTCGTGATTATCGTGGCATGGCCGGTAATAGTCATATGGAATCGTGCTCATTAGTGATGGGAGGGCGAGGGCTTACCTCTATGCGTTTTTGTAGCAACCCCAATCCCTCCCTTTTAGGTGTGATACTCCACCTGGGGCGTTCTAGGTTTCCGAAGTAGTAGTATTGTACCGTATAAATCTTATCTAGATAAGTATCAGTTTAGACTAAGTTTGTGAAAGGTTCAGATGCCTTATAGCCGTTGGTCTATGGCGGTGCCTGGCAATTCGTAGAGAAGAATGGGCATCACTGATCAAGCTCGCTTACGTGAGAGGTTAGTCTAGCTCAATCGGCGGAAGCACGTAATACCCGATTTACTATTTGCGTGTAGGTTAATGACAAAAAGAGCATACGCAATCAAAGTGGGCTTTAGTATATGTAATTAGATAGGTAAATCAAGCTTGGATCTGTTTTCTCTTAGGTTTCAGTGGATTTTATACTACTAAATTTAGTTAGCTATAAGCACCCTACAAATTCTCGCGCTCCGCCTAGTATAATAGTGAGAGTTACTTATATCTTCCTATTTAGGCCTTGACTATATATAAAAAACTTAGAGCACTAGAAATTGTAGGAACGGTCTTAGAACTCTTATCGAATAGGAAATATTAGATATCGACTAGGTTATCGGTTTTCCTTACGGTATTAGAAAACCTATATAATAGTTAGGCTCTTACTCTAGCTAAGGGCCTAAAAAAAGATAGACCTAAAATGCTAACGGTTACTTGAACTTATGATTAGTCTTTATAGGACCTTAAGGAGAAATGCTTAAAACTTAGATATTTTCCTTCTAGGAGGGATCCGGGTTCTATTTATATACTTTGACACTTAGTATTAGTAGTTATAGTTCTCGCGAATAGGTACTAACATTTAAGCTTCTAGGATTAATATTATTTATATTACGGTAGTACGAAAAGGTCTAGAGCTCCTAGGAAGTCCTCTCGGACTTTAGCTAGGATAAGTTATTTTCTAATTACTAGTTTAAATACGTTAGGTAAATAAAGGGACGTAAATTTCGTTATAGGTAGCTAGATAACCCTAGTAGATATAATCGATTAGTCTAGAATATTTTTACGGATACCTAGGTCGCTAAAGCTAAAGTAGTATTCCTAGGAGTAAACGGGTAGGTAATAAGAGCGATAAACTAGTGTTATTTAAGTAAAATATAAAAGAATAAAAATATAAGAATAAAACACTAAACTATATTTATAAACTACTTAATTAGGGTTTTCTAAGATATTCCTAGATATTATAGAACTAAAAATTAAGGGCTAGATATTTTCCGTAACTATATAGAGACGGTATTATAGAATACTAAACTTAGCGAGTTAAATAGTAGTATAGCCGTAGAATAGTAACACTAATAAATATAGCCCTACTATTAATTTATCTTAGCTAGAGGTGAAATAACTAGGATCGACCGCTAAATTAATAACACTAGCCTTTCGTTAAGGGGATAACGGTTAAGTATCTTTGTAAATAACTATATTTAGATAGGGCTAGCGTGGTATATTTTATTAAGGTGAGCTGCTAACGTAGCTACTCCCTATGCTTTGCTCCGGTGAGTAAGTCTTAAGCTTATGAAATAATCAGATCGTGCTCAGTGAGCTAGTCAGAGCGCTTAGGTCAAGCTCAGTGAGTAAGACCAGGCTACTCAGTGAGCAAATCAGAGCGCTCAGGTGACGCTTAGTGAGCGAGTCATATAGCTTATGTAATGATCAGGTGATGCTTAGTGAGCGAGCGTGGTGATTATGTAATACTCAGGGGCGTGCTCAGTTCTACTCAGTGAGCAAAAAGCGGCAAGGACTGAGCACTAAGACGGAAAGGGAAGGCCAAGAAGTGGCAGAGGAAATCAAGTACATAGGTCCTACTGTGGCAAATCACCAATTTACTGGAGGTGGAGACTACTGGATGAACTCATTTGGCAGATCTTGAAGCTAGCCTCTTCCACAGTCCTCAGTGTAGGTACGCTCCGAATGTTTTCCATATTAAAGTTGAGTAGCCAGTCTTAATACTCTATCGTGAAGGTTTTGACCTTGCTTTGGCTCCCACGATCTATCTTAACCGCTCTGCTTTGGGGTTCTTTAGCAACACACCCCATACTTGATAGCAAATCAGCCACCGCATGATGACCGTTCGACGTTGCATAGTGCAATGGGGTTCGACCATAGATGTCCTCCTCAAAGTTCGCGTCAATTCCTGGTTTGAGCAGAATGGTGACCACTGGCAAGTGGCCATTCCCCGCCGCGCAGAGCAATGGAGTACGACCCTCGATATCCTTGCAGTTTGGATGGGCGTGATTTTCAAGCAGAATATTCACAATAGACACATGTCCGAACAAAGCTGCATGTGAAAGCGCAGACATCTCAAAATGATCCTTGCCGTTGGGATCAACGCCGCCTGCTAGAAGAATGCGCACCATAGACTCATTCCCATGTCTTGCTGAGGCTGACAGTGGCGTCAGGCCATCATAAATCTTGCACATGGGGTTAGCATGCCATTCCAACAAAAGCTTGGTGATGTTTTCATGCCCATGCCTCACTGCATTTGACAGTGCAGTCTCGCCTTCGTCATTCTGGATCTCTATATCGGCACCTGCTTCAAGGAGTAGTTTTACCAGGCTCTCGTTTCCGCCTTGCACTGCATATGATAAGGCAACCTTGCCGCTTTCGTCTTTGTGGGAAAGGTCGACGTCTTTTGATAATAGCAACTCCACGATTTTGACTCTTTGACTTGTCTCGGACTGCCCATAAAAGATATAGAGGCATTGTATCGCAAGGAAAAGGGCAGTTTGTTTGTGGTGATCTTCGCAATTTACATCAATACCCTCGTCCAGAAGGAGCTTCACCATCCTCTCATGGTTACCCCAAACTGCATCGAATAGGAGAGTTCGCCTGTTTTCATTTTTGACTTCCATATCCGCCCCTCTTTCTCTGAGGATCTGGAATATATCCTCATGCCCTCGAGAAACTGCATAGGATATAGCGGTGTGACCGTCAATATCCCTACAGTTTGGATCCGCTCCCTGGGTCAACAAGAAATCAACTGCCCCGTGCAATCCGAACTCGGCCATCCATGACAATGGAGTTCGCTGGACGCTATCGAAAATATCGACGTGCCAGCCTTCTGTTAGAAGAACTTTTGCAGCCTCGTAAAATCCAAGATAAATTGAGAGATGCAGGCCTTTCGTATCCTGAACCATACGTGGACGGGCAACCTCTGGCTCTCTTTCATAAAGGAGGATTTGGGCACAGGCAGTCACATTTCTATCATTCCTCATCAGGTCCAATATCATGTCTAAATGATCATCTTGGGATTTGATATGAATGTCAAAGTTCAATGCCGAGTAGGAATAGAAGGGGTAGCCTTCGAGGCGCACAAGGAGTTCCTCGCTAGAGGATGCAACTCCGCTCTGAAAAGCATCAAAATTCAAATATGTGACGCAAACACCGCCAAGCAAAGAATGAGCATCAGGAAATAGACTAGTCCATTTCTGCTCGAGGTACTCTTGAGTTGTATAATGGGCCAATCTGATGGTATTGCTTTGCTCGTCAGTCGTGACTAGCCCGGCGCAAATTGAAATAAGATCATTGATTTCGGGAATATTTTCCTCATCGAGGCAAAGCTCCCCTATCTCAACTGCGAGTGCATGTTGAAGCTCTCTGGGGGTTAAAGGCCGCGTCGCGCAAACGATCCATGCGAGAACTTCCTTTGCGGTGTGGCTTTGTTCTGGAAGCTGGCTCTCGATGCGATTTATGGCATCCTCATAAGCAGCATCTAGCCTGCTAGAAAGGGTCTTGAGCTTGTTCCTGATTTTCGCTGGTGATAAACTCCCTTTCAGTGAATCGAAATGCAATCGAGCAAGAAGAAACCTTGGCAGACAAATCAGCAATGGAGTTGAGATATGCACGACCTTACTAACATTCCATCCACAGCCTTGGTAATTTTGGTAATAATTTCCTTCTGCAAGTCTGGTTTCCGTTGAACAAAACTCGGAAGGACGTCCACCTGGTCTATCTGGCCTCGGAGGAATTTCTCGATGTCATCTTCGTTCGCCCGGATTCTCAAGCAAGGTCTACCGTCAAACTTGACCCCAATTTCTGGATCATCTCTCGAGGTGGCTAGGAAGCCCAGGCTATGTCTTGCCTGGAGCTCGAAGATGCTTCCGATAAGAGTTGCACGCATTCCACTTGGCAGTAGGCACTCGTCTAATGCGTCAATTACAATGAAGGCTTTAACAAACCTTGACAGGGTAGTATCAAGGACCTCAAGAAGGGTACTGACTGATGGACGTGTTTCCGTTACCAGATGATCATCATAGAGGTCTTCAAGAGGCTCAGGGAATACTGAGAGCTTCCGAGCTAGCTGCCCCAAGATACAGCCCAGGATGTTTTCAAGTGTGACACGTTCCCGAAACTCGCAGTAGAAGAAGGCCACGCCAACATCGTGGTTGGACCAGTATAATTCCTGGAGTGTGTTCACCACTGTGGATGCCACGAAGGTTTTACCTGCTCCAGGAATACCCGGGCAAAACACAGTACGTTGAGACGGCGTTGTAGAGTGAACCAATTGTTGGAAGCTCTCTGTTTGAAGAAACCATTGGCCTGTTCCTTTCTGACAACGACCAAAGATATCCGCTTGCTTAGCGGCGGCATTTATTGGAGAAAGCCACTCGAGTATCCTCTGCTGTTGTTCGCGGTCTTGGTGTCGAACAAGACCGTCGATCTCCACTTTTGTGGACATGACCAGATTCTTTGTTTGAAGGGCAACATGACTGTGATTGATTAGCGAAAATTCATTAGGGCAACAACGGCTATATGCTCGAAGACACACCTGTTGATTCCGGTGAGCAGTAAATTGAGGGCGTCGATGTTTTGTGAGATCTGATTTCTAAAATCTTGTATTTCCGCCTGGTCCCAGTGAATTCGCTCCCAAGCCCAGCGAGGAATCCTTTTCATGTCAATAGATTTAAAGCTGGCGCCGAGCTCTTGGTATTTGTCAAGCTTGCGGTCGAGATTCTCTAGTACACCTTGACAGCTTTTTGAGATCAGGTTCAAATCCCTTTTTCGTTGTTCATCTAGGCTTTCATCGGGTCCATAATCGTCGATGTCACGTAAAGCATTCGATAATACCTTCACACTGCCAAAAAATGAGTGTTCATCCAATTTCATTAGCTCGGCAACCAGGAGCTCACTCATCTGAAATCCCTTGAAACTGAGTAGAGGCATTCACGAAACGTTTCCGCACTCGGTTCGCCAGTTCGAGGACTGCGATAAAGTCTCCAATTCCGAAGCCGAAGCTCATGTTTAAGAAGATGAGTCGGTTTCAAGATGGTCGTTTGGCATACTCTCTGCACGCGGGAGTCATGGGAGTTAAGAAGGCGAACTCTGGCCAGGAGGGGTTTGCGGGGGAACTGTCCGGTCTGGCCAGCCGTCGACTGGAAGGACGCATGTCTTATTCACACGGATTTCTGCCTCAATGATGCCTGATCCCAGATGTTGCACCGAATATAAATACCTGCATTACTATGAGACCGACCCTAATAAACAAAGTACCGAAGTTCGACGTCCCACTAGAAAAAGGGAATACAAAATGGAGCCTCTGATCAAGCACACAAGTCCATATCGCCGTATCTCAAGGTGAGTTATTACCTTGCAGTTATTCCCATCATGTAAATCTCCATCTTTATCTAATTCCCGGCGTTCAACCTATCGCGACCGTACTGAGCTCCATACTGGATCATAATCGAAGCTTTTGCCACCCCACGACATCCTCATACAGCTTCACACGCAATGTCTTGGGAGGTAAGAGATGGCATGTCGCCTTTATTGGGCTTGAGGCGAATCTGTCAAGATATTCGGGATAGCTTCAACACAGTAGATGTAGATAGTACTCCGTACGTACCTACATGTAGGTGGTGAGACAGCAACGTCAACTAATCGAATCCACCCCCAATCATTATTTCATTCGATAGACTTGCTTTTGCATGTACTGATCAAGTACAACGAATGCAAGCACATCAAGTTCCCGAACAACGACCTGTTCCATCGACTGTGGCTCAGGAAAACCCGCCGATTCAGGCAATACGTAGCGTCGGGGCCCGCGGGCTCCGATCGGAAATCAATTCATGTCCGAGCAATATCGACTTGGGCTCTGGCCTTCTTGTTTTTCTTCTTTCTTCTTTTTTTCAGCATGATCGATCACTTTAAATGAAGAGTATCATACATTCTTTGTCTCTTTCCCAACAATCTGGTTTCTCACGTTAATCTTGGCCATTTCACATTGCCGGTCCATTTTTTTACCTTGATTTGTTAATGTGCCATTGATCTCACAAAGGTATCTGATCCGGGGTTGCAACCGCAATTGTTAATTAAGGCCTAGTTACCATGGGATCATGGGTGTGGCCTTTTGCCAGAAATGAGACGAAGGAAAGACGACCCAAGTTCGTCGAGCTTAGGTCGTCGAAATGGTTCATCATGTTCGTCGTCTCATTTGCTACGGGGACTGACATCTTCATGTACGGCCTTATCGTGCCAGTAACACCCACTGCGTTACAAGATAGAGCGGGCATCTCTGAGGGGAATGTCCAAAGTTGGACTTCGATTCTTCTCGCGCTGTACTCGGCCGCTTTGTTGGCCTCGGCGCCTGTTGTCGGGTACTTCGCTGATCGAGCAGAGTCTCGTCGATGGCCTTTGCTGATTGGTCTCGTTGCGCTGGCTGCGGCGACTGCGTTGCTCTGTGTTGGAACAAACATCGCTCTATGGATCGTTGGGCGCCTGTTTCAGGGTGTTGCCGCTGCGATAGTGTGGACAGCTGGCCTGGCACTGATGGTAGATACCAATGGGGCAGAGGACCTTGGTCAAGCTATTGGATGCGTGTCTATGGCTATCAGCTTTGGCACCTTGGCTGGACCTCTACTTGGTGGTGTTGTCTACGAAAAGGGTGGATATTATGCCGTTTTTGGTCTCGCATTTGGATTCATTGCGCTGGATATCATCTTGCGACTGATATTAATCGAAAGACGACATGCTCTGAAATGGCTTGAACCGGAAATGACACCGCTCTCGGTAGCTGCACAGCAACCTACAGGGGAGAAACCGCAGCACACCCTGGAAACCCCTTCCCCTTCGAGCAAGTGCTCTGAAACCGACGAATCACAAAAACCTTCTCCTCCTTCCCGGAGTGCGCTTGGGCGTGTCGCCATTCTGCTGAGCTCCCCACGCCTCGTTGTATCTGTTTGGGGATACTTCATAATCTCACTCGTTCTCACTTCCTTCGACAGCGTCCTTCCGCTCTTCGTGAAAGATACCTTTGGATGGCAACCGAGTGGTCAGGGACTGATCTTCATTCCGCTCATGGTACCACACCTCTTGGATCCAGTAACAGGTTTTATAATCGACAAATACCCTAAATCTTGTCGTTACATTTCCGCAGGGGCCTTCCTTGCTTCTGTTCCTGTGGTAGTGCTCCTGCGTCTTGTCACAGACAACTCGATGCAACACAAGATCCTCCTGTGTGCTCTTCTCGCTCTTCTCGGGCTGTGCTTTGCCGTTGCTATGCCGCCTCTCATTGCGGAGGTCTTCTTTGCTGTCAAGGAAAAGGAGGACGAATCTCCTGGCATCTTTGGCCGAGGAGGAGCTATGGCTCTAGCGTTCGGGATTTCGAACATGGGTTTCGCATCGGGCAGTCTCGTCGGGCCATTCTTTGCAGGGTTCATTCGCCAACACGCTGGTTGGGGGACGATGGGATGGGCCCTGGGAATAATTGCTGGGGCGTCGTCTATCCCTACTTTGCTATTCTTGGGTGGCTGGATATTAAGAAAGCCGGTCAAGTCTGAGGAAGAAGCTCGAGTGACCCACACCGTCTCTGATCATCCAGTTGATGGATTCAACGAAAAGGAGAAAGAAGCTGTGTGAATTTGGAATTCTCTGAAAATCTTCACTCACATATTACATAGCGTCATAAATATCATTTAATACTAATACAAGTCATCATAACAATAGCCCGACACATTAACGGAAGCATGATGCTTCGATTGTTTGTCTTTGCTCACCTGTAGCGAGTCTTGGATCAATCCTCCTTCGAGATATGAGTTGGGCTTGGAGACCCCCTGTGAGCAGCTCAAATGTAGCCACGGGGTAATGAACAAGTTGCTCAATAGCACTTTACACAGAATACGGCTCCTGTAGAGGCTCAGTAGACATGTACTAAGTTACGAATATCTTCTTTTTCTTTACATTTTCAGTCTACTATAATGAAGCGGGCATCAACTCGCTGCTGTGAATTTGGAAAAGATTACTAAAAGTTGAACTAAACGAACAGCGGTCCCCCAGATGGAATCGCCCAGGCAACTGTATCAAAATGAAAGCCCATATTGCTGCTCCTATAGTCCGGTAGGATCCAAATAATTTTGTTCTCGCGATGAATAACCCAATCATCCCGCACAACATTTGCGGTTGTTGCTAGGCCATCCATTCTGTTCGTGATGAGTTTTAGCACTCGGATTTGCTATGGCTTGCGAGCAAGTCACGTCGAGGAACCTTGTGTTTTGAGATCCTATGTTGGGGTAAATGGGAGACGTTGTTAGCGCTCTCGGAAGCCACGCAGCGTGGCTGTGATATAACTGGTATCAGATTAGGGCTTAGAAAAATGTTATCGAGTCAGATCGGTTAGTTTGCTGAGCCATTGTGGACATCAAAAATTTCTTATTGTACCCTTGAATATCGATTTGTATATTGCACCACAAGGTCCTCCTTAGGTAGCGTTTAGCTTCAATATCTCAGTACAAAATGATTGGCTCCAGACAAGGGTTTGGTGTCAATGAATACATATAATTGGAAACAGAAATCAAAATCAGAACAGATAGTGGTAAGCCCACAAGCTAGTCCTTAAAAATGAAAGAAAAAAGCAGAACAAAACGGAACTCATGATCCAGCGCCCTAGGCTTTCCAAATCAAGACTGGCTTGATGGCGCTTCCATCTTTCATGCTATCAAGGGATTTTTGATAATCCTTAGCCTGTTTAACTGGGTTAGTAGCTCATTTTGCAGGTATTCCATCGTAATCGCTCAAGAGGATTGGACTGGACGAACCCAGACAGAAAAATACAACATACATTCACATGCTCCACGGCATTGACACCCAGGTTATAGTCCCACGGCGGCACGCCTATCAGTACCGTCTTTCCCCGAGCTTGTGTCGACTGGATACTCTGCTCAATGATAGATGGCACGCCAGTAGTGTCTATCGCGATGGATGCACCAGTGGGCACCAGGCTTCGAACGGCGTCACCCAGTGTTGGATACCCTGCATCACTCGTGTCGATTGTATGGGTTGCACCTAGCGCTTTTGCTAGCTGAAGGCGAGATTTGACTTTGTCCACTGCAATGATAGCTTTGCATTTTGTGATATTTGCTGTCTTTGAGGTACACTCATGAATCGTATCCTAACATTATCTTGTTCAGAGGAATTGAGACTCACCATGAGAGCGGCCATTCCAACTGCACCCATTCCGGAAATCAAGACGATGTCGTCTGGGCCTGCTTGGCTTATATTTGTGATTGCGCCCATTCCGGTTTGAAGGCCACAACCAAGGGAGGCAAACAACTTGAGCTCACTGAGATCCTGGATAAGATCCTTGACGTTAACCACGCTGGCTGTTTTAACAACACTATACTGCGCAAAGCTAGACTGGCCAAAGAAGTTTGACCAAATGTTTTCGCCCCCGTGAGTTTTCATGGATCCCTGCTGACCAACGTAGTTCTTCGGTGTAAAAGAGTCACAATATGCCGGATGAGAAGTCTCGCATTGCTGACAAGTTGAACAATAGTCAAATGACAACAGAACTGGATCTCCGACTTGCACCGACTGGATATCCTTTCCCACACCACGCACAATGCCGGCACCGAAACAACTTTGCGGTTGAAATGGTTCTTTCGAGCAAAAGAGGATGAAAATGACAGATTGTGTTCATACCTTCATGGCCCACAACCTTGGGATATTGAATCCCAGCCACTCCAGCTGGGACACTTGAAAGAACAATGTCCGTGTGACAGATGCCTGCAGCATATATCTCCACTAGTACCTCGTCATCGCCTGGGGACCCAACCTCGACTTGCTCAAGCGACCAATTCACTCCTCCAGGCTGAGCAGGCTCTCGCACCACAATTGCTTGGCTTGTCATCATAGCGAGTATGCGATTCAGGACTAAGGTTGGTCATAATTTGCGGGGCGATTTGATCTTATTTATATAGCTGACCCCGCAGTCCACGTTGTACCACGTTGCACAACCTCGGGCCGTAACTCTATGCGCAGTGCCTAGATAACTTTATACGTAGCCTAGCAAATCAGTGTTCTCTAGAGCAGAATGTCTTGCTCGATTATGCTGGTTTCTATCGGCGTCTCTCCTATCCTGTCTTGCTAGCTTGACTGCGCCATCCAACCTCGCCTCCTCTGCGTATTCCCATCGTTTATGTTTCGAATATGCGCTCACTTATCTACTCTCATCGGGATCAAGCAGATCTAGGTTATCGTTACCCAGGTGCCTGTCTATGTCGTTGGAATCTATGAAGATTAGCGAAGTCTGTATAAAACAACGTAAACCCAAGCTAAAGGGTCTATATGCGCAATCAGTATCGGAATAAATAGAGACCCTAACTGAGAGTAATACAGAATGAAGCAACAAAAGATCCATAGCCAACTAGCACTGGGTAAATCGAGCCATAAACATAATAATATTTCAATGGATCAATTGTTATCATTATCAAGGTCTTCTGTTGGCTTCGAACGGACATGAGCTTTGAGGGACGTTATACGAAAGGTTTGAAAAGCATTTAAAGACACAACGGCGCTCTTTGTTTAAATTCCAAGCAGTTGCTTATTGCTCGCTGGTTTCAGCCCTATACATTGGAAGTGGCAACCTGGTCGGTGGTCGGCGTTTCGGCGTCCGCCCTGGCGAATCCGGGGTAGCGAGGCCCCGACGCCGACATTTGACGCCCAAAAATGGGGAGATCTGACATTCGTCGCCCTCAACACAGGCCGACTAGCGAGAGGGTGTGGCTTTCGGGTGGCTTTTGGAAGGTATGGGATGTTGGGACAAGGCATCTGAATTGAAGTATATAGTCCTGGTGGACCCATTGTGCCCTTTGCACCGTGAGTCCATGAATCCACAATCCGATCTTTGAGATACAACATACATTCTTGTTCAAGAGCATAATTAATACTGCATATATTCATTCGCAAACAATTTCAAGGTTCGTGCTACAAGCCTCTGTTCATCCCATTCCTCTAATAATAATCAGAAAATGGGAGGCCCCTATATATACCTCTCACGGCCTCCATGGGAGGCCGACCAACAAAGTCCCTCGATGTCCCAATATGCTCCGTCTTTCTCTTCCTTTTCCTTATTGGCGCCGCCTGCAATATGACACTCTTCCGTCTCAACCTCCGAAAACAACACAAATTCATCCCCTCTGCTGCGACATTCGGTTTCTGCATGTCGCGTGTTATCGCAAACATCATCCGCATCGCCTGGGCCTGCCATCTGACAAATATTAGCCTTGCGATTGCATCACAGGTTTTTGTTGCAGCCGGCGTGGTAATCCTTTTCATCTTGAACTTGCTATACGCACAACGCATGTTCCGAGCAGTCTACCCGGCCGTGGGATGGTCCCCGTCATTCTCATGGGCGTTCAAAATAATGTACGCTCTCGTTTTGGTGACTATTATCATGGTCATCACTGTCGTGATTCAGAGTATGTATACTCGAGACACGAACATCCTTCGTATCGATCGCGACATCCTACTCTACGGCCAGACCTACTTCACCATTATCTCGTTCCTGCCACTTCCTCTCGTCGCGGTCACTCTTCTGTCTCCAAACAGAAAGCGCATACAACAGATCGGCGAGGGTAGCTGGGTTAGCAAGGTCTTTATTGTTGTGCTTGCCAGCTTGCTACTCTGCCTCGGTGCGTCCTTCCGTGCTGGTACCAATTGGATGACACCCCGTTCCGTTTTGGATCCGGCCTGGTATCATGGCAAGGCTTGCTTCTATATCTTCAACTTTACCATTGATTTCTTGGTTGTTGTTTTATACTTTGTGTGTCGTGTTGACCAGCGATTCTGGGTTCCCGATGGAAGCTCAAAGGTGCGCCATTACAGACGAGAAGAAGGCGAGAAGAACACCCAGACTTCACAAAGTGAAGCATCTCTCCAAGCTCAAAATGAACGAGACCTTGAGAGTCGGGATCACAGTAAGCCTCAGAGTTTGATAGAAGAAACAAAATGAGTCCAGGGAATACCAAATTGTGATTGTTTATTGAACGGCAGCTATAGATTATTCAAGTTATCGGGATATGCTTAGGTTTATGTCTTAATGTTTATGGATCAAGACCACTTTTGTATATAATGTGCTTCGTCCGATGTGAAACAGTGGTCTGATTAGTAGATTTTGATGCTCAATCGAGCCCGGAGGTGCTGTTGCAACAAATTTGACAGGTGATTTCTCTAGACGACCTCCTAGTAGGTCCGGGGCCACTTAGCTCTCGAATATGGTGCTGCGAGAAATTCGGATGAAACTTTCTTCATAGCCATATAGACAGATAGTCGGCGTCGCCACGGCTCTCTCATAATAGCAAGTTATCCTAATAGCTTTGATCTGCCTGTTCGAGTCTTTGTTCATCTGTTCCAAAGGGCGCAATGGCAAGCAAAAAATAGTCCGAAAATGGATCATATAGGAGCCAGCTCGACCCAAAGATAGAAGATATAGAAACATGGCTGGAGCACCGTGTTGTGTGTCAACATCGGTGCTAATATCACCGGCATGCTTGACTTAGTAGGGATAGTCCTGTCTGTATTTTTCTCATTATGTTCCCGCACAATATTGTTGGTGACCGTGACGCATATCACAATGTGTTCCCGAACCGTACAGATCGCTATCTGGGCTCAATCTTGCTCTTCGTAGAGCAAGGAAGAAGGTGAGATCCCTGGTTCTGCACTGTCGGATTTCTCGAACATGATCCCTGAGTGGTCAGCACTTAAAACTGTCCCTCGTTAGCCTTTTCATCAACCAGAAGCTGGCGCTGCTGTTGGAGTTGGAGGGTAATGCAGATGACCCCAAATAGTCCGAATTATGCATTCTCTCAGAGGTTGAATCCAGCCCTGGTACGCTAGAAGTCGAGATCTAAGCAGATGCCTAGCAAGGATAGAGCTGACGGTGGTAACGATGAGACCTCTGATACGAATGGACTCCATGGCAGTGTTTCAACTGCAGAGAGATGAATCATCCGGTTCCTACCAGAATCAGCCGTGCCCAGGGTACTCCTACAATCTCGTGGAACTGGGTCTTGCAAATGGTCTTTTATTTTCATGATTGGTATCAACAAGTGGCCAGGCATCGAACCATACAGAATTAAATAGGCGAGAGCCCTGTTCGATTGCAACCCCCATTCTCCGCCAGTCCAATTGCCTTTCGAAGGACAAAAATGAGATCTATCAAAGGAAATAGTCGGGTGTGCGCCTCGATACCATAGGTTCTCCCGCTCGGGGGCAAGGGTCGAATTGTAGGCTTGGGTGATGTCAGTAAGATGTACCTGAAAGTACCAGCTAGATGAATACTCACAATGTGTATTTCAAATGCTCGTCAATCTCCATAATGGCGGCTTGGTTGCCGCAGCGGTAACAGTAATTTGGTGCTGTGGTCTGGTGAGTATTGTGGTCTATCGCATCCGGTAACGAGAAACATACCTGAGAAAATAGTGACCACATTTCGATCCTGCGACCAGTTATATCCTTCCATCACCAATTGATGGGCACGTGCCACCAGAGTCAAGCCGTTGTTGTGGTTGAAGGCTTCAGAAATATCCTGTCCGAACGTGTAGCCAGCACCTCGGGGGGAGATTCCCCATCCGCATCGGTCATCAGGGTCACTCCAGAGCAAGTCACACATGGGACCCTCGTGAGGAACTTCTTGAATACGATCAAGCGACCGAATGTTGTCTAGAGTGTCAATGGACGGGCTCAGTCCACCGTGAAGACAGAAGATCTGGTTTTCGATTAGAGCAGTAAGGGGAAGGTAGTCGAAAAGGTCTGTGAAGTATTTCCACACGTTGGCATTGCCATATTTGCGGAGACATTCGTCATAGAAGCCGTAGACCTGTGTGATCTGTCGGGACTCGTGATTTCCACGGAGAATGGTAATACGCTGCGGATAACGGATCTTCAAAGAGACCAGAAGGGTCACAGTCTCAACTGAGTAGTAACCACGGTCGACGTAGTCGCCTATATCAAAAAAATTAGGACTGCTACCCCACAACGCGTTCATCCGACCGTCGTCCCACTTACCCATGAAAAGGTAGTTTGTATCCGGGTTAGGACCGCCAATGCGGAAAAGCTCCATTAAATCATGGAACTGTCCGTGTATATCACCGCAGACCGTAACCGGGCATTTCTGTCGGATACGTCAGTGGGCTGGGCGGGCACGACAACAACCCGACCGAGAAACAACATACCACTGGCTGAACATTGGATTCCTCCTGCAATACTTCTCTTGCCTGGAAAACGTAGAAATGATCAACTTGAATTCATTCTCATCAGTCTCTCAAAACAAGGAACCCACCCGATCGCACAGCCGCCGCACATCTTCCTCCGCTAATTGCTTGCAAGTCATCAAACTCTCGATCCAGCCGTCCAGAGTCGGTATGGACCCGGGGTCGCTTGTTGGCGACAGACGGTGTGGCTCGGGGGACCGCGCAGTATCGATTTCCATGTTGTTATCCATTGCGTCGGTGTTCACAGCTGGCTAAAAAGGAGGGGCCAGCTGGGGAGGGGCGGTCTCGTGAGAAAACAACGGAATTCGTGGACGAGCGCAGGTATCGTGGGGGTTGAGAACTATGTGGGATAGTTATGCTTCAGATGGCAATTCAATTAAAAGACAATGTCCCAAGATCGATTCAAGGGATAAGGGGATGGGACTTGGGAACGCGAGGAGGGAGAAGAGATGGGAGTTCGGGAAGGTCAAGTTGAGAGTGGTGAATCGATGCGCCACACTTCAGCCACACACCGCTTTATCCAAGGTTGCCTACGTAATGACCAACTGCGCTATTGTACAGGATGAGTCCGGGGTTTATGTCTTTATTGAGTCGCTTTGATAAGGAGATGTGATCAAACGAATTGAGGGTGTTTCAAGAAGTAAAAGTCCAAAGTGGTGGAGTCAACGTCAAAGTGAGTCATGTCACTTAAAGATAGCTGTACGGAGTAGCTGCTTGTCAATTCTGAAACCGATTCGTCAGATTTAGGATCAAAGGATCTTCTTATTTGCGTGGTTTCACTTTGCCATGACTCGTTAGATGATATCGCCGCCAAATCCGCCGCCAAATCCACCGCCAAATCCACCGCCAAACCCGCCAAACCCACCCCCGCCTCGTCCATTATTACCGAACGGTGCTTGATTACGACCAACAGGCGGTTCGCCAGGTCCTACGGGGTCATATCTTGCACCAGGCGGTGCCCGGGGATCATATCCACCATTTCCAGTGCCTCTGCCACCGAAGAGGGGGTCATCAAAAGTGGGATGCATACCTCCACCACCAGGACCAAAGCCAGGGCCCATAGACCCACGGAAAGGATCATTTGGACCAAGTCCTGGTGGGTAAAGATCGCGCTCACCAATGTTGTAGGGGTTCCTGCCTCCAAACCCTCCTGCGTATCCCCTTGGGGGTCGGTTGATCTCGAACTCATCTTCAAATCCTGGTGGGGCAAAGTCTCCGGGTGGGTTGGAGCGGCGGGGAGCCGCTGCTAGGGGGTCATCGAATGGGTATGGGCGGGCAGGCTGGGGGAGAGAGTCATCACGGAGAGGATCCCGCTCTCTTTCTTCCTGTGGTCGCTCCCTGGACGGCTGGGACCTGTCTTCATACCCCTCCTTGTACAAACCGGGCGCAAGCTTCTGTATGACGTTGATCTTGAACAGACCGATCAAGTCGCCTAGTCGAGCCGGTGAGATGAAGACATCCCGTACCGACGCTGTGAGACTTTCTGTCGATTGTAGAGGAAGCGCAGAAGTGGAGATATAGTCCTTGGCGGGGATGTCGAACGAGCTGGTCCTGTCATCGCCCAGGGCCAGCGCAAAAACCACTGCATTGTTTCCCAGCCGACTCACTTTGAGCAAGTATTGCATTGAAGACTGCGCGTGGGCATATCGAAAGGCAAATGTATCGTTAGCGTTCCATTCTGCGGGGAGGGAAGGTGTATCTGTAGACGATTCTTGGGGAAGTCAGCAAGAGCGTATCGATGCGATCGATCCAGACATTGTATACCTAAGTTGTGATCTTCACCAAGGCCGACCAGTCTGAAATCCACTGCTGTCATGCATGCATGGCCAATAAGAGCCACAGCTTCGTACGGTGTTTTGAGATTCGGGTGTCCATCTGCTGCGGGTTGGATAGCTCTGACTGCAAGGTCCAGGATGTGATCCTGGCGAAGCACACCTGCACCAGCCATTTTTGACATATGCTATATGATCCGGTGGTAGAATAGCTGGATGTGTTCCGTGCAATAACTGGTATCTGTGAAATTGATGCGAAGACCAAAATTGCTAGGCAACCACTGATGATGCGCGATACCTAAATCCCCAAGCTGACCTCACCTGGAGCTACTAAGCCGCATGGAGCTACTGTGGCGTCGGAATAAGGATGATCCGTCCTAGCTATCTGCCCCACTTGCCTTGGCTATTTTTGGCCAAGCCGAGGGTCGTATATAAAACATCCTACAAGCACCGAGATAGGTATGAGGGAAATAAAATGATTTGTGTCTTCGCTCGGTGTATGTTCTCTCTATAACATCGACTTCGGGAAATCCTTCATTGCCTGTCGCACTCCCAAATCTGCCAGAATCTCCTCAGTTCCACCCAAGATAGCATCAAACTTGTAAGTGCGATGGAACATCTCAATGACCTTGCCCATTCCCGACTGAGTAATACCACGACCGCCAAAGATATTAGTGGCGGCGCTGGCAATTTCACCAGCAGACTGAGTACAGTATGACTTGAGTAGTCCGATAGGTCCACCCAGATGCTTTGCTTGCTGGGCATATGTCATGTTGCACATCTGATAGGCGATGGACTCGAGCCATGCCTGGTTAGACTCGGTAAGGGAGATCATGCGGGCAAGCCTTCGGTTATTAGTCAGGGGATATTCACGGTGAATGATTGGAGGAACTCACTTCTGGCGAATGACTGGTTGTTCAATCAACTTCTTGCCGAAGACAATACGCTGATTGCACCACTTCATGGTCTCTTCCACAACCATCATCGACATGCGTACCACAGCAGCGACCATCATGAAGCGCTCGTGGTTGAAATTGCTCATGATAACAATGAAACCCTTGTGCTCCTCGCCAAGCAGGTTCTGGACGGGAACCTTAACATTCTCGAACTGAACGAAAGCGGTGGCAGCGGCGGTCGAATACGAAGTCTTAATTTGCTTGGTCTCAACACCCTCGCCACGAGGAATCAAGATCACCGAGAAGCCCTTCTCGGTACGGCAGCCAGTGACGAAGTAATCGGCGAACATGCCATTGGTAATCCATTTCCTAAGCAATGTTAGCGCATATTTCTTTTCCAGCATAGTACAATACAATCGAGCTTACTTGGTTCCGTTGATAATATAGTGTTTTCCATCAGGAGTCTTCTCCGCAGTAGTCTTCAGACCAGCAACATCACTACCAGCAAAGGCCTCAGTGATAGCCAGACACATCTTCTTCTGGCCAGACAGAACTTCGGCATTAATGCGCTCCTTGAGGACAGGATCGCGCAGCCATTGTTGGACAGCCGTCAAGCTAATAGCCATACCGGCCATGTTACCATCCTGGAAGCCACGAGCGTTGGCACGGACCAATTCCTGCGTGACAATCATGTCATGCAGGTAATCGAACTCCTTTCCATCCACAGCGCCGCCAAGCAAGGTACGGTTGTGCAGATGCTTTCCGGGGCCTAGACGCATAGCCAAAACATTCGTCTCGGCCATGCGGTTGATCAACTCTTGGCTGATATAGGTACCATCCTTCTCCTTTTCTTGCGCTTCGGGCGTCACGTGTTTGTCTGTGAATTCCCGCATGGCTTTCTGCAGGCGTCGGTGGCTCTCCTTATAGTAAGGGGACTTGAATTGGGATCGCAGCCAAAGGGGCTCTGCGTAGGGCACGGGGCTGATGGCTCCAGGTGTGGGAGAAATGACCTCGGGCTTTTCGCCTTCGATGGTACCCACGCAAAGCTGGTCACGGTATTTCTCCAGCACCTCCTGGCGATGCAGGTTATAGAAATCGCTTGTAGCATCCTTGCCTCCTACCTGGGCAAGGACGACGCCACCACCGGGGTGAGCATCGACAAAATCAGTGAGATCGTAGACCCGGTGGTCGATGATGCACCAGAGGGAATCCTCGGTGTTGTGCTTAGCAACCTCCGCACGTGTGAATGTTTCCGCCATCTTTGTGTATAGAGAAGGGAAGAAGGAAAAAGGAGGTAGTAAATACCCCGGATTGGCAGTCGCCAATCATGCTATTGCTGATTCAAATTAAGCCGAGGCCCGAGGATTCCGTGATGTAATCATTGTCCATGATCCCGGGATTGTGTCGCGCCTGCTCTGATTTCGTGGCAGCAACCCCGAATAGCCGCAAGAGAAAGAAAAGTCCATCAATTACTGGACCGAGCCGAGGGTGGGTAAATACGATTGATGATATCCGCGCCGGAACCAGGCTGTTGAATTGAAATCACCAGGGGTACGCACATCTCGATTCTGCCACGACCCACTGCCCACGTCCGGGTGATCCACATGCACGTGTCAACTTCAGCATGCAACTTTTGTATACCTTCATGGTTACTCCATTCAGAGGGAATCAGAGGTAAATGGGCATAATCGTTTTGACTGAAGGTATAATGATTTATCGATAGATGATAGATCCCAATATTATGATGCTGTGCCCAAAATATATATGCACCCGCCCTATGTATGTAACCCTACCTACTTAAGGTACTACATCTACAACAGTCTACAACATTACTAAAACATTGTGAAGAACCTTGGAAAGCAGCTAAACTGAATGGATGGATGGAGTCTATTCATAAGTACATTGTGACATGGCATAAGGCTTCATATCGTTAGCGATCCCCTTTGCAACGACCGGCCTTGATATCTTTCATTGCCTCTTCCATCAACCACGAACAAACAGGCTGCGCGTCGCTTCCAACTCGCCAACTGCCCAGCACAACTCCATGCTGTTCGAGAACCTCACTTGCGCGATCCCAACGACGTCGCCAGAGCTCCTCACGTTTATTTGGCAGGGGCGCAGGAGGTACTCCCGACTCGGCATTCGACGCCGCTTTCCCAAGTGATTGACTGGATCTGCTGGGTCGTAGTCCAGATGATCCTGAGAAGTTGAGCCGGTCGCTTGCATATTGGAACCCTTGATATGCAACTTGAGCGGCTGCTGCTGGATATGACTGGATGCCACTCGCAGGGGCTGGAGCTGGAGCGCGAGGAGGCGGCGCTGGTACGCTGGGATCTGAGTTGGCTGTCGATGACCCGGTATTTGAGCGACGCGGAGGCGGTGGAGGAGGCAGTGGTTTGGTACGAGAACTCTGTGCCGGGTTGTGAGAACCTGCAGACCTATCATCAAGTCCCTTCAGCCACGAAGATGGAACACCGTTCGTTGATGGTACAGTGCTGCTCAGAGGGATCGACGGTAAAGGATCTACATCGAGCAATGACTCTGTCTTGGGCGTAGAACCACGTCTGGGTGGCAAGGGTGGAACCGGTTTGCGCTTGGGAGCCTCTTGTGCAGGCGCGGACTGGGTATCAGTCTCTGGAGCATCCGAAGGGGTGGTCGACTGGCGCAATGAGGATGGCTGAGAAGACTTTGCCAGATCAGCTGGCGTCGAAACCATGCGCAGTGCAGAGGGTTTATTTGGTTTGGCAGGACGTGGCCGTGGAGTGGTAGGATGGGTGAGTCCAGCTGGGGGTGGCTGGTCGTCAATGATAAGATCTGTGAGGTCAATCAAGTCTTCAAGATCAAGATTTTTTGGATCCGTGTCATGTTTTGCTACGGGCACTGCCGTTTCAATGGTGGTGCCACCTCGGGGTGGCAGCGTCGGTCTGTTGCTCACGGCATCTGAATGGTCCACGACATCTGGTGAACTGCGACTGCGTTTGATCTGGTCCAGATGGCCGACAGATTTATCAAAGAATTTCTGGGCTGGTGGGGTCGTCACATCACGAATGAACACACCCAGGATACGGCCAGGGTTGGCCAAAACAATCTCGGTGTAAACCTCCAGATCAGCTTCACCACTGTCACCGACGAGAATGAATTTTCGCCCAGGGAAATCCTGCAGAATTTGTTCTAATGATCCTCGTTTTCTCTCTGCGGTGGGCTCAAAGATTCCTTGAAGCATGCCTGAGTACTGTTTGAGGTGGAAAGAGCCAGGAGGCAACCCCACTAACTTGAAGTATCGCTCAAGAAGGGGATACAACTGCCAGGGAGCATTCGACACATAGTGAATTTGTACGCCTTGCTTGGCTAGTTTGGAGTACCAATCACTAACACCTTCGATGGTAAGTTCATCCAATTCGCGAATGAATGTGTTGCGGAACATCTCTTTCGCTCCACTCGCGATAGCCGAGTGTTTTACTGTGTCGTCGATGTCACTGATCAAACTGATTCCGACGGGATCAATGACTTCAATCGGTCTTGCAGCAGACAGATCCTCAGAGGCCAACACACGAATATGAGTAGGCACAAAGGGCAATGTAGCGCGAAGTGAAAAATGCCCTGATTCATCCGTCGCGATGTTCCGAGATTTACTATCAGTATCATTGAAGAAGAACACAGTCACTGGGATACTCCCCACAGGATTTGTCAAGAAAGGACGAAGTCTTTCCATCAGGTGGGCATTTGCAATAGACAATTCATCTTTAGTCAATGGTGCGGATTTGGTGTCTCGCTCCATATTTGAGCCCTTCCAAGCTGGGTCTGCTTCCTTCTCGGCCTTGGCGACTAATGTCTTTATCTCTCTATCAATGTATTCGTCGTCTGTTCTTCCAGAACCTTTGTCGTCACCATCATCATTTGCCGTTCCAGTAGGCGCGGGAATCCCACTCAGCTTTCTGGCCAGGGCAATCATCAAGCGGTGCTTTCGGCTAATCGGTCCGCGCCCAGGAGAGTAGATCCAGCCACGCACGTCAACAGCAACTACTGCATCTTCACTCTCTGTCGCATCCCAAGAAGGAGTGGAGGAATGGTCAGCCTCATCGGCTCCGCCCCGGTATTCATTGATAGTTTCAGATAACGAATCACGCCGCGCGCGCGAGCCATTGCCGGCGCTCTTCTCCGGCAGTCTTCGGGCATAACTAGGAAATACGACCATCTCCTCATCGCCTGACCGTGCAATCTCGACATCTGGGAAAGCACCGGGGGTATTGTAGTAATCCTCGTCGTGTTCATTCCTTTGTCCTGACCATTGCGATGTATAAGCTTGACGCAACTCATTCGCTGCTTTGAAGTAATCGTAGACCTTCTTTCGACGACTATTTGGGGCAGCAGCACCATCGCCGCCTCCAGGTCCCCATGTTGCTGAACTTCCGGGCTGCGACATCGCGTCTGTGGTTGTTTCCTTCGGTCCGTGGCGGGGCTCCCGAATCGACTTTTGGTGTCTTCTTGCGGGACTGCTACCGGATGCAATAGATTTCCCCGAATTTGAGCGTCGTCGAGATCCAAGAAGATAAGTCACAAGGCGTCCTCCGAGCCTGGTATCGCGTGCTGCGAGTCGCGCTTGTCGCTGGACGATCGCTCGGTAGACCCGCGATTGGGCCCGGTGTCGGAGCGCGGGGATGGTCTCGTGCCGGAGACCCCAGAGATGGGATTGGGCTCGTCTAGTTGCGTGCAGGCCAACGATTAACCGAAGTATATGGGAGAGTCTGCTGGGTCGAGGCTCGCGAGGGAAGGACGGGAAGAGACCAGGCGGGCGTTTGAAGAGGTAGGGCCTCGACCGGAGGGTTGGCCAACGAAAACGAGGTTTAGGCGCCAGGATCTCGCGTAGTTTAATTTACGAGGAAAAGAGGGTTCCGAAATAAAAAGCCAAGTCAAACAAGGCTGATGTGCAAAGTGGTTGATTTCCTGCGGGGAAGAGATCGGCCATGACGGTGATTATTCGGAATCTTCACCGCGTTCCAACTCCCGATTCTGGGCATCTGGAGTGTGAGATTAGTTGATTGCTGGTTTTTGTGTAGATCATATTTATACATGATCACCTAGGTATTCTCATCATCTAATTGAACGTCTATCAGATATATGTACGGAGTATACGAGGTTGTTTTGTACTCCGTAAAGGGACATGCTATATGTACTTAGGTAGGATGTGGACTTATACTTGAGAAGTTCGATTTTGATCTATCAGTTGGTAAGAGCACTTCTTGCTGTCCAAAATTCAGGCCGAAAAAGCTAATATACAAAGCATAATATACAGAGCACAACCAAGCGCCCATTATACACTGTCCTCAGTGTAGTTCACTTTTTTCGCTCGTGAACTTCGCCGAGAGAGTGAGACTCCCAGTTCTGCTGAGATCACTTGGGTCTCTTCTGGCTCTGGGGTAGACTCAATGTCCGAAAGCTTGCGCTTGCGACGAGTCTTGGCCGATGGAGGCGTGCGTTTAGCGACGCTTGCTGTCTTTTTGACGGGCGTTTCTTTCTCCGTGGGAATGTCAAGGGTACCATCATCCATGACATCCTCAATCTTAGTCTTTTTGGAGGCAATTTTCTTTGGACTGGGAGCGGCTTTGGGTTTCACGATCTTCTTTGCCGGTCGGAGCCATTCTTCCATACCAGGAGGCCAGTATACTCGGCCCTCTGGTCCACCCATTCCAACTTCTTCGTCTGGAACGGTGCGAGGTGGTGGTATTAAGCCTTCTAGGTCCACAAAGCCGCCGTTTTTCTTGGACTTTTTGGGTGGTTTAAAGGGTTGATTTTCATCGGAGCGCATATATGGGATGAGGTCATTGACAAGATTGTATCCGGGGAGTTTGAAATTTCTCATCAATTGAAAAACGGCTTGTTCCTTGTCCTTGGCCTCGATCATCAAGTCCATAGTAGGCGCACAGGGGGGTAAAGTAGCAACGCGGTCGCTGTGTTTGCGCCGTTGGCGCGGAGTGATGGCAGCTGCGGTTGGTTCGGAATAATGCATTTTCTGGGTAATATTCTTGCGAGACCATGTCGCTGCTATACGCTCGTAGAGGGGTATGATATCCTCAGTGCCTTCACGGAGCTCATTGGCATCGAATATGATATTATGATGGTGATAGTCGAGGACAAGAGGAATATTAAGCTCTTCGCATATAGGAAGTAGATCGTGAACAGACCAGCTGACGTCGTCATTCTCCAAAACCAAGCGATTCTTGATGTCCTGCGACAACATGGCATAGTTTTTGCGGAATCGGTCGAGTGTGGCAGCCTTATCACCAAATACTCCACCCATATGCAGAATCATGACCGCATCGCGGTCCTGCTGTGGGGGTAGCTTAAGTAGCTGGAGCATCTCCGAGTGATATTCGAGATCACGAAAAGAACTCTCGATCACATTTTCCCGCGGTGATCCAAATTGCGTGAATTGGCCAGGATGAACTGAGACCCGGTGTCCAAGCTCTGCGACCACTCGTCCTACATCGGCTAATGCCTCCGAGGCGAACGGCGCCAGTTTGTAACCATATTCCGCGTGGCTGGCAAATGGGAACATCTCACTGCTCAGTCGCATGAATTTAATTCCGTACTTGTCGTTCCAGCGAATTATTTTGACCAAATCGCGTACATTCGCCAAAGCTAGCCCTTCGACAAAAGCCTGTCCGCGAGAGATATCAGCCGGTTGATCGCGGTCTGGACGATTCTTGGTAGGGTGTGCCGGCTGATCGGGATCTTGGAGTGGGTGTCGGTTTTCGAGTATAGAAGCGATTCTACATGTTCGAGAACAGAACACGGAAGGTGTGGAATAGCGAAGGTATGTATTTAAGCAGGCCTATTGAGTCAATCAGATTTAGGACCGTACGCTTAAGGTTAATTATAACTAGCACGGTGCGACTCACATATCCTAACCGTCCTTTCCAAGGCAGTGGAAGATAGCTGCTGTTTACCGGAGGTGGTCGCCCAAGAGCCTCTTTCAGCTCATCGGCATCAACGGGGATGTCTTCATCTGATTCCGGATCCAATGCGGTCTTTGCTGGATCAGAAGGGGGGTAATTGAGAATATCTGCTGGACTCGCGTCGAATCCAGGTGTCTCAGGCGCCATGTCCACGATTTTTGGATCCAAATATCTCGTTTCTCGACCAGTATGCTGGGAATAGGAACGAGATGATGTGATCAGGGAATTCGCAGCGCACTTGGAGAAGTGCAGCCCAGATGTAACCGCATGACGGGCATGGATATCTACTGGGGTGAGCGATCTGGTTCTCGCCACAGAAACGGACCGATCGGAGATTCTCAATGACGTGGGGCGACCCTGCAGGCCAGCTTCCAAGGAATCAACATGTTGGACAGACAGACCCTGCAGTAGCCGAGCAAAAGACCGCCGACACATTCAGCAGACTTTTGGGGTCAAGGGACTTGAGTGGAAGAGAAGTTCGCGAAGCACGGATGACGCGCTAATCGTCAACGCGACTTCACCGCGGCAATTGACCTCGTCGCTAAGTGCAAGTCAACCAATCTCTTCTCGGAATCACAATTTTATTTTTTGCTTTTGGCAATAAGATCACTACTATACGGCGTATATCTTCCAATCTTGCGAGCTGTCCATTGAGTAGCATTGACAGTAAGGCAAGCTTCTAATTAACATCGCGACGATCAGACCTCGGAGACACAAGGTCGAAACCGTACGCAATCGAAGTTTTGTTTTCGATTAGCCATATATGTATCTATGGATCATACATGCGAAATCAGGATTTGGAATTGGAGGGAAGTCTCGTGGGCACATCGATCTCGGGGAGTAGGGTCCTAGGCCATTCAAACGGGCTTCTCTGCAACCCCATTGAACAACTTAAGCATACCATTCGCAGCGTGCTCCCCAAGGGCATCAAGGCTTCCCATTCCCATGAGTTCAAGTACACTGATATCGAACCCGAATGTCGTCTTCCACCACTGTCTGATCTCAATTGCCACGAGCGAGTCCATTCCCAGATCAGACAGAGAGCAGGAGGTGACAAGGTCTTCTTCAGGCTTCAACAAGAAGCTAAAGATCTTCTTTCCAATTTCCACAGCCAAAAATTGAGCAGAATCAGGTTGGTCCAGTAGCACGGCGCCGGTCTTGGCCTCTACGATGAAGGCGTCCAGGTCAGAGCCAGAAGTCGAGCTTGAGCTGACACCGGCCCTCCCAATGTTATGGAAGACTGCCATTCGCACGTCCTTCTTCCAGATCAGGCGGTTCCTTTGATCGCCCATAGGCACATTGGGGCGAATGCCAACGCTGAAGCTGCTTGCAACTGCTTGTCGCGAAGAATTGGACATTGATGTCATCGCTGCTTCTACAGCTTTGAGAAGCTCGATCTCTGAGACCATACTGCCAACACCACCGGCAGATTTGAGCCTTTGTAAAATCTCCTCCCGCTCGGAGGCGTAGCCGATGCCGTCAACGACGCCAATGTCAATAGCACAGGCTGGTAGTCCCAAGTTCACTCGATACTGCGAAAACGCGTCCAGGAATGTGTTGGCTCCAGCATAGTTTACTTGACCTGGTAAACCAAAGATACCAGACACAGAGCTGAAAAGGACGAAGAAGTCAAGATCTGCCTTGGCGGATACTGAGGCTTTGTGGAGATTCCACGTTCCCTTGACCTTCGGATCAACAGCTGTGTCCCATCCTTCGAGTGTCATGCGACTAAAGTTCTCGTCACGAAGATCCATGGACATTTGTAATATACCCTTGAGCTGGCCATGCGCCTGTGAAATTGCCCTGGTCACATCCTCAAGATTAGAGACGTTACCACGAACAAACTCGACCCGGCATCCCATGCTGGCAAGCTCTTGAGCAAACTCCTGGTGGAGTTCGCTTAAACCCGCAGAACGCGAAAGATATATGAAATGACGTGCCCCATGTTGTGCCATCCACGTGGAGATGACCCGACCCAGACCTCCGAGGCCACCTACAAGTAGGTATGCACCAGAGCCGTCGAGTTGCGTGGGTTTCTTGGGTTGCTGGATATTTTGTACGGCAGTCACCTGGCCTGACGCATCGCGCATCGACACAACAATCTTTCCGAGATGAACACCCTGTTGCATATAGCGGAAGGCATCGTGTATGTTATCAGAGTCAAAGACCTTGATGGGTCTGATAGGATGAATGTGGCGCTCTCGAAGTAGCTCTACAATTTCCTTCAACAATCTGCACGGTATGTTAGATATCAACTATCCCAAATCGAGAGGCCCGCATGGTTCACAAATACTCACTTCTTCGCAAGTGTCGGCTTTCGCGAACAGATCTGATCAAGATCAACGCAGCAGTAACTCCGGTTCTCCAAGAAAGGAGTCATATCAAGTTTTGCAGAGCCAATCAAGTCTCGCTTGCCAATCTCGACCAGTTTTCCAAACGGCGCAACACACTTCCATGTAGCATGCAGCAGTTCACCAGACAAGGAATTCAATGCCAAATCGACACCCTCACCATTTGTCTCCCGCATGATGTCCTCAACAAATGAGGTATCCCGGGAATTAAGAATCCTGTTTCGTGGAAGACCAAATGTATCCATGAGATACTTGACCTTCTCCTCATTACCGACAGTTGCATAAATCTCAGCACCAACCATCTGAGCAAGCTGGATTGTAGCAATACCAACTCCGCCGCAGGCACTGTGGATGAGAATCGACTGTGGAAAAAAAAAGAAAAATCAGAATTTGGATCAAGCCGTTAGAGGATTGAAGGGAAACTGACCTGTCCTTTTTTCAAATTTCCAACGTCGAAAATGGAGTATAACGATGTACTGAACACGCAAGGCATGGTTGCTGCGTCGTGAAAGCTCAAGCCACCTGGGATCTTCTCACACAGGTTCTCGGAGACAACCAATTGACTTCCAAACAAACAACTTCCGACAACCATGACGCGGTCGCCAACTTTCAGATTCTGTACCTCTGGACCGATGCGGCGGACTATGCCGGCACCTTCATGGCCAAATTCATTATCTTTGGCTTCAACAATGCCCATGGCACATAGGACATCCTATGAAACTAGTATAAGCATGCGTTACTTCATCACCAGTTGCATAATGGCCTACCTTGAAGTTCAATCCGGTTGCGTAAGTGTCAATTTCCACATCATCCCCCTTCAGGATCTTTCTTTCCTCCTGGGCCCAATGTAAGGCAGCTAAGCGTCCGGACTTGCTGCTTCGAAGAGCCATGCTGCCTTCTGCGTCCAAGATTGGCTCAATCCCATCCTGCGCTGAGAAGAAGTGATACCTTCCAACATGAACAGTATTGTCCAGAATCGCGTATTCGAATTCAGGCTTGAGTGTCTCATCTTCTTGGCGAACCTGGAACCTCTCAAACACGTCAATCAGTTTTTCTAAAGAGGAGCCAACATCATCGACCTCGCAAGTAGCAAAGTCGAGTAGCAGCTCATTGCGAATTGTCCTGGCTATGCCGTTGATCTGCGCAAACCTCGGATCCAGGCATCGGATCTGCGAGAGCCCAGTCACCCAGAAAATACCACGATCATTGAGGGTTTCCATCATCTGCTTGAAATTTTCAAATCGTTGATTATCCATGTTTTCAAAGAATGACACCTCTTCGTCAAGCAAGGCAAACACATCTTGTCCGACAGGCAGGGGCTCTTCTCCAAACTTGATATGATTAACCAAATATTCCCTGCTCTCCAGAGCCTGAATCACAAGGGTTGGATCCTTTGATTCTGAAAGGGTCAGAAGTGTGATTTGTTTCTTGGGCGTGATTTCAACTGCCGGCCGAGCAACGATCATAGCATTGAGCTGATGAGGATACGCTGTATCCAGAACCGAAGCATCAGGTGTTCGGAACCCAGCAGCTTCGAGTTCCCTTGCCCAGCGCTCAACGCCGATGTATGGCTCGTCAAGTCTACCGTCAGCCTCACCGTACCACCAACCGGCCAGAGTTCCAAAGATATAGTTGATCCATTTGCACGTAGGAGTCAACTCATGGAGCAAGAACCGTCCATTGGGATCAAGCAACTTTTGAATATTGCTCAAACTCTCATTCAAAGATGCAGTGGCGTGGATGACATTAGTAGCCAGAATAAGGTCATATTTCTGACCTTCAAAGCCTTGATCGAAGGGGTCTTTGCTGATATCAAGGCTGGAATATTCGATATTTGGATAATTGGCAAAGCGCTCTTTTGCAGCAACGAAGAAACCTGATGAGATATCCGTGAAGGTATAGTTCGTGTACAAGATTCTGTCGCCGGGCGTCAACTGTTTCAGTATGTTGGCTGTAGATCCGCCTGTTCCGCCACCGATCTCAAGGATGCGCAGATTAGGCTTGCTGTGGCTCAAATGCTTGAGGAATTGGGAAATATCGCACTGATCCATGGCATCATAGAGCTTGCTCAATACATTATCAGCGAGAAGAACACCCAGGGCTTCAACTTTGCCAGTGAAAATATCCTGAGCATTGTCGAAAACTCTCTCAATAGCCACGGCCAGATCGGCCGCATTAGTTGGTCGCATTTGTTCCACAAGTTGCTTAACTCTTTGCTGAATAGCAGTATTTTCAAGAGTTTGGAGATCTTCCAGATCCACAGACAAGAGGTGTTGATCAATCCATGATCGATACTTGTCCATGTGACTGATTGGGGTGTCTAATCCTGCAATGGCGCGTTTTGTGTGAATCATACACAAATGGGACAGTTCCGTCAAGAGGGGCATATAATAACTCCGGTCGATCAATGGCTTAATAAGAGCGTTGGTGTCCAGGAAATCGATGTGTGGAGCCCATTCTGCAAAGGCAGTAGCATCATCAGCCTTGCCAGCATCTTGATCGTCCAGGACTGAGAGTTTAATTCCAGAGCTCCGCAGGGCAACCTTGCCATCAGCAGCAATGCACTGCCCACTACCGGCAATGGAACCGTTTGGAGTATAAGATGCGGAAGCTCTAATTTCAACGTTGTCATAACAGCGGTAGATGAACATTTCTTTAATGTGAGTAGGAACCAGCATCTTGGTGACCTGGTCCGCATAGCCCTTGGATGCAGCAACGCTAAGAAGTTGCAATGACGCGTCAATAATCGTGGGATGCAGATGATAGTCTGTACCATCGGTACCCTTTGCAACAAGCTCCGATGTTGCATTCTGCGTTACGGTATCGGATCGGATGTGATCGAGGCGTTGGAATGCTGGGCCAAAGTTGAGGCCAGAATTAGCCATGGAATTGTAGCAACGAGCGGTATTGACGTTGCGCACAAGAGAGTTTCTCTTATGAGTATCTTCAACATGCTCACTGTGCGATCTAGCTTCACCAGAGCAGTGCTTGGTCCAGCCGGTTCCGTTGTGAGAAGCGATGGCGAATTCCCACCATTCACTGTCGAGGGAATCAGTTAAGCGATGGCGACGTAAGGTTGTCATAATCTCGACTGGAGGACCCTCATTCAAGACAAGAGCGGTGCTAACAATCACATTGCGCAATTTGAAACCCTCCTCTACCCCGGTGACCTGTCTCACAGCCTCGCCGATCATCGCCGCGTAGCAAGCGAAGGGGAAAACAATATCATCGCCGACCTTATGGTCACGAATCCAAGGTGCATTGTCCAAGTGGAATAGATTTCGGAAAAGAACATCGAAATCGAGACTCTCCGTTACTCGAACACCAAGGAGGTCATGATACTTGTATTCGCGGTGTCGCCATTCCTTGGCGAGCCGGGACTCGTACCAGTAAGTTTTTGAGTGATCCCATGGGTATCTGGGAAGATCTGGGAGAGTCAAGCCCTCGTTAATGACCCTACTCAAGTCAGGGACGGCATTGAGGGCATGGAGCTGTCCGATGGCCGTTAGGAATGATTCCGTGCTGTCCTGGTTGCGAACGAATGATGAAATATAAGGAGAAGAGTTGGAAACGTGAGCTTGTATTTGCCGCAAGGGGCCCGCAAGAGCGGAGTGCGGTCCAACCTCCAGTAATACCATGTTCTTTGCAATCTCGTGTTGCATGATAGATGAGACTGCAGAACGGAAGAGCACTGGCGACTGCAGGTTCATCTGCCAGTATTTGGCATCGAAGCTCTCGGCATCAGTGAGGAGCTTGTTCTCAACACTGCTGAAGAACAACTTAATTGGAGTTTTGGCAGACACTTCTTGTTCAATCAAAGCACGATACTCATCACCGATCTCAGCCATATGATGAGAGTGATATGCCTTGTCCACTTTCAGCTGTCTGGCCAATATATCAGGGTGATCGTCTTTGATCTTGGCAAGGACAGCTTCGACTGCCTCGCTATCGCCAGCAAGAGTAACACTCTTGGGCGAGTTCTCGCAGGCAACAACAACTCCAGGCTGTAGATATTCCTGAGCCGACTCTGTGCCCATGCCTATAGCTGCCATGGCTCCCGGTTTTGTTTGCAATTTTGTGACCTGGCCTCGATAGAATGCAATTGTGATTGCCTCTTTGGCTGTGATAGCACCAGTAGCATAGGCAGCAGCAATCTCACCACTGGAGTGCCCTACGACGGCGGCTGGCCGAATTCCAACGGAAGCTAAAGTGTCTACGAGAGCCACTTGGATTGCCGTGCAGAGAGGCTGGGATAACTCCGAAGAGCTCAGCCTGCTATCGTCTGGTCCCTTGAGAAGCTCCTCTTCAATAGTCCATTCCGGGACATGCGGGAGCGTTTGCAAATGCGAATCAAGGGCTTGGATGGTCTTTTTAAACGCTGGATAAACTGGATTGTGAATCATCGAGCCTCCCATTTGTGGCCACTGAGCGCCCTGGCCAGTGAAAACCATCACTATATTTGGTGCATCGCCTGATTTTGAGGGGGCCGAAGTCGTGAGCGAACCCAGGGGGCTTTTCACAGAGAATGCCCGATGTGGCAAGTGCTCCCTTCTGTTGCTCAGAGTGAACGCTAGATCGGCAATTTTGTCTGGGTTCTTCTGGATATAAGTTGTGTAGTTGGTGATCATCTGCTTGAGAGACTCGGCATTGTTTGCAGAGTACACAAGCAACTGTGGTGATATAGTATGTCGAGGAGCAGCGGGGGCGACACCAAAGCTCCGAGCTGAATCGAGCACAACGTGGGCGTTGGTGCCTCCAATGCCGAACGAGTTCACACTGATCCGCTCACTTCGAGCCTCTGGCCAAGGCATAGCCTCTGTAGGGACAGAGAGTCCATACTCTTCCCACTCAATATTGGGGTTGGGTGCTGAAAACTTGATGTTGGGAGGAATGATATGATTTTCCAAGGACAACACCGCCTTGATCAGGGATGTGATGCCCGAGGCTCCTTCGGAGTGACCAAGGTTGGGCTTGACAGACCCGATTTGGATGCCTCCAGAAGGACCAAACACTCGCCCCACAGCACGGGCTTCAATGGGGTCTCCCACTGGTGTTCCTGTGCCATGACATTCGACAAAGGCAGTCTGGGAGTAATCTGAAATGCCTGCCACTTCATATGCGCGTCGGATCATAGCTTCGTGTGAAATATCATTAGGGACATGGGGGCCAATTCCAGCACCCCTTCCATCACTGTTGCATGCTGTTGCTCGGATAACCGCTCGGATGGGATTTCCATCCCGGATGGCATCGGCTAAAGGCTTGATGAAAACAGCAGAAACTGCCTCGCCTCGAGCATAACCGTTGGCATCGGCGGAGAAGCTCTTGCAAGAGCCATCGGGCGCAATTACACCTTGCTCAGACATGGTCGCTGTCATGCCTGGTGCCATTATCAGGTTGGCGCCACCGACGATGGCTCCTTCACAGTCACCCCTGGAGACGGCCAGACATGCTTCGTGGAGTGCAACAATCCCTGCTGAGCAGCCTGTTCGTACAACCATGCTGTTCTCTTGATTAGAATACCAGGCTTTATTTGAAGACCATGGATCAACTTACCTCGGTCCCGTTAAATCCATTTCATATGAGACTCGATTCGGCAGCATGAAGTCTCCGTATCCGCTGACTCGATGTTGGCCATACTGCTGATGTTCTTTGACGGAGATCTCAAGCCAGTCTTCACCAAAGCTCCCCATGTAGCAGCCAATTGGTCGTCCTTTCCATTCTGTTTCACCAGCATCTTCCATGCACTCTCTGGCGACTTCCAGCATCTGTCGGTGATGCGGGTCCATCCGCTCTACTTCCACCTTTCCCATGGAGAAGAAGGACGTATCTACAGAAGCAATATCAATGCTTTCATCCAAGAAGTAACCGTATTCGGTTCTTGTGCTCCCCGATTTCTGCGTCTCGGAGTAGTACGCGGCGGCATTATATCTGGTCTTTGGCACTTGGCCACGGGCATCACCTTTCGAAAGCAAGAAATTCCACAATTGCTGGGGTGAATGCAGGCCTCCGGGAAGACGTACGGACATTCCACAAATGGCAATTGGCTGTGGAGCAGCCACCTTCGGCCTATCCGCATCTAGCATCATGGGCGTCATTGTTCCTGTTTTCGAGGTTTGCAGTGGGAGAATAAAGACAAAGATGTCTGAATTGTTAACCAATATTCCTGAAAACCGCGCATTATAAATGGCATTGTTTGGGATTCGGAGCTAACACCACCCGGCCCCGGTCATGGCGCCGCGGCCCACCACAGTCCTACCATCCTCTCGCCGTCCTATCCCAAAGGACTCATTTCAATTCATTATACCTCGCTAGTGGTTGTTTTCATATTGCAGGACATTATTATAAGGTTCTCGGTGTTACACAATCTATCCTACGCACGGAGTAGTAGAGTACTCACATGCCTTCCCCAGGCAGTCGCTATACCTACATCATACGGAGTACTTGGTACCTTGTTCACGCTGTCTTTTATAAGGATCTTACGACACTACGTTACATGAGCACAAGCCTAGATAGACCCTCGTTTTCTAGGTGCCTAACGGTGTATGGAGTACGGAGTACATCCTGGCCCAAGCTCAATGCACATCATCAAACTGGCCGATACTCCGTGCTCATTACAGGTATCTACATGGGTACATGTTTCCATCTCACCGCGTCTTTAGGTTTCATGCGAGGAGGTGTTCTTTTTCACTGCTGCTGGTGATTTGTTCGACTGTGTTTATAAAGATCTAATGGATACATGCGTGCCTTTGCGGTGAAGTATGCATAAAGCTGAACCTTGTGAAGACTTGGCGTTCCTCGTCGGCTTAGCGCATTCATCTTTGTGCATATCGGCTGTACGCCAATTTACGGAGTACAGAAGCCCTGCAGTCTGGACTGATCGTCCATTTTGGGGTGCGTTGGCCGATACGGAGTACAACAATGGCATTGTAGTAGTGCATTGGCGTGGTAGATCTTGTGTACCCACTTTGGGGCTTTATTCTGCTGTGTGATGCATGCACGTTTAGGAGACTCTGGGCACTTTGATTCAAACTCCATACCTACAATTTCGATACGAACGTCGTGAGGCCTTTCCTGAAGAAAGCACCTGTTCTCTGGCGAGCCCCTGAACGAGGCCAAGAGAAGGGACTTCCCGCTTCCTGGAGGCTCGAGCGTCTCGGATTTCTAAGGGCTCTGTGCTTGTGGAGACTACGGAGTAACGAGCGAGAGGTGCCACGTCGGACTTTCGACTCTCCTGTGGGAATGGTCTATTTCGCTTAAGGGGGGGGGATTGGCACTGGTGGGAAGAAAACCGGAAATAGCAACCGTTGGGCGCGTGCGCTAATTCAACCCTAATTCTTCCAAAATGATTTCTTTCCACGCTTCCAGAAACCCCGAAATGAATCGATCGTCATAGAAAGCGTCGTTCCAGTTGATAGAAAGCTGCATTTCGCCATTCTAAGTCCATACGTCTGCTAGTAGGAGGCGATTAATGACCGACGGCTACCCACCATTCCTCTACTTCAATGTTCATGGCTGCACCTTCGTGTTGTGCCTGTGGATGATCGATGATTATCCCAATCGAGCTCAATTCCGGATGAGCCGGAGCGTGTAGGGGGTCATCCGGCTGCGTATTCAACAGATCGAGAACCTTGCCAACATATTCAGCCAAAAGTTTGAAGATGTTTCGTGGTTCGTCTTTGCTCAAGTCACGACTATATACCTTCTGTATGCTGCTGGCTATAGAGCCAAAGTCCTTGGAAACGTCCAGATTTACCTATGCTAGTCGGAATCACTGTGTGGTAGACGCTCACTGCTGTTTCCGGGCCATTGAATGGCGCGGGAACATACTTGCGCAGGTCAATTACATTGAAACCCGTATAATTGCCACCTCCTTGTCCACGCGTCTCTGGGATAAAGTCTCGTTCTGCATATGGAAGTACGGCTACTACTAGGGCTGCGTGGATCGCCGCTGTGACTGTCAGGCCACGCGATTTACAGACTGTGATGATGCGGCTCGTTGTCTCCAATGAGAAACTGCATCTTATGCGTCGCGAAATGGTCGGTAGCGCATCTCTCATCTTTGTCGACGATAAAAGTTTCCTCGATCCACTTGTTAATCTCTGTAGTTGAGGGGACAGTATAGCAAAATCGACTGCTGTCTTCAGTCGCCGTTGCCGCAATCTGTGGTTATTGCTGCCGTAGAGCCTTCCATAAATTTTGCACTTCATGCGCCGGGGGAAGAGACTTGAGACGAAGCGTGCTTGGGATGAGGTAAAGTTGTTTGTTCAGAGAGGCACCGGCGTCCGCAATCGCACGGTAGAAACGCTCCAGTGAATCAAATGGACGTTCGTAACCACCGGGAGAGACTTCTTGCCGGCTCAGAATGCAGTGAGAATGTCGAAGATGAATAGGAGGTCGTTGCCCAAGTAGAATAGTATGCCAATCTACCTAGGTGGATTGGAGCTAGTATATAGCAAGGCCAGTTGTAATCGGGTTATCCAAGTAAGGTAAGTGGCCGATTTGGTATCCCTAAAGAGCCTCATACATGTGGATCTTAGTACTTACACAATCCCTGCTGTACTAACCCCCAGAGGTTACATCAGATAGGCCTGAGCATGTTGGGCTTATTTTTGGGTCTCAGCGGGGGCTAGAATCAGGCTTGGGGCAGGATTGGCATTCGGGCTGTTTGGAAAAGAATCTGGGGTCTTGCGAGCACCACCATCTTTTGGAGAGAAACGTCCTGATCATCTGCATTCAAGATGCGTCCCCTTTGCGCATACTGCAGTTGAACTTTAAAAATCCGTCTGTGAAGATATGCCATTCCATCCATCGCAGACCGCCATTTTCTCCTCGCAGTTGACCCTGATATCTCTCAAAGCACCCAGACCAATTGGCAATCGCAGCGGCAGCTTTTTTCTTTTTACGCACCGACCCTCGCCTCTCACTGCCTCGATGACGAGTTCGCAGGCCTTGATTGGATCACCTGGCTGATTACCATTCCCCGCATTGCAACCATCCTTCACGAGCTTGTTCAGCTCCTCGTATTCCGGCAACCGGTTGGGGACGTCATATCGCATGTTACCCGGGGCCATGACCGCCGTGCGGACATATCCAAAGACCGAGAGACAAGTCCGAATACCGAATGAAGCAACCTCCAACGCCAGGTTTGGAACCAATTCATCCATCATCCCCTTCGCCCCGCTATAGTAGCTTGCACCCGGGGCATCGTAGTAGACTTCTACCGAGCTGGCAAAAAGAAGAGTACCAGTTTTTCGGGCGCGCATGAGAGGTAGAAATGCGCTTGTAAGATTGAGCGGGCCCAAAACATTAACACGCAGACTGCCAGTAAGCATTTGTTCGCTGTTTCAAGTTTGTTAATGCAAAGATTTCCGGTCTGTTGCATAATAGATCCATGCTTACTCGAGCTCCTCAAATACTCCTGCTTCGATGTAACCCGCATTATGGACAAGGACGTCCACATGGCCGTACATTTGCCAGGCCTCCTGTGCCTTTTCAACAAGCTCTACCTGCGTAGCCCCCAGATCAAGTTCGAGAACTGCAGCGCCGGCTTCTTTGAGTGAAGCAATACGATCCACACCGGAAACTGCATTGCCTGGACGCGCTGTTGCAATAGCTCGATCGCGCTATACAAGGCCATGAGTGAGAAGTGATTGTGACCAAGAAGCAAAAGACATCGAATAGTGTACTCTAGCAAGGATTGCTCGAATAAGGGCCTCTCCCAGCCCCGATGAGCAACCGGTAACCAGCCAGGTAAGTTGTTCGGGCATGATGAACGGCGATCTGTCGAAGTACCTACGTATATACTCTGTAGAGCAAACAGTATTGAAGGGATTCAAATGAGAATATTGAAAGCCTCTGTTGGCTCATTGCTCCTGCCACCCACTTAGGCGTAACCGCACATCCTTGCACGGTACTTAATGCGGTCCCCGAGCCTGAGGTACACGCAATGAGCATCGTCAGGGTACCTCTCCTTCAAGGATCAAGGCTTCAAATGAGAACTTGCTGGTAAAAAACTCATCTGTCAGTTTCCTCCCCGGTAACCCGCTCGAGCAACATTTGAAAACATATGATTTGCCATATGATTATTTAGGGGGTTTGCCCAAGATTTAATATTCCATAATGCAGATGTCCAAGAAGTATATTGCAGCTAACAGATTAAGTCAGGAAATGGAGAAAATCATCGCGACAGATACAGCGGCGAAAAAAAAGAACTTGCAACGGGACAGAGAAAATACAGATCGGCTACAGCCATCCAAACACCGCTTTCATTCCCCCTCGATACGGCCGAGCAAGCTCCGAGACTTCAAAATCTACAAGAACGAACGTAAGAAAAAGTGTGCCTGAAAAACACCAAAATGATCATAGATGGTAAGTCTTTGGAACTGGAGAGAGTGAGGTTGCCTGCTGTGGGCTAGTCCCATACAAGCCTATAAACAAACAATCATGCAACAAGATTAAGCATCGATAAGATTGGCACTTTGCTGCGCCGTGGTATCTTGGTGCTCGCCCGAGTTGTCGCGGGTATCCTTGCTAGCAATCTTGCGAGCGGAACGGGCGTAGAACTCATCAAGCGTACGCTTGGGGATACGGTTGAGGAGCTCTTTGGGGTAAATGCGGAGTAGGTTCCAGGCGATGTCCAGCGACTCGAAGATGGTGCGAGACTCGTAGGCAGACTGGCTGATGAAGGTGCGCTCGAATTTGTCGAGGAACTCCAGAGAAAGCTTGTCCTCGGCAGAAAGGGCATCTTCACCGACGACGGCCTTCATGGCGGCTGTGTAGTATGTCCTGTCAGAAAGAGGCATGGGGCGGGTAGGGGTAACTATGAAAACTTACCAGCATCGCGACCGATAGCGTACTTCGCGTAGAGCTGGTTGGACACATCTGAATGATCCTTACGTGTGTGGCCCTCACCAATAGCAGATTTCATAAGACGAGACAGTGACGGGAGCACGTTGATAGGTGGGTAGATACCCTTGTTGTCCAGTTGACGATCAATGAAAATTTGTCCCTCCTACATAGAATGTTAGTTATAGTACTTTACTTTCAAATGTGGAAGTAGACTTACGGTAATGTAGCCCGTTAAATCAGGAATTGGGTGCGTGATATCTGTTTGATGAAACAGAAAAGGTTAGTTCTCTGACAGAAAGTGGGGGAAACAGAGGAAAGCTCATACCATCGTTAGGCATAGTCAAGATAGGGATCTGAGTAATGGAGCCATTACGGCCCTCAACACGACCAGCACGCTCGTACAGAGTCGACAAATCTGTATACATGTAACCAGGATAACCGCGACGACCAGGAACTTCTTCGCGAGCAGCAGAAACCTCACGCAAAGCATCACAGTATGCTGAAAGATCAGTCATGATGACAAGGACGTGCTTTTCAAGTTGGTAAGCGTAGTATTCGGCAGTCGTCAAAGCGAGACGAGGAGTAATAATACGCTCGATGGTTGGATCGTTGGCCAAGTTCAGGAACAGTGTTGTACGCTCCATGCTGCCGTTCTCTTCGAATTCGCGAGTGAAGAATCGAGCAGTCTCCATATTAACACCCATAGCAGCGAAAACAATGGAGAAGTTCTCCTCGTGGCCATCGTGGACGTCCTTAGTGGGCTTGACCAGACTTGCTTGTCTGGCTATGCTTGCTGCGATCTCGTTGTGAGGCAGACCAGCGGCGGAGAAGATAGGAATCTTCTGTCCACGAGCAATAGAGTTCATAGTATCGATAGCAGAGATACCAGTAGAAATCATCTCCTCGGGATAGACCTAGGGAACTGCGTCAGCTCCATGACATGTACGTAACGAGTTGATGGCATCATACCCGAGAGTAAGGGTTAATAGGCTGGCCGTTAATGTCCAGGTAATCTTCCGCAAGGACCTTAGGACCCTTGTCGATAGCACGTCCTGAACCATCGAACACACGACCAAGCATGTCCTCTGACACACCAAGCTTCAAGCTGTGACCGGTAAACTCGACTTTGGTCTAATTCCAGTGTCAGCGACTCTATAAGCAGTTCTTCCGACCAGAATCCTTACCCTCTTCACATCAACACCCGAAGTACCCTCGAACACCTAGCAAACCGGTATATTGTTAACGTCTATCACGGCAAGTTGATCGGATCGGCATAGGTCACGGTTCGTACCTGCACAACGGCGCGGTTGCCTATAAATATCAAAAACGTCAGCAAGTCGTTCTATACGCAGTTCATAGCAGGTACATGAGTACTGCAACAGTTTGGGGAGCTTACCTCTGGCCTCCAACACCTGACCGGAACGCTCTGTACCATCGGGCAGTGTCAGGGAGACAATTTCGTTGTAACGGGGGAATTTGACCTATATCGCAACACACAATATTAGCATATACCTCCATTTCCGGTGTCAGGCTATCCCCGAAGGTCTTACATTGTCGAGGACGACCAGCGGTCCGTTAATGCCTCCGATGGTGTTGTAGCGGATGCGGGGCTTGATGCTGGACATCCGGGGGTCGACGAAATCGGCCATGGCGGGCGAATTTGATCTTCCACGGGCACAGCGCGTGAATAAAAGGGCAGATGGGATTCGAGCAATGCGGGATGGACTGGGGGTTGGCCAAGCTGTCCGCTGAAGCTCGGGCGGTGACGTGGCACGTGATAAGATTACGCCTTGGCCTGTGACCTCCTGAGATCGGGGACCCAGAAGCTGGTTTATCAAAGATGCCTGGTTTCTAAGGCTTGACTCATGCCCCAGGCATGAAATTACCGAAAGGGGAAAGGCCAGGATTAGGTAAGGTTACTACTATAATCGCGGGGACCAGGTGGGGGAGATAATACATCCATGAGGGTGCCAGACTAGATGATTTACGTACATCTGGATACCACATGAGCATGAAAGAACAGTCACACCCAATCAAGGGCATCGCTGGGGATAAGAAGACTGAGTGTAGTGAGCTCAGGCAAAACTCTCTCGAACTTGATGGCCTTTCCCTTTAAAAATCTTACACTGCCCAGATGCGCTCAGCAATCTCTTGGAGCTCTTGCATGTCCAGGACGATATCAGTTTTAACCGGACCTGGAGCTACTCGTCGCATGAGCAGCTCGAACGGGATGGCGAGCGGGAACTGTGAAGTGGTAGTCTCTTCTCCACTTTGATGCTTAGGAATAATGATATGCTGAGTCTGTCGAGGCTGAATATTCACCTATTCCCGTTTGTTGATTGTGATCATAGGTTTTCTTCGCTTAACTTCCAGCCTCAAGACTATGTTGACATTCTTCGCTTGCAATATATACATTTATGAACGGAGTGATCTTCTTTGCAGTCCACAGTTTCCACGGGTAGATTACCTCATTGTGAGCGAATAAAGCAACGGAACCTCGAATTGCCGCTGTTCTTTTATGAAGGCTTTTCTCTAGCTGAATTCAGTTATCCGTGAATTAGCTGTCTCAATATATCGCAATGTCTGATAAGATGTATAGAAGTTGATGTGAAAGGGGAAGAATCGCGTAGTGTGATCGACTCAACTTTATGTATGTATACAGCAAGTGTTTCAGGTACCTAAGGGCTAGCTCGAAAACAACCATCTACCAGTGAACCTGTGTGTAACGCTAAAAAGATATCTGACTTGTGCGACTATATACAAATTGACCTAGTCTACAAGGCGGTACAAAGCACCACGCAGCCATCACAATTTAACTAGAGATTGCACTCCCAATGAATACCACTTCAACGGCAGCAAATCTGTACCACGGGTCAGTTAGGCTCTTTTCATGTAACTTGATCTCCAATGGGGAAAATTAGAAGGGATAACATACGTAGCTGTGGCAGCAAAGATCTCCACTCTTCGTGCAGTGCTGCAAGTTGCAAGAACCCCTGCAAAGACAGCCGTAAATGCAAGAGTTATACAAATCCTCTTCACCGTGTCCTTGACTATGTAAAGAACAAATATGGCAATCACCGGTAAAATGGATGAAATTACAGTTGCAAGAACTGTGCTCGCCATATTGACTCTCGAGTCATCATATGAAATCAACCCGCTCTCCTCATCAACAATCTTGCCAAGTCCGTGTTTCTCGCCCCATGTGCGATGGAAGATACCCACGGCAAGACGAGTGATTCCCCGCGAAAATATATCCATTTCGCCTGTTGGTGCCCAAAGCGTCAGGTAGGCGGAGGGATCTGGCTCGTCCCATAACTGATTTTCGGTGCCTTTCTGAAAGTTATCACCTCCTTTAGAATCTTGAAGCCAGTCTTGGAGAAGGGCAAGATGGGACTTCCGCGGCCTTGCTATTGAGTTTATAGTGTTAACTATGCTTTCAGTTAGTGAACCAACCCCAAAACCAATGATTAAATCCTTTTAGCAAACCTTGTAATAGAAGATCATCTATATATCATGTCAGCTCAAGCTATGAAAATCCCCGGAAAGATCTCCAACATCACACCGCGAACATAAACATACTATAGTCTTTCATCTTCTTGCGTAACTGCAGGAGAAGATCATGCTGCTGGCCCTCGTCACCTTTAGATCGCTGCAACAGCAACAAGCGTTTTGAAAATTGTTGTCTTGTGGTATTACTCGACGCATCATCCAAACGGTGAAGGAATTCGAACTTGTTTCGCAAGTCATTTATCTCAGCCTGCAAACTGAGCAGATTTATGATGTTTATTTCGTTGAAATTCCGGAAGATAGCAAAGCCAGCGTCCTTGCTCATCACATTTGCAAGCCTGTGGTAGCCCTGGGGCTTCCTGGCGAGGATCTCGTTTATGGCCATGGCGGGTTGATTTGCGGCCATCTTGTTCATCTGTGAAGTGAGACAGAAGAATGCAGCAGGCACTGGCTCGGAGTGGTTTGGCGATCTCACTTGCTATAGCCTCCAACACGTGATGTCAGTGGCTATCGAATGCGCTGGACTTACAGTAGCTGGACTCTCCCAGCCAATCAACCTAAAGGTGAAAGCGCCTGGCGTATCGCTTGCACCGCCACTATTTTGAAAAGAACGCCCGGGTAATTGAACTCGTATTCAGTATTTATAAATATACATGCCGATTTCCCCAGGCCTCAAAATCCATTGGTTTGTCTGCCGCCGGGGATGTCAAGATGGCGGATCCTCTGACACTCACCTTTGCCATTATCTCTATCATATCAAGCACCACGACCTTTTCAGCAACAATTGCTGACACCCTACGAAATATCAGAGAATATGAGCCCGAGCTTCACAAGCAACTGGGGGAAATTGAGGTCTTGATTGCAGTACTCAGGGAATGCAGGATATTATTTGAGTCCGGTATCCCGATTCCGAAAGCTACAGAAGGAGCCATGGACGCATGTGTGAGGAGACATGCCGACCTCTGCGACGTGATGAATCGGATTCAAGTATTCCGTTCTCAGCAGCCATGGAGACTTTCAAAATTCGTACAGAGCGCGCGAATAATTGCTCGCGAGAAGGAGCGAAAGGTGGCTTTCGATGCATTTCGAGATTCTGTATTATTGTTACGCGATCTTGCCTCGGAGTATGTGGTTAACATCCATGAACTTCTCTGTCCCAATTTACTGAATATGACCATAGAGTCAGATTGAATCAGCAGCTTGTGGATATGAGGTATTTATTCTTCAAGGTTGAGCAGTTCAGGATGAGCGCATGACTAGAGTCTGACTTAGCTATCCAGTGCCAGTATCGCGCAAATCATGTTTGAATATGCCGACCGAGATCTCGGAGAGTCCGAAGACTGGAAAGATGATAGTCGGACGATCCCATACCAGCATGAACAACAAACCGGTGAATCACATCATCGCCGCCGAAGCACTGCAAGTCATCGGACGTCACGGCCCAGATACAAAGCGCTATGCAAGAAGTCGCTGGCTTGTTCAGATCCAATTTCACCCGTGACATCGAGCTTATCGTTCGAACATCGATGGAGGAGGGCTCATCCAACTTCAATTACGTTCCAGCACGAGCGAAGTTGGACACCGGCTGTGACGAGAACCTAGTGTCACTGGAGCTGCTCAGAGAAAATGGCATTGATGAGAGTCTCTTGAGCCCTATACAACAGGAAATTGCACTAGAGGGGCTAGATAGTACTTTTTTCCCAGAGTTCGAAGTTGAGCTCTCTTGGTATCAGGGTTATGAGTTGAAAAAGAGGACTGCTAAATTCTACGTTGTGAAGAAGCCACCATTCAACATTCTCATTGGAAGCAAGGGATTTGGTCCCGACTTTAGCGACCTCCAAAATAACCATGCTTTATTTCTCGCTAAACGGAGCAAAACACCAGGTATCCTCCCCCCTCTCGCCAATTTCTTTGTCGCTTGTACATAAGCAGCATACTGAATCAAGCAGGAGAGGTGGCCGCCGCGAGTGCAAGACGTGACCAAGCAAGACAGGAAGCGAGGCAGCTCGAAATGATTGAGCTGACGGAATATGTTCGGGAAAGCGTGAACCCAGGAGAAGTTCCGAGTGGACAAGAAGATGGTCAAGAAGGAACTAATAGTCCTGCGACAAATAATCAGCTACAAGGCGATGACGCGTCTAAATGATACCCTCGCCTGACTGCCAACTGAACGCGAGCCGCAAAGAAGTCATTAGTTAGTATAGAAGAATTTCCCAATCAGAGGTAGTAGCATGAGATATGTATATTTTGGTATCTCCTTGGTTATGAAAGAATCATATATACGGTGTGTAGCGCTCAGGGATCGGTTTCAATTAAAATCAACCCTTTGCCTCGATATACCTGGATTTGGGCTGAAAAAAGATCATAATGCTTGAATTACTATGCTCATGATCTTAATAAATGCCTGGTCAAGATACCAGGGTTTAACATTGGAAAGCAGGCAAAATGAAGTTTTTCATATACTCGGCCGCGTTTGCGGACTTGCGATGTCTCTTTGGTAGTCCTTTCGACTGCATTCTTGGGGGTCTTTTTAGAAGTCATTTTTATAGATATCCTCTTCTCTTTTCAAGATATATATGGTATGAATAACTTCAATCGTGGCAATCGCTTCAGTTAGGGACTATTATTTACAAAACACCAATGAGCGTTCCAGTTCCAAGTCAAGAGCGGTCCAAAATCAGACATATTCAGGCAGCAGATTCGATTTCAATTGCAAGCGACCACTGAACGCTATACATCTTCATGCACATATCTCAATGAAAATCGGAAGTTGGCCACATTCAATATTTCGATTGAAATCATAACTTCAAACCTTCGCAGCACTTTCCATCAGACATTTTCCTGGTGGTGTATTTATCAAAAACCTCAGGCACTTGAGAAACATCCAAGCGACAGAAGCATGACGAATTGACTGGAACATCCGCCACGGCCAGAGCCAACTTCAGCGGCTGCTCAATGACAGCGGCTTCGTCCACCCGCCCGAGTCGCACCAGACTCTCATGATATCCTTGTAGCGACCAAACATTATTAGGGTGTCGACGTGGTCGAATAATAGAGTGGTCCAGACCCAGGTCCGCGCGATACGTTTGCGCTGCTTCTTCCAGGTGGCCCTGTTCCATGAGCAGGGCAGCATACGCATGGCGGACAGGCTGCATCCACGACCAAGGCTCACTGTATGGCAACTTATCTTCGAGCTCGATTGCTTCGCGGAGAGACGCGAATGCGTCATCGTAGTTGGCACAGCGGTATTCAATCTCTCCGTCCAACATGGCTGCGGCCACCTTGAGGATGTCATTCATTTTGCCGTTGTAGGCGCGACGCGTATCGGGGACTCGAGAACAAGCTTCCTTGAAGAGCTGCTGTTGCTCCCGGGCTCTGGGCACGTCTCCTGTGGCAGCAAACGCTACGCCCTTGGCGTAGTAGGTGACAGCTGTGGTGCCGGAAAACAGAACGCGATCGTGGGGAAGATCCATGCTTTTGAGCTCATCCCACATGCCGAAGCGAACCATCACGTGCAGACGGATGGACATGAATTGTTCCAGCCAGTCAGCCATAGGTGGGGACTCAATGCGAAGGACTTCCTCGGGCACTGTTGATTCCATACGGGTCACTGCGTCAAGTGCGGTCTTCTTTTTGCCAGCGTGCATGGCGGCGTAGATCAAAGAGTGATAGGCATGTAGGCGGTAGAAGGTGTAGAAGTTTTTAGCGCCTTCTTTGTGGAAATATTTATCATCTGCGACAGTTGCCTTGTAATTGGAAGAGATTGAGCGGCGCCAATCGCCGATGAGAATATCCAGATGGGTCGGCATATGACGAACATGACCAGCATCAGGGACGAGATCGCGTAGATGATCGGCGGCATTAATGCCTAGCTCGGGGGTAGGGGACATTTCGATATAGTGAATATACAGATGAAGCAGTCCGGGGTTAAGATAGGCTCCTGCAGCCTCCTGGGCTAACGCCCTTTCTAGCACATCTTTCACCTCCATCGTGGGCGCATTCGGGTTGGGCTGGCCGGTGAACAGATCCCACAAGGCCCAAGGGGTCATATTCATCAATGCATCTGCATATAGGGTGGCAACATCCAGGTCATCCTTGAAAGCGTCGTATACTGGCTTCATAGCCTGGGCATAGCTTCTATTAAGGAGCGGGTAGTCCTTGGGAGGCTGGCCGGTCGGGAAACGAAATTGGATCGCATCGACCAGAGCTTGCTCAAGGGGAGTTGCATTCACCGCATGCTTCTTTGCTGCTTGGGCTGCATCGTAGCCGCGCTGCACGGAAGTGTGGAGATCGCCCAGATCGAACTTCTCCCACGGCTTGTTGTAGTTCGGGCCTACTGAATAAGCAAGACCCCAATACGCCATTGCGCAGGTGGGATCGTGCGCAATGGCCTGTTCAAAACAGTAGGACCCTTCCACATGATTGAAGGAATACACCCATGTCAGGCCTCGATTGAACCAGATCTGGGCGTCCGCACTCGTGGTAGTGACGGTGTGGCCAAACGAGCCCAGATCGTAGTAGTCGTCACTGGCTGGGACGGGAGTGACAGTAGTCATAATTTCAATGGAATTATACAGAAGTTGAAGGGAAGATGCAAAGAGCCCGCTGGGAGAACTCATTGGTCCCCAGTGGCAAGTGGGAACGGGTGGGGTCCCGAGGTCCCGGGCTCCTGCAAATGCTCCTCTTCGTCTTCCAACTTCCTATATTGCTTCATATAGGAGTGTAAGATCTCATTTCTGCTCTGTTCTGTAAGAAGATGGTGGAGAAAGGGCTCACTGTCGTGCACGCGGATCCCACAGAGAGGCTGCCAGTGCCGGGCTACGGGAAAATTGACACAGGTCTGTTATTGTATCTGAAAAAAGAATCGCCATTGGTATATGTATCTACTATACTTCATGAAACCCAAAGCCCTCGGGAAGTCGCCCCTTTATGTAACACTCATTGGTACAATATCGCACCATGACCCGCAATCGTAGCTTGGGCGCAATCTGCCTAGCATGCTTCACCCACGGGTGCTGTTCATTAGACAAATGCTGATCCATATAGATGTACTTTCGCTCCGACAGGTAAGGCAGCCAAGCGGAGCCCGGAACCGCCCCAAGAATGTCGACATTTCTGTCTCGAGCCGACTGCCACATGGACGCGAAAATAGTCCATTCGGCGTTTCTTCTCCAGATTTCCACGGCTTTCTTGAACACAGGTCCGGTAAGTGTTTCGAAAAGTTTCTGCACGACTGGTTCCTTTTCCAATAAGTGTTCCCGGTATAGTGCTTGGAATTTCCTCAACCGAGGCTCATCGTCAACATCAACCATCTGAACAGGCGCATCGCCTAGTAGTCCGAAGAGGCCAGATCTCAGAGCAACTTGCCTAGTGATATGTAGAGAAACCCCCGTCATAGCTATATCTAGCACACTGCGTTGATCTTTCGCCCAAGGTAGGATATCAACCATCTCGCGCACGTCATCGACTCCACCTCCTCTGGAGTGATAACGGATTTCTGGTGTATCCCATTCACCGAATTGAAAACGGTTATGTCTATCAAGCGCATCAGGATCGCCAGCGCATGCCAACACTGCCTTTAAGCTAAAAGGGCGAATAAGATCTGCCGTGACAGAAGGCCGCATCCCAAGATCCTTTGCCTGCAATAGAAACTCGTCGGCCCAGCCTGGAAGTTCTGTATTAACTCCCCAGTAAGCAAAGGTCAATCGCGACCAGTTAAGATGTAGCACATCTCGATGCGGCTGCACCCATAGCGACTCCATGGTTCTCACATCAGCCGGTTTCAATAGGCGTCCTTGCTCCAAGGCGACTTGCCGAGACTCGCTATTCACGTATGCAATAGCCGGCATCTGAGCGTTTTGGAGTGCCATGCCTAGGTTCGAGCAGATATGTTTGGAATCGTAGCCATCGAAAAAGCAGGGGTATCTTCTTCTGCTATACGGTACGGTAGGCAGAGCATCCAGATTATACGGCGTAGCTCTGCAGGTAGCCGCAAAAAATAGTGAAATGAGTCGTTGCTCATCTTGTGCGCTCATTTGTTGGCCGCTGTCATATGAGGTGCGAGTGCGGAGTACGGAGCATCAAGACATTGGATCGAAGACAGATCACGGTTATTACTGTGTCACATGACAAAAGGGCCACTAGTGAGGTAGTCTACTCAGGTGAAAGACGAAGGATATGGTCACTAAGGTGTTTAGTCTCTTACCTTTCCACACGATCGCTCAAATGCGAGCAGAGAGCGCACTCACCCTGGGTGACACCCACCCAACTCTAACCTGTAACACTAAGAAGGTCCGGACGTCGTAGAGCCGCAGAGAATAACCGCTAGGGTGGGTATGGGTGTTGTTTTTCCTCGCGCTATGGATATATAGATAGGCAGTTAACTCTGATAGATATTGATCAAGCAACGCTAAAAGATTACTATATCCTCCCTTTATAGCGCTTCATAATATAACGGATATATGTGCGACCATATTGGGGCATTCTTCCATACAATGAATGAGATTCCTTGACAATCTAGTAGGAGGTTTAGTACATAGCCAAATGTGGATTGATATGCTCGAGCCTTATGCTCGTTTCCGATGCTGTTTATTGGGGATGTATGTATCAGGGTGGTGAAATCGGCGGTTGATTATGAATGGATCAGTCGGAACATTATTCGTGGCGCATTTCCTCATATTGATTGTAGAGCAAACGATGCAACGCAGCTTCATGGAGAAGCAGCCCACACGCACTTAAGTCTCCAATCGACAATACCAAGCAAGGGGCAGCAACTTTGGTTCAAATCACACTTGATGGGATAGCTCGTTCTGCGGGAGACGAAACAGCGTTGACCAAATCCCCAATGAGACAGCCAGCATAGCAAGCAAGATCGGCTGCAGTACTGTCACTCCCTTAGCCTGAGCGATGGCGCCAATCATGAACGGGAAAACAGCACCGCCGCCCATAGAAAAGGCAGCCGCAAACCCAATGGCAGCAACGTGGAGGTTCTTCGGTAGCAGACGTGTTGCCACAATCACGACTCCCGGGAAGATAGTCCCCATGAAGAAGCCAACAAATGCAACAGCAACCGCGGACACAATAAACTCAGGCACCAGCCAGAAGACAAGCTCGAGAATAATGGCAAGCACAATGTAAACCGCAATAGATAGCTTCTCTCCAATTCGTGGTGAGACGAACCCTAGCACAAATCGACCGACAGTGATACCGAGCCAGAACCCTGTCTCTGCCATTCCGGACTCGAATGGACCGCCGTGTCGCACATTCGTCATAAATACAACAATCCAGCCACCGATTGCTACTTCAATGCCACCATAAAGGAAGAGAAAGATCGCACATATCCAGGTGACTTTATATGTGAGAGCAAGGCGTGTTTGCGAGAAAGCCCCGCCTCTCCCTGCAAGACTGGGATTCTCTCGTTGGTATTTCCTCCCGGTTTCCGCCCAGAAGGCGCTACTAGCGTAAAGAAGTGAAATAATGGCTCCTCCAGTCTGTATTGTCAGATTATCTCATCGTTTCCTGGGGGTCACGGATCGAGAAAGAGAATTTCATACCATCAGATAATAGTAGGAGTACCATTCCCATCCAGCTTTCGTAATCAGCGTTGTAGCAATTAGAGGACTTACTGTGGCCCCAATTCCATAGAATCCATGGAAGAAACCGAGGACTTCATGTGAGTTGGCCATGTTGCCGATCCACACATTCCATGCTGCATTGTGAAACCCGCTTCCCAAGCCAACCAGCATATACATAATCACCAACACCGGGAACGGTGGGTGTGTGGATATAACTGCAAAGGCCAGCACATGACAGGTGGGAGCAATCAATGTGATCCCGCGTCTGCCGAGATTCTGATGGACTGAATTGCTCAGGATCGCCGATACGCTATACCCCACAAATGGCGAGAGGAACACGAGGGAAACGATCGTATAGTTTTTGTGATAGTAAAGCTCCAGCTGCGATGTTTCAAATAGATCCGAGGTCAGTCGGCTCATACATCTAATGAATCCTGAATAGTAACACACACATAGGGAATAATGGCTCCATATGCTGCGTCATTGGACCCCATCACAAAGGCACACCAGAACGTGGCAGTGACCTTCCAGATTGTTGTTTTTGACTCGTTCCACCGCGGTGCGACGTTGACCGCATGCAACGGTGGAGTGTCATCGGGTTCTGAAGATGTAGTGGCTTCGGGTGTGTCGCGGTATTCGCCAACATCGCCTAGTGACGATGGCCAAGACGGCTGAGGGCTCGAGCTTATGCTTCTAGCGCTCATATTTCCAAGCAATATTGTTGTAAAATCTGGGAGAGGGGGTGAACTTGAGGCCAGATAGCTTGTGGGGTAGTCAGAAGTAATGCGGGGGGAAGCATCAACTGGTGAATGTAACCTCGTGTCGTGCAGCCCTGGAGCGCTGAGTGGATTGATCATGCATTCAAGCTGCCTGCTCACTATCTAGGCGGCTCTGGTCATAAAATAAGACATATAGGTCTTGACCACTTTCTCTGCGTCTCTCTACCGAAGCTCAAGCTTATAGATTAGCGCTAAAAGACCTGTCATGGACTCATGGTGAAGCTTGTAGAGCATCTATAGTTTGAACTAACATACAAGGCAAGAAATGCTAACGTACAGACATTGCTGTCGCATATAATGAAACAGAAATCAAGCTTGAGAACGATCAACATCCCTGTCACTCTCTGCTTCTCACATAATCGGAGCTCAACTGGTTGACTGCCAGGGTTACATACATCCATGTCGCCCCGGGGGATTTCATCCCACGCATCCCACGCAAAACACCCATAACAACCATCACAACCATAACAACCATGATGTTTGCTCCGTCTGGGATCGAAATCACGACCAATGAGCATCCAATCAAAAAAGAATGCCGCGATCCAATCTAGATCTGCCTAAATGCTAGCCAGTCACGTGGTGGTATTTCAACATGGCACCCGAGAGATCCACTTCTGTCCACATCACAAGCCTTGTCACGGCCTGTTTTTCCGAGCTCAACTTCTCATCTTGGTCAAAGGAGACCTCTGGAAGAGGACGTCATTGCGAGTTGAGATGGCCACAACCTCGCAGGTAGCCCCAAAGCTTGATCTCAAGACGTTTCTTCGGCCCCTCCGGGTCGAAGTCGAAACCTTGTATGATTTATCATGTCAGCTCTCATCATCTTACAAAAAGTTGGCCGCAGAGTCGGTTGAACACTTTATCCCAACGGCCATTACCCGTCTTCCGACAGGTCAGGAGACAGGGCGCTATCTCGCCGTTTACTTCGGTCTGCATTACCTGCGTGTGGCTTTCATCGATCTCTTGGGAGATCAACAACTCAAGGAACACGCGCGTGTACGCCGCACATTAGAAAAGGCATGGCCTATTGAGGAGCACTTACGGAAGGATCATTCCAATGACCTCTTCGCCTGGATTGGAGACTGTATCGCCGAAGTCGTGGCCGACAGGCTGGCCAACCCCAATGAAGAGCGGATTGACCAAATAACGACTGGCATTTCCTTCTGTCTTCCTATAAAGTACAGTGCCTCTTCATTACGCTTTGCGACTCTTGCCATGACTAATCTAGAACAGACAAGATTCCCTTGATGAAGCTATCCTGATGCCAACAGGAAAGGGATTTTCCTTAAGCTCAGACCTCAATCTCCGCCAATCATTGCTGAACGGCTATGCACGCCACACGTATTCGTCTCATGGAAATGAAAACGAGGATGAAATGGACATGCCTTCAAAACGCCGCAGGCTATTTTCCCTTCCCAAATTGAAAGTAGCGGTCATGATCAATGACACCACAGCGACTCTTGCTTCGTTGGCGTACTCTATCCCCTCTCTCCCCAATACCCGTGTTGTCATGGGCCTGATCGTGGGCGCTGGATGCAATGCGACTGTTCCCATGAAACTTGTTGATTTGCATGAAACAAAAACTAAAAGTATTCTTGAAAAATACCCTGACGCCGAAGAAACCCTTATTTCGACCGAATGGACTCTTTCCACCGCAGCTGCTTCTTTTGATGCGCTTGGGATTCGAACAAAATGGGATCATCAACTCGATAGCAATTCCAAGAGACCTGGTTTCCAGCCAATGGAATATATGGTCGGTGGTGGATTTACTGGCGAGCTTGTCCGCATTGTCTGTTATGATTGGTTCCACGGAGCCTTAGGGATAGAACGCTCTGAGTTGCCGCTAAAGTTGGTTGGGGAGTATTCTCTTACGACAGAATACCTCTCCCTTGTTGTTGCTCCTTCTCTTTCCGATGAGCGCTTAGCGAGAGAATTGTCCAGAACACTTCAACCACCCGCTGACAGTACGTGGACCTGGAGTCCTGAGTATGCCCGTGATCTTCGCGCAATTTCCTCCGCAGTGCAAGATCGAGCGGCTTCCTTGGTTGCATCCGCTGTCGTTGGTCTTCTCGATTGTACCAATGAGATCCAACTCTGCAATGAATCACCCAAAGAGATCAATGGTGAAAAAATCGAAACGGAAGTTGAAGTTATTGAAAAAGCGGACCTGGAACCAGTCTCATCGTCAAGGCCAGGTTGGAAGAGCGGACCCGAGGAGCTCGCGGTGGCTTTCTCGGGCGGGGTGATTCAACACTACCCTCATTATAAACAAAATGTACAGAGATATATTGACCGACTCCTGCTTCGTGCTGGTCCTCAGGCAGGAGGAAAGAGTGTCTTCTTGAGGGAGGCCAGCGATGGCGGGATCATCGGGACTGGCGTCCTGGCTGGAACTGCGTCAGGAGAAATCGGGGAAATCAAGGTCACCCACTCATGAGATATGACCAATCTCTCTAATCATGTCTATAGATTTATTTTTACATATATATCGCTGCTTTTGCTCGGGCTTCACCCGCGCAAGAGAGAGCGAAAAAAAGCCCCACATCGGCGGTCTGAATCCGATGTCGCGGGTTCCTTTCTGTCAAGTCCTTAATTCGGTGTTATTTGAACCAGAAAGGACACTTGACTTTGGTGTTTGTGTAGAGTCTGTCTTTTCGTCCTCTCGCCTTCAGCTGTCTGGCCGGGAGTGTTCCGCCACAATATACCTCTAATTCGATCCTCCCCGACCCGCCAAGGCTAAAACACGATCTAAAGACTTTTTCTTTTCCGTTCAGTGCGATATTGCGCTAAACATAGACCATCGCAATGAAGTTCTTCGATGTAATTGAGTGTATCTCCATTGTTCCTATCAACTGACTAACACTGGCAACAGGTTGCCGTCACATTCACCGCAGACCAATTCCAAGGGATCTACCGCGGAAAACAATATCATGACCCCGACTTCGCAGAAGTCCTGAAAAGAGCCCGCGAACATGGATGTGAGAAGATCATGCTCACCACCATGACTCTGGAGGGCGCAAAACAAAACCTACAGGCCGTAAAGGAATTCCCCGACATGTGCAAAATGACTCTTGGCGTGCATCCCTACCACGCCGCCGAGATCTATGAACAGCCGGAATGTCAATATCTCAATCAGCTCCGCGAACTGGGAGAGACGCTCCTCGCTCAGAACCCATCGCCCCTGGCTGCATTTGGCGAAATCGGGTTGGACTACGAGTACCTGGAACGGGCGGATAAAGAAACCCAGCAACGCGCGTTCCGTGAGCAACTAGAACTAGCTGTACATTTCCAATTGCCGCTTTTCCTGCATGTCCGCGAATCAGCCGACGATTTCATTTCCATCATTAAGCCTTTCCTGCCAAGACTGCCGCGTGGTGGGTTGGTGCATTCCTTTGCGGGGACGAAGGGGGAGATGCTGCAGCTCGTGGAACTGGGTCTTGAAATCAGTGTCAATGGGATCTCGTTCCGAACGGATGAACAGTTGGAAATGGTGAAACATATCCCACTGGATAAGTTACAGCTGGAGACTGATGCTCCATGGTGCGAGGTTCTGGGGAATGACCCGAAAATCGCGAGTTACTTGCAAACTGCGAAACCTTTGCCGCCGAGTCGGAAACACAATAAATTTATCTTGGGGCAAATGGTCAAGACTCGTAATGAGAGTTGTTTTATGGAGCGTGTGGGATTAGTGGTGGCGGGTTTGCAGGGTGTTGCTATGGAAGAGCTGGCGGAGGCCGCATGGAGTAATAGTTGTCGCATGTTTTGGCCCTGAAGAGAGGTATGATCTAATAGATCAAGAGTCAAATTCTCTTTACATTTTGGTTTGAATTAAATTTCGAATTCAGTGCTATTGGAAATTGGTTTTACCTAGAATCCATGCGTAACTACGGAGTAATAGGACCATGGGTACGGAGTATATAATAACCTCAAGTGCACTGTGCAAACTCCAGAGCAACCAAGTTTCGCCTCTCTGTACGGAGTACGGAGTACTCCGTATGATCTCTAGACATCGCCCAGAAAATATGGTCGATCAATGTGGATGTAAACAAAGCGAGAGCCAATATAATTGGTGCCCTGGATGGGCATGCAGGGGGGTGAACAGGGGTAAATAGCCTTGCTACCTGGGGGTCGAGGCACCGGTAGACCCTGTTCTTTGACATATTCCACGCTCGAGGAGAGACAGAATGGACACTTGTGGATCCCAGCATTTCACCAGCTTGACGCTCGAAGACTGTGACGCGTCCTTTTTTTAGCCTGTCTGATATCATATCCAGATTCCTGACACAACTTGGCTCCTCGGAGAATAATACAAATCGGAATGAAGGACATCGTGGTATCTTTCCCACATTCGATCCCGCAATGCCCCTCAGATCGTAGGACTGCAATCCAATGGCCCCTGTGGTGGTTTTCCACAATACCGGGCTTTACTATGATGGCGATCGAGGTATTCCACTGGCGAGGAAGATAATCTTGATGAATATCCTTAGCTTTTGAGATGGAGCATACATTAGCATGAATCGGAGATTACTGTTACCTGGGTAGGTTAGGAATTGCTCAGCGATTAGTCCTCGCAAAAGTCAAACAGCGGCGTTGTCTCGGGCAATTCCAGTGGAGGGCCATGAGTTGTTTGGCTGCATTCCTCACGTTGCGGGGGCAGTTGCTAAGATATCATATGGGTGAGGGAAACCTGGCGGCATCTGCCATTCCTCTGTGGAGTGATGTGGAATGTTATGGACTGCCTGGATACTGTCCATGTATTTATACTAAGCGTTGTCGACCTGTTTGGCTGCTTAAGCCTCTATCATTCTCCTAAATAATCTGACCCTGGTGGTTAAGTGTTTGGCATCACATTGACAGATCAAAGATCTATACACAAAAAGCCAAGAACACATACTGTAAGTGACACTGCAACGAGTCCTTGGTGCCTTCCTTCTGCTGGACATGCACCGGATGCCACCATATCGGATGCCCACAAGACTAACATTGGCATAGGAACACTTCAATCACAATGAAGGGCACTTTGATCCTCTCTGGTCTGCTGGCGAGCGTTGTCTCTGCTCACATGCAACTGAGCAAGCCATACCCTATCCGCAGTCCTCTCAACAAGGATGACGATGGTCAGAAGGATTATTCATATAACAACCCCCTCTCCAGCTCTGGCAGCGACTACCCGTGCAAGGGCTACGCCAAGGATGATTTCAAGGCCGTCGAAACATGGCAGCCGGGCTCATCCCAGGAGATGGAGTTGGAGGGCAGCGCCACCCACAGCGGCGGTTCATGTCAGCTTGCCCTGACCTACGACCAGGGCAAGACCTTCAAGGTTATCCAGTCAATCGAGGGTGACTGCCCCATTAACAAGAAATATAAGTTCGATATCCCGTCGGACGCACCGTCTGGTGATGCCCTCTTTGCTTGGACATGGTTCAACAAGGTCGGTAACCGCGAAATGTACATGAACTGCGCGATGGTCAGCATTGGTGGCTCTGGAAACCGCGAGATGAACCATCCCCCCAACCAAAGAGTCGAGGCCAAGCCCAAGCATCACACCAAGAACAACAAGAACAACAAGAGTGCCAAAAGCAGCTTTAGCGGCCTCCCCGAACTCTTCGTCGCCAACGTTGACCAGACTGGCAAGTGTGTTACCATCGAGGGCGAGGCTGTGCACTTCCCCCAGCCTGGTCCCAACCTCACTGGCAGTGGTGCTAGCGGTAAGGGCTACAAGTGCTCTGCCGATGCTCCCTTCCTCAGTTCCAGCTCCAGCTCTGGCGAGAAGAACGCCACAACGACCACCAACACAACGACCAAGGTCGCCCAGACTCTCACCACGGCCACCGCTACTGCTGACGCCCGCATTCTCTCCACCGAGGCCTCAACCAACAACCAGTTCGGCAGCTACGCGCACAAGTTCGTTTGCCAAGATGGAGACCTCATCTGCTCTCCCGACGGATGGTCCTTTGCCCTGTGCGCCAATGGCGTACCTATCTTCATGGGCTCTGTCTCTGCTGGTACCTGGTGCCGCAATGGTGCTATCACTGCTGCTCACTAGTAACCATTCTCGTTCCACTTTCCTTTCTCTTCGCAGTCTTTCTATTTGCATTTTTACCCCAATACATCCAAGTGGATATTTCAAGTTATAGCAGTCCTGGATGAATGAGGTTCTCTCAACTCATTTAGTCTCAGGACTTGCAAGTCATTTGTTTTCCCCTTCAGCCCGTGTTTTGGGCGCTGTGTATTGTTTTCTTCACCTTTGACCTTTTAATGACCCAGTTGATGTCCCTACGCTGATAGTATTGTCATACCGACTTACTTAATGATTGTGTGCCGTGTTAATTCAACCTCTGAACTATTATGTCCTATATTTTCTTCTCTAGGTTCCTTGATTATAATAATATACTTTCAGGTTGACTGTCTTGACAAATATTCATCCAACATCGCTCTAGATATATATGCTATCATCTCGCCACGACGAACTTCACATGGGATTATACCTCGATCGCCGTCGCGCAGTGGGTGGGCGGAAACAGCATGTAGGCTCCAAGTTTCTAGCTATGACTTGACCTATGTGACTTCATCTGCTTGTTGGACTGGGAATGTGGGAGCAGGCCGTTCACTCTCGCTCTTCCTCTTCCTCTTCCTCTTCTCCTCCTCCTCCTGCTCCTGCCTAAGTATCAGACATATATTCCTACCCAGATTATCGATTGCGTAGGTTGTCGATAGTGGTGGAGTTCTCAGAGAGCGAAAGCTGGGGTACTCATAGGAATGCTCAGTCTCATCCAGAACTTGTTCAGAACGATGCGGTGTATTAAAGGATTGTGGGGGTAACGAGCTTCGAGTCTTTGTCATCGGGACACTAGGCAGTCCTACCTAGCAGGGTCCCTACCTGCGATAGTCGAATTGATGTAATCAAAGTAAAGGGGAAAGTGACGGTAGGGAGACAGGGATAGATGGGATATATCGAATGCGGTCAGAACAAAGTTGATGATGTAGTCAGGGGTACGGAGTACTCCGTACAAATGATCCTGCTCATTTGCAGGTGAGGGTTTGATTTTTTGAGTCACAAGCTACACAGCAGCTATTTCCTATGTTATTCTCAAAATATGCCTATGTAGTTTCTTGGACTTCCTGTAGGAAACTAGCGTTTTTCCTGTCATTGAGAGCTGTATCGAAAATAACATTTACTCTTCCCCCTTTTTGAATCAATCATACTCAATAAACACAATTATGGCTGTTAAATGACATATTTTCCCCACACGATTGGATCTGACACATTGCCACATGTCGACGCATGCAGAAGGTGAGGCTCAATGCCATTGTCAGTTCCAGGAACAAGGGACCCAAACCTTATGGACCCCCTGAGTAGTCACTAGATAGATATATCGAGGATAGCAGTATAAAGCAGTATATTGATTAATATTATTGATGTGACCAGCTAGTCCCGAAAGACCCAAATATGCCCGCCAGATATCCTCCATCATATTGTACAGTTCCAGTCTAATCACAAACATAGCAGTGGTATCTTGGCTCTCAAATAACACAAAGGGGTCATAGAATCATTGACCGGTGCATGTATCACCGGTTTACGCGAGTGAAGAGAGTCTGGGCTGGCCCAGATATCGCTTCTCCAAAAACACGGAACGGTGGCCATTTTACACTAGCAACTTAAATGTTGCCAGTGTACGCCGAGTTACCATAGCCGTAGGTACCGGCAGCGGGAGCTGCAGCTGGGCCGGTGGCAGCAGTGTTCTGGTTCTTGCCGAAAGAGCCAAACCAGCCCTTTTCGGTCTTCGGTTCGGTACCCATCTCCACGTCTTGAGGAGTTGGGTGGCCGGGGAGGGTATCGGCGCCGCCGACAGCCTCGGGGTTGTTCTTGTTGCGGCGCCAGAAGGCCTTGCGGCTACCGTGGGTGTAGCCGTTGTTGGGAGAGGGACCGAAACGCTTCTCGCGCTTGTGGTGACGGGCGAGAAGGATTTGGAAGAGGATGGAGATCAGGAAGAAGAAGCTGGGGGATAAGTTAGGATGACCGCTCCCTTGAAACCGAGAATATAGATGTGGAAGATGCGGGGTATGATCTACTCACATTCCGATGATTGACACTGCGAAGACGACCTTCTCCAGTTTGCAGGTCAGGCCGAAAGTCAGTCCTTTACTAATGGTATCATCCTTGGCATTGCCCTTGCCCAGAGGTGTATCCACAGTTCCGGTGCATTGGTTAGCACCCTTGCGGGTCATGATGGCAATGGCAACCATCGCGCCCACGAAGCACACATCCAGGGTAACACCCAGGAATGCGAAGAAGGCCACACCGCCCAGGCAGCAGGTGAAGATGATGCCCAGCAGGCCATAGGCGGTTGCTGCGCCTGCTAAGCCTTCTACGGCCTTGATCCATGTTGCGATTTTTTGGTCGTGTCTGGCGAGGACGGCCAGGAAATAGGAGAAAATGCCGAGAATGACAGCAGCATCGAGGAACTGCAGGACGCGCAGTCCGAGATTGAAGAATCGGAGGATCACGCCGCCGACTCCCATGTTGTATGGAATATGGTATGGGTTTTTTGTGTGTGTATATGGGTAGTACGACCGCGAGGTCCGGGGAGAATATATGAGAGAAACTCAGGCAACAGGATTTGGGCGAGTTATAAGGGACTAAGGCAATTGACGATCAGTGGATGGCGTATTATTTTTGGCGATCCTAGGAGAAGCTCTTAGCTTAATGGCCCGCGGACTCCGCGCCACACTCTAAATGACCCCAGATGCCCCACTCCCTGATGTAATCCCATGGATCAGAAGCCCCACCTTACCTTGTCTGGTTAGACTATGACTCCCAGGGCCGTATGATTCGACAAGCGACCCGCCACCCATGCGAACAGCCAAAAAAAAAGAAAAACGCAAAAGAACAAAAAGAACAAAATTCAGAAGCAAAAATGACTTCACGGCCCAGCCACACTGCTAAGCCCCATTCCAACCCGGCACATGACTATGACAGCTACATTTTCCTCCGTACGGAGTACAGGCACTTCCAAGGTTGCTATTCTTGTCCATCGACCCATACGGTTACACCGGATGGAGTAAGTATTGCTGCCTAATGTGTGGTCCAACCCGTCATAGAAAATACGCACGGGAGATCGGTCCTGCTCGAACCTCTATGCCACTAATACGAGGTGATCAAGTCTTCAATTAAGACGTTAGAAAAGGCTTCGACAGGCTCAAACTAGCGCGTTTTAGACCGCACCTAGCATACGGAGTAATGCAGTCTAATATCCTCGAGATAATTTCCCGAAGCGGCACACGCCATCCCCTGCTCTTTGTGTGTACGCCATCCCGTTTCCGGACACCTTGCCCGTCCTAGGTACAGTGGACACCTACCTCACTATGTACATTGACCCAATGTGTTAATTATGGGGCCTTACGAGTTGTGTGGCCGGGGTGCCATTGTGCTTTGTAGGTACATACCCGCCACGTTCAAAATGACGTTTGCACCCACTTGTTCCACTGGGTCTTCCGCGCCACGTCCATTGGTCGTGGGCCCGTGGTACCCGTTGCTTTGGAAACCACAGGTACGGGGTACATTGTACAGCAAAAGTGCAACTAAACGCAGCACTCATTTGCGTATCTCCGTGTTTTAGAACTCCGTCAATCGTACAAACGAGCACAGAGTATATGTGCCAAAGTATGAATATGAGCCCAATGTGGTAGGTAGATGGATTCAAAATGGCGAAGGATACGGTATACGCCAATGACATAGCTTGAGAAAGACATCATATTAACATGAAATCTGTCACATACAACGCATGGAATGCTTTCTCATAATCTGGATGGGGTGAGCTTTGGGGATAGTAGTGGAAACGAGACATAGTCCAGCATTGTTCACAAGACAGAACAGGGGGTTGGCTAAGGTGGAAGAAACCAGTGTCCGCAAGGCTACGAGCACCAATCTGGTTTGTGTCACCTCGAAGAATTTCGAGGACATTGTACTGCCAGCTGGTTAAAGCCAAGTTTTGACCATGAATGCTGTTATGGTCTCGGTATGCTCGGGTGGATATCCCCTTAGACTGACCATGGTGGTGTACAAGGGATATCGCATCAGGTAAGTCTGGGAGTAGGCTTCGTTCTCACGCAGCAGATGTCGAAGCCTGTGAAACATCTTGATGTTGCTGAAGGATTTCACAGATTAAGCAAGTTTCTGGTAGAAGCATCAGTATTTTTGATCTGCAAAGTCAGATGACGAGACCTTTGATGTTCAGATACGTCTTTCGACGCTGCGTGTAATTAGCACTGGACGGTTCTACTCACGTGGCACTGATTTGGACTTCCTGGCGGTTGAGGTCATACAGCGGCAGTAGCCTGCGAGACTGCAGTAGCAGTAGTATTGACGATGGTTTATCGGCACCATCTCAACATATTGTCTTCAGGAGTCTTCCTGGCGCTCTTTCTCTTGTTCGACAAAAGCGCGAAGAATCGAATCCAATCCCTCGTTGCGGCGAGCGAGCAGCATCACGTCGGACAAGTTAACGGTCGATCTTCCAGCATGCCTATATGGGAAGTTCTGTTTAGTACAACCCTGGCAGGAATTTTGATACCAGGGACAGAACAGGGAAGTATCCTTATCCATTTGCAGGGAGAAGATCATCTTACTTTGCAAAAGATTCCAGATCCTGGCTGACCGTCTCTGCGAGGAGTTAGCTCAAAAGACAGAAAGTTTGGAATTGTCATAGCCTAGAACTTACCTATCTGAGCCCAAACCATCTCCGTCAAGGCACCGATGAATTGCGGAGTAGCATTGACGCCTAGTCTGATGGTCTCTTCATCTACGATCTTGCCAATGGACAACCACAGGGCGGATTTCAAGCGCTATAAAATTCAGTCAGTCATGTCCATAGTAATACTATCATAATACTTACCTCCTCCAGACTAGCCTCTTCAGTTTGTTCCATGATGATGAGTTCACAGCGCAAGACAACAAGCCGAGCGCGTCCATATCAAAAGCCCACGACTTCTGATTGGCCCCCAACGCGTCCACGGATTAACAGCTAATCCGACACAGACCACGCTAACCCCAAACGGGCGACTTCTGATTGCGGGAGCGACGGAATTTCAGAGAAGCGCAAAGCAATCGCAGATCCTGCCATTAATCCCTCAACTCAACTTTTTTTTGCAAAGTCTCTCTACTTTACCTCCCGTTACCTCTGGGTGTCCTCTTCTACAAACGCCCACCCCAATTCGCGGGCAGCCACCGAGCCCCCCCACTTTCCCCCCAAACCTCAAACCACAACAAAAAAAAAGACACATCACCCACCATGTCTACTACCCCCCAACCAGACCTGAGCGAGCAGGCTGTTGCCGCCGCCAATGACTTCTTCTACCAACTCTACCAATTCTTTGAGCTGATCGTCACCCGATTCTGCAAGAATGGCTACGCGTCTATCGCCCAGATGAGCGGCAAGCGCTGGACAAAGGTCATCGGCAGTGTTGTCTTCTACCTGATTATCCGGCCGTACATTGAGAAGTTGTTCAAATGGATGCACGAGCGCGACCGTCGCAAGGAGAAGGAGAAGCGCGAGAAGGAGAAGGCGAATTTCGGAAAGGTCAAGATGACCGCGAACTCGCTGCGTGGTGGTGGCGATACCAAGGGCAAGGTCCTCGGTGAAGTCGATCACACCGATGACGAGCTCGAGGATGAGGAGGATATCATGCCTACAGCAAGCGGTGTTCCTGAGTGGAGCAAGATGGCCCGCAAGCGTCAGAAGAACTATATCAAGAGTGTGAAGAAGGATCAGCGGGCTGAGGATTTGAGCCGTGATCAGATTATGGAGTTGTTGGATTGGAGTGATGAGGAGGAAGTGGATGAGAAGACCAAGAAGGATCTTTGAGACTGAGTTCCAATCCTGGGTCTTGGGTCGGTCTTTGTGTTGCGTGCATTTGCATGGTCGTTGGGGGTTTTGATTCCTGTACTTTTAATTAATAGACTTCTATCTAATAGGGCCTTTCGCGGCCCCCTTGCTCTACCTGACGGAGACTTCGTGATTGTATCTGGTTTATCGAGATCAAAGCTATTGAAGATTGTCTCATGGTGCATGACACGTGTACTTGAAAGTCATAAAATTTTCTATGTGCAGTCAAAGATGCATCCAACTCGAGCATAGCTGAGCCAGACATTGCTTCTGCGCCACTCTAGAAACCATTCATCGCCGCATCTTATCCATAGTCATGAGCAGTTCGTAACATATTCCCTTTGCCTTGAGAGATCAGTGGAGCCTCCGCAGGGCTTCGATCATTGCCTTGACCTCCTCAACATCCGAGGAGCCTATCTCCTGTACGATTTCTTCTTGCATGCTTGGCGTGCAATTCAGGAATTCTTCAATAAGCTCGCCGTCTACAAAACGGTAAGGTGCATCGGCGCTGCGGACCATAGTTCTGAAGCCACGGAACTTGTTGAAAGCCAAATTACCCAATGACTCGACTTTGGTAGATAGTACGGCTTGCAGAGTCATAAGGAAATCTTGGTGGTCAGGGTTGATCACGGCAAAGAGGAAGATGGAACCCTCAACCTGCAGGGAAGGCGAATTAGTATATGAAATTTTATGGATCGAATATGCTGGGATGAACTTACCGTTGCCATGAACGCTCGCGGTGTCACTGTTACGCTGGCAAGCTGTGGAATATTAACCGGTCTGATACGATTAACCATCTCTCCCAGCGAGATTTCACTGGTAGGAACCATCCGATGCTTATCCTGCGCGGTAACTCCATTGTTGCGCGATAGAACGATAAGATTGCCCTCGGCGTCGCTCTGGAGGAACGTCTCATCTCCAACACAGGCAATCGCTGTGCTCCAGACGGTTTGATAGTGACGACCGATTTCGATGAGCTTAGCAGGTTCCCCGGCGTTACCGGGGGTATACTTAACAAGACAAAGACTCTTCATGAGATCCGCCACCGCGATCAGATCGCCGACGACTGTTACGTCGACTGGCGCGGTAGAAGTCCGATAAGCAGCAAGCTTCTCGAGCTTCATTGGTCCAACATTATTGACTTTGATTTTGTAGACAACGACCTATGTGCTGTTAGTAAAGAGCGCGAAGATATTGTTGATAAATGCTTACAGTCTTAACGAGTGCCGCAACAACACAATCACCCATGATCGCTAGGGCCCGACACGCGCCCATAACTGGCAGCTCGGCGACTAGACTTAGCTTGCGGCCATGGTCGACTTCCAAAATGAGGATCCGCCCGCGGATAGAGTCCTCTTTCTCGTCGTCTGCGAATGCCGTGCCGACAATGAATCGATCTTTCGTGATCTCTTTTCCATTCTCGTCCTTGCCTGCTGAAAGCTCAGCCCGGACAACACTCTCTACCAGCTCGTCGGGCCCCATTTCTAACGCATCGAGACGCCGGAACATGATTTCGTCGGTAAGAACAAAGTAGCTCTTGACAATCTCGGCGCCATCTTCGAGTTTGCGATCAATCGTGCCAATTCCAAATGCCTTCTCGGACGGGGAATATGCAACACGACGGACTGTCGAGCCCATCGATAACGTCTGAATTTGGGTTGTGCGCTCTCTGTCAACAAGTGATATCTTAAGCTCCTTGCCGGTGGCCACGGCGATGGCGTCTGGGAAGGCCTCTGTGTTCAAATGACAGGTTCGGGATGCACCCTCAGAGTTCACTGCAGAGTAGATAATTCGGCCCTCGGAGCCGTAGATCAAGCTGGGATTCTCGCAAGTAGCGAAAACATTATATAGGCCGTCACCACGGGGGAGCTTCTTGAAGATCGGTTGCTCAGAACCCAGAATCAGCTTGGTCATCTTACTTAGAGAGTGGTCTTCTGTATTCAAGGAGAAAGTGATGACAGAGCCATCAGCCATCGATATGAAGAGAGTAGGCTGGCTGTCTGCAAGCACCTCAGCCACGAGAATCGATCGAGGGAAGCTCTCCCCGGTAGGACCCAAGGACTTTGATTGAAGCACAGCAAAGTCCTTAACAGCCAATATTGACACATTGGCCGATTGGGGGAAACCTGCGATAAAAACTCCAGTTGGCGTTGATGGGACAGTCAAGCCAGATATTTGCTGGTCAGCACCAAGATCCTTCTCCATGATTAGCTGAACATTATCTCTGATATCAAACGATGTCACGATTTGCCCGCTGACAACGAGAACCAGATGGTCGTCATTGGCCGATGCCGCAGTAATCAGCTTCCGGTTCTGAGGTGCCCATTCGAAGTTCACCATGCCGCTTTCTATGTCAGCCACAAGCACGCGTTGTTCTGTGACTTGGAGAATACGGCCCCCCTGGAGCTTTGTAACGAAGAGAGTACTCTCCGTGAGTGAAAGCCCCAGGAAATTCTCCAACTCCTCTACTTCTCCGTCTGGACTAAACTTCAACACGCGTGTTTCGTCCACAAACGTGATAATCAGCGTATCCAAAAAATCGCCTGTGCTTTGAGTCTGCAGTCCCCACATATCAGTAATGTGCTCCATCTCTCCCAACACACCTAAGTCTTCCATGCCAACGCCGCTGCGAACGCTGCGTAACGTTCCATCATCAAAGGCACCAGAACCCGTTACAATTCGAGCCTGCCCGGAGGAAAATTCGTGCGTTTGGCTCTCATTCGTGCGGTTGCCAAGATCCATGATGGTAAAATCAAGGATAGGAGCAATATTAGACAATGTCTGGATGACCTTGAACGAGGTTCCATCAAGCCGGAGGACCTGCGAGTCGCCGTGGTGCGAGGCAACAAACAACATGCCGCCGCCGAGATAGACCAGTACAGATGCCCGGGAGGTCTTGCCCAGAAACTCGAGCTTCCAGTCATCGATTTCGCCCGAGCTATTCAGGATGAAAGATAAGAAAAATAGCCTCCCGTAATCATCAGCCAATAACCACCGCTGACTGTCAACCTTCTCCCAGGCCACGAAGACCGTCGCCTCGTCAAGGTTCCGCGTGATCACGTCGTTCGCATTATCGTCAATGTATTTGATGGATGTCTCTCCAAGAACAATGAGACCGCCAAGCGGTGCCGGAATGGGTATAAGATGTGACGAGCCAAGATCGAGCTCCTGTCCGAACTCGCCCCCTTCCAGCTTCGGCACCTCCTTGAAAGTAGCATCCGCCGAAGTCCCCGAAGTACCAGCTGTGAAATCCAGCTCACGAATCCGGAGTCGCACCTTCTGCTGATTATCTTCGTATAGCAATGCGAACCAGGGGTTCGACTCTGAGTGCAAAAATGCAGAAGATCGAACGAAAAGCTCGTCAATGCGCGATGTAGTGGGCTTATCCAATTCGCCCACCTGCAGCGGTAACTCAGTCTGGGGCGCTGCCATTGACGGTCGACCTCGTTTCTTCGTCGGCTGCACAATCGGCACAACAACTATCACTCCCTCGTATACCTCCAGCGTCATGAACCGTCCTGTCGGGTCCATCAGGCATCGCGGTGCGCATTGAGACTCCCGGGACGAGGGCTGGGCGATATCGACGCAGGTGCGGGCTGTGATGATTTGTTTTGTCTCGCGGTCCCATGCTATTGTGAAATAGTTGTATTGATCCGTGCCGACAAAGAGATGATCGGTTTTCGAATTTGCCGGCGCGGGTAGGCGCGCGAGCATGGTGACCCGCGCATACAAAGCGCGAGTGGTAGTAAGAACAATTCCATCGGGTGTGAGGATGTAGAATTCAAGTCGGCTGGCTTTTCTGTGGATTCCGGGGCGGGTTAGCTATTGTGATCATCGTCATTGGAGGAGAGGTCGGCCCAGGTGCGACTTCATGGGGATGGGGACTCACGCTGCGACTAGACACTCTTCTTCCGCGGAGAAGAAGTTCAGTTTCACTGCATGGCGAATGCTGCTTGCCCGGTGGATGGGCACGACATAGGCCATCGTGGTTTAACCGCCGCGGTCTCTGGCGGCGCGGAGCTCGCTGAGCTTGAGCTTCGGTGGACCACCCTGCGGGGATGGTTAGAGTGTGAGAACAAGGGTTAGGGCGGAAACACCAGAGCAGATTGATGGCGCCGAATTATGTATTGGGCATGTCCTCAAAGTCAACTCTTGGGGCAGGGATTTGCTCGGTGTGGGGATATGAGGGAGTCGAGGTTCCCGTGCTCATGACGTTAAATCCGCGCTTACAACCGAAACCGTCTTTTTTCTCCAGAGACTGAATCACTCATTTCCGGAGAATTGAATCTGGGTGTATTCCCTGGATATATTCCCAGGTCTTGATCTCGTTCTCAGAGAAAAAAAAAATTAAATTTCTTTAAAATCACAAATCTAGATAGTGACATACCCCGACCGAGGAGGTGCTTCCAGTCCAAAGCTAAGAAGCTCAAGGCCCTCAATGTGAGGCCAATGATAGCGATACATGCATCGCGAAAGGAAAAAAAAAAGCAAAAACAAATCATATCGAACAGTGTGAATATATAAGTTCGATCATCTAAGCATAGGGGAAGTGCAAAGAAGCGTTCATTAATCATGAGATCACGACCAGACGTCCTCCTGGTAGCTGCCGCTGCTACGCATGTGCTTAACCATCTCCTCGCCCTTCTCAGCGGGCATGCCGCGTTGCTGAGCAATGATGTGGCCGAGCACCAGGTTGACCTCGCGGGCCATGTTGGCAGCATCACCGCAGACGTAGAAGTTGGCCTTTTGCTTCAGTAGCTCACTGACAAGCTCGGCATTCTCCTTCAAACGGTGCTGAACGTAGACTTTCTCGGATCCTTCGCGGGAGAAGGCAGTAATAATCTTCAGGGAGTCGCCCATTTGAGCTTGGTAAGTCTGTTGTAGTTATGTCAGCATCAAGATTCGGGCGTCAAAAGGGAGTGATTTGCATACCTTGAATTCATCCTGGTAGAGATAGTCCTCGTCGCTCCTACGGCATCCGAAGAACAACAAAGTGGTGCCAACCTTCTCTCCCTTGGCAGCAAGAGCAGCACGTTCCTGGATGAAACCACGGAAAGGCGCGACACCAGTGCCGGGGCCAACCATGATAATAGGCTTGGACGGGTCGGAAGGCAGCTTGAAGTTGGAGTGACGAACATGGACAGGCACATGAATACCATCGTACTTGTTGCGGGGACCGGTGATCGAGTAAGTCAAGCCGTGGGGATCGGGGGACGGGTCACCGTTCTGCTTCTGCTTAAGAGCCAGGAGGTAGTTGGTGGTGACACCCTTGACCATGTGCGAGGCACCGGGCAGACGAACAGACTCGACAACAGCAGTGATGCTGATCTTGTCTTTTTGAACCAGGGACGAGGAAGAGATCGAGTAGTAGCGGGGCTGAAGCTTGTTGAGACCCTCAATAAGCAGCGAGAAAGGAACAGCAGTGAAAGCCTTGGGAGTGATGCTTTGGAGGGCCTGGGCAATGTTGAAGCGCTGGTTGGTGATCTTCTCGTGGAAATAATCCTTGTCGTTACCCAGACGGACGATCTCGGCCTTGGTCTCCTCATCAGGAGCGAAAGCGGCGAGGGTGGAAACGAATTGACGAGAAACGGGAGCGCAGACTTCCATGTAGTAACGGACAGCAGCATCGTAGGTGGTAGGAGTGGGAATGGGAACCTTGGCCGTGACATCAATACCCTTGACGTTGATCACCAAGTCGCGCTTATCCTCAATACCAAAGACTTGAAGGAAGCGATCGACCTCGGCACCAGCGTTGGTGGGCCAGATAGCGATGTGGTCACCGGTCTGGTAGGTGAGATTGCTACCAGCAATGCTAATTTCCATATGGATGCAGTTACGGTCCTTGACAGTGAACAATTCGGAGGATTCGACAATGGGGGCAATGTACGGGTTGTGGGCGGAGAAGGGACCCTTGGCGCGACCCTCACGATGGGCAGCAGTAGGCTCACCCAGATAGACAGACTCATCCTCGGGGGTTTTCTCATCATCCTCGGTGACGCAGAAGACGGGTTCGTAGACAGCTTCACGTTCCTGGAGGTCCATGGCATCCGAGAGCGCGGCCCACATGGGCTCCTTCCATGCCAGGAAATCCTCCTCCATGGTTCCGGCGCCATCGTCGCCCTCCCCAGCAGTTCCAATGCGCTTCGCACCGAGTTTGGTCAGGGCAGTATCGACCTGACGAACCATGGCGTTGTAGTGCTCATAAGTGTTGTTACCCAGACCGAATGCGACGTACTTCATGGCGGACAGAGGCTGGTCATCGGCGGAGGCGCCGCTCTCAAAGGCCACATCTTCACCGGTGAAGAATTGGTAGAATTCAACCGCGTTATCAGTAGGCTCGCCCTCACCATAGGTGGCCAGCACGAAGAATGCGACCTTGTCCTCGGGGAATTTGTCCAGGTTCTCGTAGTCATAGTCCTCAATGTCGGCCACCATAGTCTTGAGACCGAAACGTTGAGAGCCTTCCTTAGCCAATCGCGAGGCGTAATCCTCAGCGGTACCAGTCTGGGAGCCATAAAAGATCACACAGTTCTTGTTTGTCTCCTCCATCTTCTCCACGATGTCACGGGTTTTGCCGGTCTTCGCGGCTCCATTGAGGGTGGCGGCCGAAGAGGCATACGGGTCTTTGGGGACGGCCCAGTAGCTTCCCTTGGTGAAGTAGGCGATGCTACCCACCAAGAGAGCCACCAAGACGACCAGGTCGAGTGTATCCAGTTGCGCCATGTTGGCGTGTATCTCGCGGGAACAGGGGGTTATGGCGTCGCGAATTCCCGCCGGGAAGATTTGGGTGAACGTGTTCCAAGGTCCGGAAGCTCAATACAAAACAATGCCGGGAAGATAACTTGGAAAACCCAATATTCCCCAAGAGTGACCCCTAAATGACCAGAGTAGAGAGGAATGAAGCAGAATAGGTGGTCTGATCCACTTCCAATTTCTGCAGATCGTCACGAATCCTCACCGCTGTCTGTTTACGTGGGGACTGCGATTAAAGGTAGGACATATCAAAGTAGGGAGGACTGGAAGGACTTGAAAGAACAGAAGTAGGAAGAAGGCGAAAGAAATCCGAAAAACAATCAATTTCCCCAACCATTTAAACCCTTTCCCCCGTTATTATATAAGAAATTCCCATGAACAATGTGGGGGAATGACCATCGGAACGGGACATCGGCCTCTTGGACTGCCCTTTCTGGGTGATTCCCACGCCCCCAACGCCTGTGCCCCGAGTCCTGCGTACTTTTTTGCCTCTCGTGGGAAAGGCGGAGCTCGGGTAAGAAGAGCGGCAAGGCTGGCCGGGAGATAACTCGTTCCTCTGAGTGGCTACGAGCGAACTGACTGGATCTTCCGTCCTGTCCGGAATCACAGTCCCCGGAGTCATCTTTCGGTGTGTCGTCTCAACGCTCGTGCGGAATTCTTTCCGCACCTCGGGCTCTTCATATTTAACCTCAGGGCCCTGGCTTCTCGAAGCGGCCTTGTTGGGCTCTCGGATCCCGGCTGTCAGTTTCTTCTGACGTGTGGGGAAGATCGCCAAACTATCGACCTAGGGACGTTCACGAGAACGTACTTTATGTACTCTGTACTCCGTACAACTGACGCAGTATGGAGTACCCATGTGCAGTCAAGCCGTGATTTCTTATTGGACCTCGGCATATGTCAATACCTTGTCCCCTCCGTGATCTTGTGAACATATCTTGGAATGCACAACGTCGACCGGACGAATGGCCCCCGGCTGCTAGGTACGGTCGCTACATGGATGTATCGAGGACATAGAAACGTTGTCCATGAGGTCTCACAATGAGAACAGAACTCATCCTCGTACTCCGTAGGCTCGGCTGCATATCTTGTCGTGTATAGAGTACTCCGTAGGCATAATTTGTTTCAGGACCCTGGGAGCCAGTCTACACCATAGATCAGACGCTATATCTCATTTTTGACTGATCACTTCCTCTACGATCGATGCAAAACTTTATGATCTGTTTTGTTTCTGTCATCGTGCAGACATTGCACCCAATACATATCTGGTATCATGGTGTGAAGGGACTTCGTTCTCCGTACTGCGTACTCCGTATATGCCGTATCCATATCCTCCACGCGTTCTGAGGGGAGCAGGGGATCTGTTTCAGACGGAGAAAAAAAACACCAATCCTCTCAATCTATGGGAGTACCCCGCCCGGCACTTGAAACCGTTCGATCAGACGTTCCTATGGTATCCTGGTTCCTGGCGGTGTTTCGCGTGGTGTCCGTACAGCGCACTCCGTATGTACGGAGTACGGAGTTCTCCGTAGTGTGAGAACAGATGATCTCCGTAGGGAAAGACACACAAAGAGAGAACTCAGAGAAAACGATAGCTCACTTGCATACACTCGAACGTCCAGTCAAAAGGAATGAATTCGGGGAAATTAGTTCCCAGTGGGTTGAGGCTCTGGTAGGAGCCAAGACTCACCTGGGCAGCAATGCCCGACTTGAACCAGCAGCACACCGTGTGAATGGAGGGGAAGGCTGCTTCGCATCTCGTATATCAAATAGAAATGAAATCTCTCTTATGCAGGTACTTTGGTAGTCGTATACGTCAAAAGATGGTCCAATGTGAGGCTTAATAATAATTGATCCCTTTGGACCCGTGCGCCCGATAAAAAACATGAAGCTCTCAGCTCAAAGCCCTCACACCCCCTTGGCTTGAGGATTGGCTATGTGCAACTTACCTTCTATCCTTGCGGCTGACTGTCCTGTGAACAATGAGGTTCTTGTGATCACTTAACAGTAAGTCCTCTGCAATCGGGAATCGGGAATCTCGAACTTCCATTGCGATCGGAGCAAACGGACTCGGGCTGACATTGGAATCCTAAAAAGTGGCTTCACACCCTGCCAAAGCTGGCTCAGGCCAGCAATCGATCTTGCCCCTCATTTCCGACGATCTGAAGTCCGCATCACACCATAGCCTCGCCTCCCCATCGGAACGCCGAGGGACCAGGACAGCACAGTCCACACCTCTGCACAGTCGCGAATCATCTGCTGCTCGAGGAAGAGCAGCTGATCCCTCCACTCTCGCCCCTATCCAACCACGACGCGGTCATTCCGGATCCAAGAGCCCCGACGTACCCGGCGGACGTCCAGGATATGAATCAGGATTAGAAAGGCGGCCTTCCAACTCGTATGGTCATCACCGGCAGACCTCCATCGTGCATGGCGTGCAGCATTCCCGAAATACGAGCATGGCCGGATCAACTACTTCCACCAGCCCTTTGAGCCCGGAGCTCATGGCCTCCCTCGGTCGCGGTGCGTTTGACGAGGCAACCCTCCCCGCGAAATTCGATCCCCTCGATATACACTCCGGCTTTTCGACCCCATCCGGTACATCCGCAAGTCATGGATTGCCGCCCACGTTGAGTACGATTCAGGACAATGATACAGAATTAAGAGATCTGAGCCCCGCTATCCTAATTCACAAACGAATGGGCTCCGGGGGAAAACCAAGGCGCGAGCGGTCACATAGTCGGTCACAGTCCAAACATCACTCGGACTCCAAGACGGTTGGGGAATATGCATTGCATCATCTGTTCAACTCCTTTGTGGGCCAGGCAGACAACAAGATCAATCAGGCCATCATGAAGTTGGGGACATCCGAGGCTCCTGTGGAGGAGGTTTGCGGCCCCGGAGCAGATCCAACGTTTGATCAATTGATTTCGGCCTTGGGCCATATTGCCCGACAGAAGCCAAAACCTTTGATCGATACAATTATGTTTTGGCGCAAGGCCAAGGGGGATGCTGCCATTACAGCGAGACAAATGATGAACGAGCAAAGGCCGTCTCCAGTAGCCACAGAAAGTGGTCCCCTTTTGCGCCGCAACACCGAGCCAACGCAACATGCAGATCCTGCTACTACTGCAGAACGAGCACAGCACTCGACGCCCTTCCTCAGTCGTCCTGATGAGGTCATTTTGGTAGAGCGGCGGGCAACCGTGTCGGTATACTTAGTCTGTAGAGTCTTGATTGAGATCTTCAACCAGAGTAGCTTGGCTTCCATCACTTTGGACATGGCGGAACGCCTTGAAGACATAGTGTTTGGCCAGGTGAAGACCTCTGATCCGGACCAGATCTCGGCCTCCCCTCTGCGGATGGCTAATTGGAGAATCTACGGCCAGTTGCTGGGTATTATGGGGGATACTAATTTCGCTGGTGTTGCCGGTCGTTATTTGACAGAACTCGAGCGCTATCAAAAGGAGGAAATCGCTCGGGGACCATCTCGTGACGGTGACTCAAAGGCAGAATTGTTGATCCTTTGTATGCGATATCTTCGTTTGCCTATGACCTCGGAGGGGTGGCCTCAATCGTGCGATTTTATGCGATCGGTCGCACGCTTGTTTGTCAATGCCCACGGACAGCGTATCAAGCAGGCATATTGCTACGTGATTGAGAAGCTTCTGCTTCCTGTTGCTGCCAATCCGAGCTGTGATCTATCATTGCCTCGGTGGAAGGAATTTGTGGATTTGGTTCAACCGCGCCTCACACAGCTTCTCACTAAGCCTCGTCACTGGACATCTTCCTTCTCGTTAAATGTGCTATTACTTTGCATCTCCAACAAAGAGACTTTCTCTTCCCAATGGCTTTCAATGATTACGAGCTTACCTGCACGTCTGAAGGACCGCCCTACACGTGCACCAGCCCTCCACGCCATCTGTCGTCTAGTCTGGACTTATTTCTTCCGTTTCTCGGACTCCCCTACAACGACTCTTCGCAAGGTCGAAGAAGTTGCCAAGATCGCCTTGCCAGCCGGCCGGAAAACGTACTTGAGCGCAGAGCCAGTCTTTGCCGATCCGTTGATCCAGTTGATTCAGATAATTGGTTTCAAGCATCCGGATGTCTGTTTTCGTAACATTATCTTCCCTTTGATCAACTCTGATCTGTTCCTATCTGGCAGAGAGTTGAAGATAGAACAGATGGAGCCAGAGAAAATGGTCATTGGAATCCGGGCCTTCCTGGCTACAATGTCTGATCTGGAGACTAGTGACCAGTTATGTCCTCCCATCCCGACTGGATCACTCCCAAATCCCTTCACCGACGTTTCTACCCCCGTATATTTCCATCGTCCTCAGCTGCTCAAAGAGTATAAAGGGCCTCGTTCATCTGAGCAGCAAGATCCGACGGCATGGCAACCTGTCAATACCTCGAGACTAAGTGATAATGTTAAGGAGTATTATTGGCGCTTTTGCGAAGTCTTGGGCAAGATCACTTTGCTCTGTGATAACACATTCGGTGGACAGGCAGTCCTGGATGAGAAGTTTGGGGGAAGTACGCCCAAGACTCCAATCTCAGAAGCATTTAGTTTCGGCCGTCGTGGTGATGATCATGTCACAACACTGGATCAGAAGCAAGGATTCTACGATCTGCTTCATGTGGCAGTACAAGCACTCCCTCGTTGCCTCTCCGATCACATTCCATTTAATTCGCTCATCAATCTCCTTTGCACGGGAACTGCCCACGTTCAGTCAAACATCGCTACTTCCTCGGCGCTCTCTCTAAAAGCCATTGCGCGCCAATTACACGCCCAACAAGTTACTATCGGCTTTGCTAGATTTATCTTTAATTTTGACGAGCGCTACTCGACTATGTCAGATGAAGGAATGCTCGGTCCGGGCCATATTGAATCTACCCTGAGGCTGTACGTTGAATTATTACAGATCTGGATCGACGAGATCAAGCAAAAAACAAAAGGCGCGGCAGCCATGGATCAATTAGAAAGATCCGTTTCCGGTAATCGAGCTTTGCATCTTGATTTATCGAGTGTCCTCGCCCATGTAGAGGAAATTGAGTCGCATGGCCTCTTTTTCTTGTGTTCTCAGTCCAGGCGTGTTCGAGCTTTTGCCATCACCGTTTTACGGTTGATCACCGAGTTTGACAGCGCTCTTGGAAAAGAAAACACCAGAATCATTCAGCTGCTTGAAGCTGATTCTCAGCAAATATTGGATGTTAATGATGAACATCTGACTGTGGCAGAGCGAAGCCGAATCCAGAAGGGCAAACGAACAAGCGCCTCTCAAAACACTCTTATCGAATTGTGTAGCAGTGAAGTATCCTATGATTCAACATTGTGGGCTAAGGTCTTTCCCAACATCATCCGCGTCAGCTTTGAGACTTGCCCTTTCGCTGTAACCCTCGGCAGAGAGATTGTATGTGCGCGTCTTGTTCAAATGCACAAAATCATCACATCTCTAGCTGAGAGTACACGATTTCCACCATACGGTCCTATCGATGCGTATCAGAGCCGCCCTATCGGGAGAAATAATGTGACATCCGAGATTCTTGTCGAGCAATGGAAGCTTTACTTGGTCATGGCCTGCACTACTGTCACTAGCGTTGGGGCTCAGTCGCAGAGCCAGCTGGCCAATGCCCAGCACGCACGTAAAACTTCCAAAGGAGCCCATCAGTCTCAAGACAAGATCAGCTCCGCTCGGAGCCTCTTTGCCTTTGTTATCCCCCTCCTTTCTGCCGAGCGGGATTCTATTCGCGACGCCATCGTCGTCGCCTTGGGATCTATTCATCAGAACCTCTATCGCACGCTTCTCGAGTCTTTACAGTATGCCGTTACTACTTGCAACGAAGAGGCGAAGATGAGAATTGGCAACCATTACCGCAGCCCCAGCAGTCCTCGTCGAAACAGGAAAACCGACCGTCTGCGCACTGAGGTCACCAATGTTTACAAACTCACATCTCACTTCCTTCAAGACCCAGAAGTCTACAATGACGACTGGATCGTTAACAACCTTGTTACTTATGCCAAGGATATCCGAATCTTCCTCAGTGATGCGGAAGTTCAAAATGACTGGGAATTCCAGCGCTTGCGATTCCATTTCTGTGGATTGATGGAGGAGCTTTTCGAAGGCATCAATCGTACCAAGGATCCTTTCCGCTGGATGCCTTTCGAGTCTCGGAAATCCGCTTTCTCTCTCATGGAGGACTGGTGTGGATATTCGCCAAACCAGTCTCAACCAGCTGAAAGTGAAGATCATATGCGCAAGTTTTCTATAAATCGACCCCACGAAACAGGTGAGATGAAAAGCCCCGCTGCTGCCATGGAAAAAGAGAAGAAGAATCTCCGCGCAGCAGCCTTGAGTGCAATGGCCTTTCTTTGTGCTGGTCCTATCAGCATCACTACTGAAAGCGGCTCTGTTCTGCAATTTGATGTCAGTCGCATGCTTTCGTGGATTGAAATGATCTTTAGTACCATCAGTGATAAATGGCATGCCATTGGCCGCCGGGCTCTCAAAAATCTCATCATCCACAATCAGGAACACTCCTACCTAATGGAGCGCTCAATTGAGATGTGCTATATTACCGAGCGACCCAGGACTATCGAGAGCTACTTTGAGGTCGTTACTCAAGTTCTTTTCGAATACCCAGAGTATCCTCTCGCATTTTGGAGAGTTCTGGGGGCAGTCTTGGTGACATTGGGCAATGAAAAGCGTGAGATTCGGATGAAGTCTGCTAAGCTTCTCCGCAAACTCGAGGAACGCCAGCAAAAGAACTCCAGGCTGCAAGACTTCGATATCAGTATTTCGGACAAGACTACTGCGGTGTACAAGCTCGCCCAATTTGAGATTTCGAAGAGATTAGCTAGCCAGCATTCCGACTTGGCCTTCACTATCTTTTCGGAGTTCTCTTTGCATTTCCGCAATCTTCGACCTGATAACCAGCGGAACATGGTTGCTGCTATCCTGCCCTGGGTCCAGACAATGGAATTACAGGTTGACCCGAATGGCGGGCCTACAGCCAAATCCTACATGTTGCTGGCGAATCTCTTTGAGATAACAATTCGTTGCAGTACCATCCTACCTAATCAAGTGCAAGCGCTGTGGCAGGCTTTGGCAACAGGCCCACATGGAGGTAATGTGCAGCTGGTTCTTGACTTCATTATCAGCATCTGTCTGGAACGCAAGGAACAAAACTTCGTGGAATATGCCAAACAAATGGTCGTCTTCCTTTCTGGCACTCCAGCAGGATCCAAAGTCATCGAGTTCTTCTTGTTGCAGGTCGTGCCAAAGAACATGGTACAAGAGCGGAAAGAACTCACTCCGCCTCCTCCTGACATAAAAAATCTACCATACGTTGCAGACCTTGGAACAGTGCTCCCTGTCGGAAACAAACAAGCTGGTCTATCCCTCGGACAGGTTGCCCTGATATTTCTCGTTGATCTCATGGTCGCTCCGGTGAGCCTCGCCTTGGAGGATGTTGTCAAGCTGATCCACATTGTTCTCATCCTTTGGGACCACTATACAGTTACTGTGCAGGAGCAAGCTCGTGAGATGCTGGTACATCTTATCCATGAACTGATAGCGGCCAAGCTTGAGGATGATGCCCCTGCGGGTGCTCGGCAATCTGTCGAAGACTTTGTGGAATCAATTCGGAAGAGCGATCCTGCGGTTGTTTGGGAATATGAAGAGAATCATGGCAAAGAGGAAGACGCGGATGATCGCCGTGTGCCTCCATCTATGGCATCTGTCACCCGTGAAGTTGTCCGATTCTTTGGTTTTGCCTATGAGGGAGTGGGCGACCTGTGGGCCAAGGAGGCATTGAGCTGGGCCACGTCATGCCCGGTGCGACATCTGGCGTGCCGCTCGTTCCAAATCTTCCGCTGCATCTCGACCTCATTGGATCCGCGAATGCTGGCTGATATGCTCGCCCGCCTGTCTAATACTATTGCCGACGAGCAGACAGATTATCAAACATTCTCGATGGAGATTCTTACTACCTTGAAAATCATCATCAGCTCCCTGGCGCCCACCGACCTCCTGGATTATCCTCAGCTGTTCTGGACGACATGTGCTTGTCTCAACACAATCCACGAGACCGAGTTTATCCAAAGCATTGGCATGCTTGAGAAGTTCCTCGGTCGGGTCGACCTCAGTGATCCAGTTGTGGTGACCAACCTTATCAAGGGCCAACCATCCAATTGGGAAGGCGGCTTCGATGGTCTCCAGGATCTTGTCTTTAAGGGAATGAAATCATCCCAGTCCTTCGATCGTACACTTGATCTTCTACACATTCTCAGTGGTCTTCCAAACAATGACCTAATCGGAGATGGAACTCGACACTTATTTACTGTGTTGGCTAATCTGCCCCATTTCCTTGAATGCTTCGAGCAAGGATTCAGTGACCCCAAGCCAATCGCTCGGGCTAGCATACTTGCTCGCGTGGCTGAGAATGAGCGGTGTCCCCGCCTCGCGGCATCATTGTTCGGCTTTGCCAACCAGCAGTACAAGACCGCGGGTGTCTTCCTCAATCATATCATCACCGAAATCAAGTCATACTACTTCCCTCAGCTGGATTTCCAGTGTCTCATCTTCCTCATGGGACTCTTGACTAACACTACAGACTGGTTCCGCCTAAAAACAATGAGAATTCTTTGCGTTCTGATTCCCGAGGTGGACATGCGGCGCAATGAGGTTACCTGTCATGGTCCGGATTTGATATCCCCACTGCTCCGGCTTCTGCAGACCGATCTATGTCCTCAGGCGTTGGAGGTTCTAGACCATATCATCACCGTCTCAGGTAATCCGATGGAGCGTCAACATCTTCGCATGAGTATGGCTTCAGCAGCCTCTTCTCGTGCTATCCGCAAAGAATACGAGCGAATTCAGAGTCTTTATGGCATTCCCGAACCTACTGGATGGTCTGTTCCTATGCCCGCTACGCAATCAAGCATGACCCGGCATAACGTCCATGCGGTCTTCTACACCTGCGTTGAGGCTGAAGACATGCCGGAGGAAGATGTCATGACACCTAGCGTCGCCTTCCATGCGGACGAGTACAGCGATTCGTTCTTCCCAATGAGAGCTGATACAATGAAATCGATTGACACGCAGGTCGACGGCAATATGGGAGACATCGTGCAGAAGCTGGACAGCCTAGATGACTTCTTTGAAGAGACCGATGCAACCACTCCTGTGCTGGGTCCCACAGCTGCTCCCATGCTGCGAGGATTCACCGGTAGTTACTTGGATAGCAATGCCCATCTGTACGACCAGCAGACCGCACCGATTCTACGAAAATCCCTCGCCCGCACAGGCTCTACATCGTCTTTCCATAATGGTCTTGCTGAATCTCGTCCGCCCAATTTCCGCTTTGATGGCCCGGCGGTGTACTCCCCGGTAACGACGATACCCTCGAACGCCGCACAAATGTTACGACCTGGTTCTCATACCCGTTCTGTCACTTCTCCTGCCAACAATCTTTATGTTCACACTGCTTCCAATGTACCCAGTACCACGTTGCCTGTTGGATTTAGCGATTCGGCGTTCTTGTCTGACGAGGACCCTGATGAGGTTCATTCAGATCTAGATGAACGTCCGGTGACAAAGAGGATAGTTGTGCCGCCTGTACCTATGGTCCGCAGTGCAACTGATGGCCCGCATTCCCTGGAGTCAATGATCCGCAGCGGAATGCGCAGGTTGACTGGCGGTGCAGCGAACAGGGAAAAGGAGCGTCAGCGGGACCTCCTCCGCGCACAGCACCGCGCCATGATGCAAACGGCCAATTCACCTCGTGTCCCGAAGGTCCCTGAGGAATATCTGTCGGCGCCAACCAGTCACCCGACATCGCCGAGATAATCCTCCCGGCATATCTCCACCCCGATCATACATTTCTGTCATCTCGTGCTGCTTTCCGCTTTACATTGTCAGTCCATCTAGACTGCCAAGCATTTCTTGGGAGTTAGGATCACTTTACATACCCTTCGCCTGTCCATCTGTCCATCTACTTCGGAACTGGTCTTGTCCATCTAGCGTTGATCTTGTGCCTCTGCATTCTGTATAGTATTCGTATGGTATTGTTATCCTACGAGTTGGTGAATCTGCATATTAGGTGCCTCACATTCAATGTTAAAATTTATGTATATGCATATTTGGGAACGGTTTATTGGAGCTGAGCGGATTTTCTTGTTTGTAATTTCAATTACTGGATAATTTGATGAACAATATATTCAATCATTCGGACAAAGCGATAATTCATAGATCTGAAGTGCAGGATGCCAAATCCTAGCTGCATACTCCGTACATGTATATAGATGTTTGGTACCTCCCGACTTTCCAGCTCTCCGAGACCTTGTCCCGGCTAGATGATTCCCTCTCTTCCACGCCAACGACCTTCCCTTCATTCCCTTGGTCATCAATTCCAAACGAAAAGTTTAAACAGTCCTCTACCCAGATGGGAAGATCTTGGGAGGCTTAAATGAGATACAGTTCTACCGCCAAAGTTTCCGTTCGGCCCGCACCACATCAAATATATATGACAGCCAACTTCGGCCCATCTTCATATAATGTTGCCAAAGGGTATTATGTCGTATGTCATGAGCCCTCACCTAGCGCTCTTAGGGTGTACTGCTCATAATCCCGCACGCCTCTCTCTCATGTACAACCCATACCCCGACGCATCCGTTCCTATTTAGAATGGCAGAGATTTAGTGGTAAGTAGCAAAAGACTTGGTGACCCGAATAGATAATGAACTCGATATAAAATAGTTGCAAAAGAAAAAAGAAAAAAAGAAAGACGAGGTCGTGCCCGGGATCGAACCGGGATCGGTGGAATCAGAATCCACAGTGATAACCATTACACTACACAACCGTCTTGTGATAAACCACACACCCAATTGGCATAAGACGAGTCTGAGTTGCAATTAAAAACTGGAACGACATCTGTAAAACAGAGACTTTATGAAAACTACCCAGGTATACTATGAAGTTCATACTCACTTTGAGAACCAGCGGGCTCCACATTTTGGCAGTTCTTCCCTGGCTCCCAATACATAGACCGTGGCCCAGCGCCCAGCTGTTTGGCTCACCCATTGGGGGTTAATGGAGTCGAGAAGTTCGAGTCTACCTCAAAGATTTGACCGACCACTAGTGTATCATTAACGGGCAGATCTTCGCTCAAATTTCGTGTAGTTTGGAAAACAAGCGATTTGACACTGTTCACGTATCAACGGAATCTCTAGAAATCTTATCAACATGAGCGAGTCAGTCTCGGTGCTTGCGCTTTTCTTTCCTGCTTGATGCACAAGGATTTTGAGAAGTTTCTCTCAATTCTTCTTCTAAAGGCGATTCCTGTTGAGTTTCGTTCAATTTGGCGGCTTGGGCAGCTGGGAATCTGGCATTCCGTCCCACCGATACGAATCTGCTGAGAAACTCGCTAGCCCTGCCCAGGGGAACGTGACTAATAACCCAATGGCGTACACAAGGAATTGTGATCAATCGTTTCGATGACCGCTGCGGTTTCTTGTTCTCTGGATAGGTGCCTTTCAAGATCCAAGATGTACAGATGCAGGTCGGACCAACATGCGAGTATACCCCACACGTGACGCGCTTCCCCACGGGCTTCCTAATCCGGGCTTCCCCGCATTTCCAGCTGGAGGCCTTCTCGCCCCCCTGTCTCGGAAAGCTGCGGCCAAAAGGATGTGCGGAGGTGCCACGCTCAACTGGTGCTTCTTTTAAATATGACCTCGGGACCCCTCCATTTTAGCATTGAACTCTACAATTCAACATTGCTCTGCTTCCTTAGACTCGGCATTGTTCATACCTCAAACATCAATTTCTACCATTAACATTCGGCACTTGCTACCTCGGCTCAATAGCACACAGTACTCCGAATCTTCCAGGTCATGAGTCTCCGAACAGTGATGTCCCTTCCACGGAGGGCAACCTGCTTCCATGCGTCCGCAGCGGATCTCCGACGCTGGCCGTCCAGCAACGTCCGAGCTTTCTCCACGACGATGCACCGTGATGCGACGTGGGGCTTTGTCGGGCTGGGACAAATGGGTATGTTCCAAGATCTGCAGCAAGGGCCCTCGGTTATACCTAAACATTCCAATGTGGATTGTTTATATTGCATTTGCATGAGCTGATTAGCCTAGGTTACAACATGGCCAAAAACCTGCGCGCCAAGATCCCCGCATCCGACACCTTGATTGTGCGCGATGTCAACGATGAAACGATGAAACGATTCGTCGCGGAGGCCCAAGAGACTGCACGAAGCAATGGCGCAGGCGCCAATGAGGGCCAGGTTGAGATCGCGGAGAATGCGCGCGAGGTCGCCGAGAAGTCGGTAAGTGGTTAGCCGTGGATCCGTCCTGTGGCTGCACTAGTGGCTTGCCTACATGGACTGTGTGCCGTACACTTCTATTGTTCCAGGGTCTGATAATAATGCTTTTCTTTTTGTCTGGCGTGTAGACAGTGATGATCACCAGCCTCCCAGAGTCTCAACACGTCATTGACGTCTTCCACTCGATTCTTAAACATGGCCCGCTGCCACCGCTCGAGCAGGAGCGTCTGTTTATTGACACATCCACCATTGACCCCGTCACGTCCAAGGATATCGCAAATGCCATCCACACCACACAGACCGGCCGCTTCGTGGACGCCCCCGTGTCAGGAGGCGTGGTTGGTGCTCGCGCGGGGACGTTGTCGTTCATGTTCGGCGCTACCTCGAAGACTGGCGAGCTGCTCGAGCGCATCCGTGGGGTGCTAGCTTTCATGGGTAAAAAAGGCCTGGCATCTTGGCGAGCCTGGCGCTGGCGTTTCCGGTAAGCTTGCGAACAACTACATTTTGGCTTTGAACAACATTGCCACCGCCGAGGCCATGAACTTGGGAGTTCGCTCGGGCCTCGAGCCTAAAGCCCTGGCTGAAATGATCAACTCGTCGACTGGGCGTTGCTGGCCCTCCGAAGTTAATAATCCTGTTCCTGGCGTCGTTGAGACAGCCCCAGCGTCTCGCGGCTATGAAGGTGGATTCGGGGTCAGCTTGATGCACAAGGATCTGCGATTAGCTCTTGCAGCTGCGGAACAGTCTGGTACCCCCCTCGCCCTGGGTGCTCAGGCTCGTGAGGTATACAAAGAGGTGGAGGACAAACACCGTGGTAAGGATTTCTCAGTGGTGTATCAATGGTTGCAGGAAAAGTCACAATAAATTCATGTCAGTGCGGGTTCTCCCGTCAGTATCATTCTTTGGCAATCTTTATATCCCCTGAACGATTCATTCCTCGCTGCTCTTTGTCATAGATATGATCTTCCAATGTCAAGATAGAAATTTGCATATTCACATTGTCCTTCTCGATATGTTCAAAGTTGGCCTGTTCTCTGATAATTGTGTCCTTATTGCTGTCTCTGCTGAGGAATGCCGTATACTGTGACAGCATGAGCACAATATGAGTGATTGCTGTCTGGAGGTCTGGTAGTGTTGCCCTATACACATATCGTGCCCCCATGTGACTTCCCTGTCACTTTCCCCCCAAACGAGACCAGCACCACACCCATAGCTCCTTCTTTATCGTTACGCCCTTTCCTTATCCGAGATCCTTCGTCTTTTTCCTTTTCTTTCTGAGAACCCTTCTCGACTATCTGCATCCATCCCACCTCATCACATCCACATTTCGTTTGTCAGTGGCCTCGTCCTGGCTCATTCATCCCGTTGTCGGTTTCAACGCCCAGACGTTCCTTCTCGTGTACCTCAGTTTGCTCGCACTTTGCCGTCATTGCAACTTATCATCAGACGCCTTGAAGCCTGAGAGAACAGGTGGCAGGTGGCGCTCCGAAGAACAGGTCAGTCCTGTGCTCTATTTTGATGTCCTACTAGTCTTCCAGCCTCCATTTTGGCTGACTCTGGCAAGCTTGGGTAAGATCCAAGTTTCCTTGTCAGGCGTGTCTATATAAATTGGTGCAGAATTTCAGGTGAGAACCCCAGCCATTGAGCCTATTCCATTGGAATATTTTGTCAACTCGGGGCCAAACGTCTCGCCCTTCAGGTCTACGAAGTCTGGTGCATATTCATCATCCGAGAAAATGTGCTAACAAAGGCTATATTTGCACCAGTGAAGAGTCTTCATCATGCATCCCCAGGGCTCTCAACACACAAGCTCCTCTGGCTCTGGTCAGACATCGAGTACTCAGTCCGGACAATATCATCAAAACGAGCCTCGTACGCCCTATGGTCACAGGTACCATCAATCCACCAATGTGAATTCCCGTGACAACAGCGTCGGAGGCCTGACCAACCTTTTCAGAGGATTGAATCTGCACAATTCTCGCCCTAAGTCGAAGACCAACTCCGCCGTTCAGATAAACACAAACATGGACTGGTCGAATGCCAACCGTGCGTACAACAGCCCTTTCATCCTGGTTCCCAATTCAACCGTGTTCAATGGTGTTCCGGCTGTTTCCTCATTCGTCCCCAATGCAGTCCATGGTCAGGCTGATCAGATGGGACAATTCTCCTACCTTCCAACAGGAGTTTATTCAAACGTCAACCCGGTAGTTCCGGGTGGTTATCCATCGTGGCCCTACATGATGAACTACGACATGCATGATAACAAGCAAGGTCCATGGAGCCTGTCTGAAGCACAGAAGGGAGCTCAAGGTGAAAACACTGGGCAGGTTCAGTACTATCCTTCAAATCTGATTCCCGGTATGGATGGAAGTGCTATGTCCAGTTACTCCTATGGGGGCATGGTTCCATCCCAGCTAGGGTCACTATCACTTCCCCTCCAGATGATGAAAACCCAGAACGGATATGTTGTCCAAGACCTGGAAGCTTTGACTCAACAAGAGCCTGCGATCCCGCGCGCGGTGCCGGCCATGTGGACAAATCCGTCTGAGCTTACACTTGCCAAGTGTCTGGAGAACCGTGAGGGTATAACCAACGTCTATATCCGAGGATTTCTACCGGAGACCACTGACGATATGCTGCATTCTTATGCTGCCCGTTTCGGGAAGATCGAGCGATGCAAGGCGATTGTTGATCTGGATACCAGTCTTTGCAAAGGGTACCAATCCTGCGACAAAGTTTTCTGGTGATTCAATCTAATTTATGATAGATTCGGATTCGTTCAGTACTACAGCTTCGAGTCTTGCGAAAACTGCATTCGTGGATTCTTTTACCTTGGCTACCAAGCTAGCTTTGCCCAAAAATCACGCAACTCACGCCTGAAAGATCTAGAGGACCGGTCGTCTACCAATATATATTGCACCAACATTCCGATAGATTGGACTGAGGCTGTAAGTTGTCACCAATACTGCTCTTTTATTTCTTAAGTGCTCATTGGCTCCTCAGGACCTGCGACGTCACTTCGAGCCGTGGCGTGTTGTTTCAGAGAAGATCAGTCGTGATGAGAAGACAGGTGTGAGCAAGGAAGTGGGATTTGCACGGTAAAAAAGCCATATGTATGACTATCATGGCCCTTTCTGACCAAAGATCCTCTCTTGAATACAGTTTCGAGAACCGTGAGGTCGCTGAAAAGGTTCTGATGGAATTCCACAATATCACCAAGGAGGATGGCGTGAAGTTGCTTCTGCGCTTTGCTGACACCAAGGCCCAGAAGATTTTGAAGCAACAAAGCAATGAACGCCGTGCTTACCGTGCCGGAGAGTACAACTACTCTGTGGAGGTGGTGCAAGGATCTACTCCATCCCCTGGGGTGAAACGTGGCTCTCATCTCACTCCAAACTCTCAAGTCAGCTACACCTCTCCGGCTGGGGTAGGCTCCAACTGGACCCCAGCCACTTCGATCTCTCCTTGGTACGTTGAAAGCACCTATGCTTTATCGCATTCTGGGCTTTACTAACTGGTATTATAGCCACCCACACATGAAGAATCCATCCAGCAGTGCACGAAGCAGTTCCTTGTCCTCTCGAAGCCTAAACGCCTTGGACAACACACCATCCTATCGTACTCGTGCTTTCTCCCTCAGTCGTCGGTCCTATACCGATCTCTCCGGTGGTTCCTCCAAGACTATTATGCCGGATTCACCGATCATGGAGCCTCGTAAGGAGAACATCAGAGCGGGCTCTGCGTCTCCCGGTTCCTCTCCCATGATGCTTCCCTCCTCGGCTCGCTCGTGCACCTAAACGTACTGTGTGTATCGTGCTCCCACGCATCTATCTGTATATGCATGGGATGCGCTATGACATCTTATCCCGGAGGGCAATTGATCACTGCCTCTTTCAAGTGCTTTTCGATATTCAAATTCGCAGCATCTGTTATCATTCGCAGAATGTACGACGATGTATGGCTCAGGCCTTTTCTTTTCTAAAACAAAAACATTGTTCCACGATTGACGATTCATGACGCACGATATGATTTTCAGTATTCTTTCTGTTTTACAGCGCTTTGCGGTATTATTATGGGCTCTGTTTGCAACCTTATGGAGTTTCGATGGAAGGATGATGGGAATTGTTCTGTTTTTTTTTTTTTGCATTTATACGGACTTTGCATTATTTCAACAATATGTGCTAGGTTTCATGTTTCAAGCCGTCTCTTGACGAGCGCTATCGCGCCTTGATGGGTCTCGCAGTCTAATATGATATTATTCACCAAAGCTATTGCATATAAGCATCCATGTTCACCTGGGCAAGTTCTAAAGTGCGCGGGCACAATTGAAACATGCAACCAGTCTATCAGAAACGGCCAATGAGATACAAATCTCGATCTATACATTTGTAGGACAACCAAAACTATTCTTCGCATCAATTGCGCCCAAGTCTTTCCTCCACATCTTCGGTGAGTTGGTACGCAGGAAGATATTCGCCATCAGACTGAGCCTCACGCCGCAACTTTGGGTTGGGATGGGTATCGGAGGTACCTCCAAGACTGGTATAGCCCTCGTCATAAAGCGAACAGTATCTCAAGTCCAGATGCCGAATAAATGCCCAAATCTCCGCATAATGCCAATCAATCACGGGATGCACACGCATAAAGTCAGGCCAGCCCCCGTCCGTCCGATCAAAGTGCGTCAGCTGTGCGCCGTGCGGATCCGTCCGCCGTGTGCCAACAAATATCGCCCGGACCCCCGGGTGCCGCGCCAAATAATCCTCAAAACTGGAGCGAAGTGTCGATGCCGGCGGCGCAGTGGTGTACTTTGTAATGGAAAGGTGATAAGCTTCAGCAGAAGTGATAACAAAATCCTCGACAGCATCGAAGGGGTCCGGCGGAAGCGCATAGATCGACGGGATGAAAGTCGCCGCGGCTATTTGCGCCTCGGCTTCCAGGTCTGTGGGGGAGGGTGGTGTGATGTTTGAGTCATTGCCGGTGCTTGGGTGCAGTCCCGCCAGAAACAGAATTAACAGTACTAGACAATCCTTGCCGCCATTGTAGGAGACTGAGAGCTCTGAGAGCTTGTATCGCTTCAGCGCGGCCCTCACGACTTCGAGGGAGATCCGCGTTTGCCGTTGCACAGAGGCGAGCAGTGAGTCGGCCGGGTGGGTCTCGGTTAGGAATTCTTGCACGCGCGCGTGGATGCGCGCGATCACGGTTGGGAGTGGTGGGATGGTTGAGTCGGTGCTGGTTGAGTCGTTGGGCTGCTTATCTTCGGTGTGCGCGATTCCGTTCTGGGTCGCCTCCGGGTTCAATGGGTTCAAGAGCTGCGATCTTGTGGGAGATACTGGTGGAAATGGTTTGAGGTGATCTTGTGGGCTTGGAGGCTGTGCCTTAATTGTCGCTGCTGGAGCGGGTTCAGACATCTTGGGTTGGGGGTGAGAGTTGACAGAAACAGAGTGAGGTTCGGGCGGGGTGTTTCTCGGCTTTCGGGGAGACAATGACTTAATATCCACTGCGGGGATCCAACGCATGTGCTTCGAATATATACGGAGTATACGGAATGTAGTTGAAGATCCCCCTGTCTCCTGAGAAGTGTTTCTCCTGGGAATCTTCCCGGAACCCCGCGTCCCCCCGCAATTCGGTGGAACTCGGTAGATTCTCGTGGATCAACTCGTGTTTTCGTGTTTTTGCTAGGCTTTTTACGCTCTCTCCACGGATATTCAATTCAATCAGGTCGATAATTGCTTCATAGCTGCAGCCGTAGCCATATCACTCGTTATGGTGGTACAAGTAGATCCCTAAACGCCTGGTAACGCTCAGAAGAAAAAAAAAAAGGAAAGAAAACAAGTCCAGATTAACCCAATACCTTCATCTTTTTCTTCTTCTTCTTCTCATCACCACCAGGCTTGCGTCCCTTCTGGAAGTCGCGCCAGCTGCCAATCCGCTCTTCCCGGGTATCCTCCCACTTCTTATCGTTTTCGCGCTTCCGCTTGCGCGCCTCAATCTCTTCCTCTTCCTTGCGCTGCTCACGGCCTTCCTCCTGCAAGCGCGCCTTAAGCTGTCGCCGGCGTCGCGCTTCTTCTTCCAGTAACACGTTCACCGTCTTCTTGCGCCACTCGACCTTGAACTCATCGGTCTTCAGCTCGGGGGAGTCCAGCGTGTACTTGTGCTCGCGAATCAACAACCGGCGCGCGTCGGAGATACATTCGTCCAGGTAGGTGCGCTGCTTCTCGTCCAGAAGAGCTGTCTGGGCTTTCTTCAGTCGATCGAACGCGTCTGGTGCAGCGGGGTTCTTGGTCTTATCGGGGTGAATCAGAAGGGACTTCTTGCGGTACTGGACCTTGATGTCCTTCTCTGTGACACCGGGTTGGAGGTCCAGGACGGCGTAGCTATGGTAAATCAGTATCTTCAGAAAATATAAAGAGATGGTGGTCTGGGACATAGTTTGGGAGGGATTGCACGTACGAGTCGAGGCTGAATGCCTTGCGGATGCGATCAATCTCGGCATCCTGTGTCGCGTGTCAGTCGGTGTACAGATCTAGACCATATGGAAACAACATACCTTAACATATTCAGAAGCTTCGCGCTCCAGAGAGTCGAGAATATCCTGGTCGTCGTCCGACATATTGGCTGCAGGTTCTGCTTGGAGTGGAAAGATGTTCCTGGTGCTCATGGATTTGTACCTCCAAAGCGATAAGAGAGCGGGCTTATCGGTAGCTGAGTCAGCCCATAGGAATCCCGTCAGGAGGTCCCGTGCTCCAGGGGCAGCTACATAGATTTGTAAAACTACATGCAACTTTACCATATACACATAAAACCTTTGATCCAGCATGTTACCTACGTATATATATTTTGTTCATACAATCAACAAGATTTCGTGACTTTGTACAAAATGTAGAAAGTATACATACAAATAAACCAAAAATAAATAACCTTCCTAATGTGTAGCATAGTTCCTCACCGCTTTCCATACCGCCTTTCTCTTTCGTTCTCCAAGAAAAAAAAAGACGTTTTCACCGCCCGCTGTTTTCAAGACTCGACTCAAACCACATCATGGCGCCGCGGACAGTTAAAGCGAAGTCAAAGCCTCACCAGGACACAAGCCGGGTGTTGAAACGGAAGCGCGGCGAAGATAGCTTGGCTACCCTCGTAAAACAGGTTGAGGATCTCGATCTCAAAGCCACCGTCAAAAACTTCTCCGATCTCCCGCTCTCCGAACCAACATCCAAAGGCCTCGCAGCCTCTCATTTCAAAACTCTTACCGATATTCAATCGCGTGCCATCAGCCATGCCTTCAAGGGACGTGATATCCTCGGCGCCGCCAAGACCGGTAGCGGAAAGACTCTGGCGTTCCTAATCCCCATCCTCGAGAATCTCTATCGCAAAAAATGGACCGAGTTGGATGGTCTCGGCGCTCTTGTTCTGTCGCCTACACGTGAGCTAGCGATTCAGATCTTCGAGGTGCTTCGCAAAATCGGTCGATACCACAATTTCTCTGCTGGATTGGTTATCGGCGGAAAGAGTTTGCGCGAGGAACAAGATCGTCTGGGACGCATGAACATCCTGGTTTGTACACCTGGTCGTATGCTGCAGCATTTGGATCAGACCGCTATGTTTGAGACGAATAATTTGCAGATGCTGGTACTCGATGAAGCCGATCGTATCATGGACATGGGTTTCCAGAAGACCGTGGATGCTATCATCGACCATCTCCCGAAGCAGCGCCAGACAATGCTGTTCAGTGCCACACAAACCAAGAAGGTTGGTGATTTGGCTCGTCTGAGTCTGCAAGAACCCGAGTACGTCTCCGTCCACGAAGCAGCCGCCTCCGCCACTCCCTCAACCCTCCAACAACACTACACCATTACTCCACTGCCACAAAAGCTCGATACCCTCTGGAGTTTCATTCGCAGCAACCTCAAATCCAAAACAGTCGTTTTCTTGTCGTCTGGCAAGCAAGTGCGATACGTATACGAATCTCTAAGACAGTTGCAGCCTGGTATTTCCTTGTTGCATCTGCACGGCCGACAGAAACAGGGTGGACGACTGGATATCACTACAAAGTTCTCTCAGGCTCAACATGCGGTTCTTTTCGCCACCGATGTTGTTGCCCGTGGTCTGGATTTCCCCGCTGTCGATTGGGTTATCCAGATGGATTGTCCCGAAGACGCTGATACCTATATTCATCGTGTCGGGCGAACAGCCCGTTACGAACGTGTTGGTCGCGCTGTGCTTTTCTTGGACCCCAGCGAGGAGCAGGGCTTCCTTAAGCAGCTTGAGCACAAGAAGGTGCCCATTGAGAAGATCAATACCAAAGCGAACAAGCAGCAGAGTGTCAAGAGCCAGCTGCAAAACATGTGTTTCAAGGACCCAGAGCTGAAGTATCTGGGCCAGAAAGCTTTCATCTCTTACGTCAAGTCGATCTACGTGCAAAAGGACAAGGAGACCTTCAAGATCAAGGAGCTTCCTTTGGAAGAGTATGCAGCCAGTTTGGGTCTCCCCGGTGCTCCCCGTATCAAGTTCATCAAGGGTGACGATGCGAAGGAGCGCAAGAACGAGTCCTGGAGAATGGCACAAATGTCCAGCGGTGATGAATCAGACGCAGAGAAGAAGAAGAAGGACGAGAAGGAGGTTCGCACACGCTACGACCGTATGTTCGAGCGACGCAACCAGGGTGTATTGGCCGAGCACTACTCAAAGCTCATCAACGACGATGGTACAATGATTGCTACCGGCGCCCCCAAGGATGCCGACAAGGATCTCGACGACGAGGCCGACGAGGATGCCGATTTCCTCTCAGTCAAGCGCCGGTTTGCGGCAGGAGACGCAGAACTTGGCGAGAAGAGCGATTCTTCTGGCTCCGAGGACTCCGATGTCGAGACGACGACCAAGGACAGCAGAGGTACCAAGATGGTGCACTTGGACGGCCAGGACCCACTACTCATCGACTCCAAACGACGCGAGAAGCTGCTCAAGTCGAAGAAGAAGCTTCTCAAGTTCAAGGGCAAGGGTACCAAGTTGGTCTACGACGACGAAGGCAATGCCCACGAGGTGTACGAGATGGAAGACGAGGAGGCATTCAAGGCTCGCGGCGACGCGAACACCCAGCGGGAGAAGTTCCTCGAGGGCGAGACAGAGCGCACCCGCCAAGCCGATATCGAGGACAAGGAAGTCATGCGCGAGAAGCGCCGCGAGAAGAAGGAGAAGCGCAAGGCACGCGAACGTGCCGAGGCTGCCGCAGAGATGGAGGAGGAAGACGAAGGTGCTTTCTCGCATCTTCCTCATGTGCCCTTCGAGATCCCTGGATCAGATTCAGACGACGCCTCCGAGCGCGAGCAGCCCCGACCCAGCAAGAAGCAACGTGTTTCCTTTGCCGAGCCGGACAGCGACGACGACAAGCCCAGAAGCAAGAAGAGCCAGGCCTCTGCCAAGCCTATCGAAACTCTGGGGGATCTGGAGGCTTTGGCCAGTGGATTGCTGGGTTAGTGTATATTTCATGGTTTCATGGGTTTGCAAGGTCTTCTGTGGCGTATGTTATTGAAAACTCTTTCCCGGCGAGGTTTAAAAGCATTGTGAATATGAAAGCGAATCTTTTTAAATGTAATATAGTTGAAGGTAAAACTACCGCCTCGGCAAATGATCGGCTCCCGGAGCACAGAATGAGTTAGTCACCTCGCCGCCCTGAGCAGCTCCCTGAGCGAGCATGAGCAGCAGCAATCTCTAGCATTGCATATCATATTACCTATAACCGTTGAGAATTGGCCATCATTGTGCTCGGCTCACCAATGGTTCAAGAAAAAGCATTACCGGACCATTACACAGACTTTTTTGCCTCCATCAAAGGTGGTTCTAGATTTTCCTCATTACCCTTCTTGGGGAATCGAGTCAAGGCCCTCTACCTGCTCAGTTCAGCCTATCTATAAATTTGATATACACTGGAAATGACTCAGCCATTTACGCTGAAGAATCAGTTCGTTATAAAGGAACGCAAACGGTGATAATAGCGAACGGTTGCCTGTGAATTCTCTTTCCGCTTTTAACCACTTTTCTTAAACGCCATGGGGTAAAGGACAAGTAAGATTGGAAAAAATAATGCACAATTCCTGCATCGGTACCGTGTTAGTAAAAAGAAAATGGCGAGCTGTGACTATTTCGGAGGTGAAATAAAAGCAATTACAGATGCGTATGGTGCCTGGATTTGGGATGCGAATAGCCTATGTGATATTTTTGAATGAAGAATAAAGAATGAAGGAATTATTCGATGGTATAGCTACCGTATGGAATATCAAATACCTTCCAAAAGTGAGGAGAACTGGTCTGGAGATAGAAGGTCGTAACTCGCCAGTGGACCCTCGTAGCTCCAGAATATGTCATCCACTGTATCAGGAAAGCCAGCAGATGATTGCTCCCTTAGCGAGGAATCCCCGGAGATACTCAAGTGACCGCTCGCCTTAGCCATGATAGATAGAACGCCGAAATATGGCAAATTAACCTTGTGAACAGTACCGTACCCAGTCTCCTGGCAGACTGAAACCAATCCATTCAATGCTGTAAGGCAACGACCACATAATGAGTCCACATTGCCTGCTGAACAAATTTGCAATGTTTCCATTGTTTTCTTGATCAAAGTTTCGTCATATTCATTGTCCTCCGAGGGAGTGATTGGGTCTTTGGTCGTGCCCCGTTTGTTGTCGAGAATAGCAAGAAACAGTGTCACTGCTGCAGTGAACGCCGAGAATCCTGTAAGCTTGACGCTATTATCTGTACTAGCTCTCTGAGGATCATCACCGCAGAGTAACAAGAACGCTTCCAAGTACAATCGGGAGCTATTTGCACATACTTCCCGACCATACCTACGCTTGGGTAAATCTAAGCGTTGAAGGAAGAGAGGCAAATGCAAGTAGGCTTTAAGCTGGTGTACTTGCGTCAGCCGGTAAATTCGGGTATACTTCTCTTTAGTATCTTGCAGATTAGATACGTGAGTAATATCTAGGTAGTGCGGTGGGAGATGGGCGGCCACAGCATCAATCTGCTCATCGATTGCAGAGATAGTGGACAGAGAAGGCTGAGTAGTAGCTTGTATGCAGTCAATGACCCGACTGGTTAAGATGGCAAGATGGCGGTGATGAAATGTACTGAAGGGTACAGAATCCACCGGAGGAATGTAGAGATCACAGAGACCATTTGGCACGGAGTAAGGAAGACCAATCGTCAAACTTAGCCATCGATCGGCGTGAAATAGCTGCCAAAAGATTCCGTCGAGTTTGTTCGATTCTCTGTGGGCTCGATGAATGCCCTGCAACTGAAGAAGGGTATTCGCTCGTCGATAAACAGACCATGCACGGTGGTGTTGCATTGCGCTGAAGTAACACAGCCCCAATCTCATCAGACATTCAAGTCCATTTTCGCAACCGGCGAGGTCATCATCATATAAAATCCATCGCTCCACTGCTGACAGATATTTTTGCTCAAAGATACCGACACCAAGTGCCAAGCATACAAGGAGACTCCCGAGCAAACAGGGATCTCCAGAGCGAAAAGCACGAATGGCAAAATCTTCGAAACTTTGATCTGTTTCTTCGCCCCAGGAGAGACCGAAGGCATCACGCCAATATTCCCACCATCGGCTTTGATTGAGCAAAATATCGTGAAGGTCAGATATCGGCGGCAACAATGCGCACAGAGCTTGCAAGGCCTCTGTGTGTTTGGAGAGAAGCTCGGGATCGGCATTGGTGTGCTCGTTGTGCGATAAATATTGCTTATCCGTTTCATCCTCGGTCATGATAAAGTGATCGCCCTGTGTATCGGTGAGAATTACATACTAGCCCTTCATTGAATGACATTGGCCTACCATTTCATTGCCAATTAATTTCATGACCGGAGCACGACCTATCTCGCTGTATTTGCGTCTACCGACTGTACCAGAGGTGGGTACAGATCGTGACTGTCGCCTAGTTGATAAGGGGAGTAGACGTGGGCGATTGTAGCGCTTCCAATCGCTTTTGTAGGGAATGAAAAGCTTCAGTGAGAGGGACCTGGTATTCATGGCATGCGTGGGCATTCGTTTGAATCTGGCCAACTGCTAAGCACTGCGGAACACACGCTGTGTTGCGCCTCAAGCAATGTATGCAGTCAGATTTGTCCGATTGGAAGACACATCGAACCTTTCGATTCCTGCCTATCGATATTATGAGCCCCAATTGGAGAGAGAAAAAAATCACAGTAGATACTAACAGGCAATGCAGCTTCGGGTACCTTTCCTCATGCGCTTCTTGGTGGCATTAGAGTCTCGAGGGGTTTTCTCTACTATGGGGGACATTTGTGGCCAATGCCCGATACTATTAGGGGGTCCGGTGGGTAGACATTGATGTTCAAATTTCAGTCTATCTCCAAGCCCGGTGGAGGCAATGTCACATGACGTCACGTAGGAAGTGTCGGGAAAGGGGGCGACGATGGTATTTCGACGAGTGGAGAGGTGAACTAGAATGCACGGAGGGATCGATTCGTTGTCATTGTTTTGCGGCACTCGAATTGCAGGGGCTGTTCTTTTTGAACTGTGGATGCCGTCATGAGAAGTCAATTTCTTGCGCACAGTTATAATAGAGGATAGATGGGACTGCCGTATTTGCTCTGCAAATATAGTATCATCTTCTCGGGCGAAAATAGGGTCATCCCACATAGAATGCCTAGGGAATTTTGCCTGTAGGAGAACCGGGTCCTGGAGGAGGAGGATCTGTAATTGATTCAGTAGCTGCAAGAAGCCTTGCGCTGCCATATCATATTGATCATGACGCAATGTACATATGACGATTCATACATACCCAATTCCTAAACTAGCGGCCTGGCAGTGCGGCTCAGAAAGAATGCATGAGTGTAAATTGGTGAAGCTGGTTAGGTGGTTTTGCAGTCCTCTGTAACCGAAGCTTCTTACTCGGCCACCAAACCGAAAGACAACCCATCACCATTAGAAGAAATCGAAATTCTTTGTTTCAACCAACACCCAGGAATCTAACCATGGCGAATTTCACATACGTCAATCCCGTGGATCCCGAAAATATATGGCCCATGCCATTACGGGCATATCTACAAGAAATCCCCTGAAGAGCAACGAGACCCAATCTGTCGCCGTGAGGACGTGAAGTTTAACTCTCCCTAAATTTTGGAGGTTTATTCACACGCTTTGAACAGATGGCAAGACTCCAGCTTTTATTAAATATGAGTGAGTTATTTCTCGGTTACCCTTGTAAGGAACCTAATTTGCTTAGTCTCAGGTATACATTTCCTTTTTCCCTTTCACCATGTGTAGACTATTGTCAGTTAAGAGATAGTGGCTACAGAATCGAGCATGAAGCCAGTAAATAAAGCACACGTAAAATGTAGCATTCTGCTTTGCTGAGAGAAAAGATGAACAATATGGGTTCTATTCCGTCCAAAGGAGACACTCTTGCTGCATCCCTAGCTATAGGCCCTGATTTTGTATCAAGCCTAAATCCCTTATATCAATATCGAGTGAATTCTCAAGTTCGTCTTCATAGCTTGGCATAGTTGGCTTCCAGCCCAATAGTTTCCTACCGCGCAGGGCGATCCCACGCGAGTCCACACCAATCATCACTTTTAACCAAGGTGAGATACCGTCGCTTTCATCTGGAGTGATGGAATCGACGGAGGGCGATTGAACGAGTCCTTTTTTGTAGAGGATGCGAGCCGCGAGGGACAGCATCTCCCGGTTGATGTAGTAGCCGTTTTCTGCCAGATAGTACCCCTGTTCATTCCAAGTAGCTTTTCCGCCACCATTGGTGGCTGCCTCCGCTAAGAGGAGATAGAGCTTGCTGAGATCTTGCACATGAATATTGTGCCAAATATTCTCGCCCTTACCGACGGTGACAACCCTTTTCTGTCTTAGGAAAGCCTCAAAAAGCGGTGCCGATTTCCTCTTGTCTGGACCTCGCCCCTGACCATAAACCACAGCTGGTGCAATAATGGCAGTTCGAACTTTGAAGGGATTCGCAGCCAGTACCACTTTGTCAACGCTGCGATGGGGTGCATGGTCGGGAAGAGAGGTCAATTCATTCACATGATCCCAATCATCGTACTGTTTGTCAAATCTCTCGCCATACTTTCCAGTAGAGAGGGTCTCTGAGGCCAGCGCAAAGCCACCTGATGTATGGATGTAGTAGGCAGGAGTATCGGTTTGTCGACGACTTAGGCCTCGAACTATGGCCTGTGCAGAAGGGACATGTTCATCGCTACCGGCGGAATGAAAGACAATATCTGCGGCAAAGGCTTCCTCCTCGATCAAGTCCACATCGTTTGTGCTTCCGTAAACCAGCCTCGCCTGGGGATAGGCTTTTTGGACTTTGAGACCTTTTTCCTTTGTTCGGACCAGACAAGCTAATTCCCAGCCTGTATGAACACGGCAGATAGAATATAGCACATCACCCCCGATAAGGCCTGTCACGCCAGTGCTGCAGTCAATCATGTTAGTTTGGTTCATCAAAAGCTTCTCAGGTTGTCACTGCCTTACATGAAGACTTTTGGCGCCATTTTTCCCCGGGTGCTGAGTTTGACCGATATGAAGAAATTGAGTGTGGGAAATATTGGACAGGTTCAGGTACCCTGAAATTCAGGCCCATGTCTAGGACTTATTTCTTTCGTGCGATTATCTGAGCGCGCGAAGGGGTATTGGTCCGAAGTTGGACAGAAACCTCAACACTCATTCGGACGAAAGAAGGAGAACGTTTGTTCTGATTCCGAGTCTCGGACACACCCAATAGGATGCTTCTCTTCGTGAGACGCTCTGCTCGGTCCCACCTCCTCGGATCGAAGGCTCGGTCGAATCTCTTCGCCTCACCCTCCTTCGTCCGATCCATCTACAGATAAATACGGTTTTTCTTTCTATCTTTCAACCTTCATAACTCAGTTTCCCAATTCTCCTCCTGTCTCATCATCCCCTCTTCGAACAATTTGAGTTGGATTCTCTCGATTTCACCTGCGTCTGTTTCGAATCAGCAAGTATGGTTGATAGTGGTCCCCCGAAGGATGTTCACATCATCGAACGGCACCCTCTTCGCTGTGCAGACCATACTTTGGCAGCCAGCATCGGCCCAAAGTGGCGATTAGGCCCCATGGATCACCTGGTTTTCCCTTCCGTTCCTATTGAAGTTGTGTTCGTGTACGAAAGTCCACATGCAAACTTGGCCTCGCCGTTGTTGTCTCCATGCGAGCTTCTTCCGGTTCCAAAGCTCCAACGAGCGCTTTCTCGCCTACTTGATTATTATCCACACCTCACAGGTCGTCTGCAGTTTGACCCCGATAGTCGAGCGGCCGAAATATCTCAGATTGGGACTGGAGCCGAGTTGCTTGTAGCTCACTGTGAATTACGGCTGAAGGATCTCACTACAATGGGTCATGGAAATGGTCGGATCTTGATGACGAGCTTGCCGGATTGCGGTAATGCTTTGACTCCACCTTTTGATCCTACTATTGAGGGTGTTTGCCACGACCCTATCTTTGCCGTTCAACGTACGGGATTCTCTTGTGGAGGCGTCGTTCTTGGTATTCGGTTGCACCATATTGTTTGCGATGCATCGGGATTTTTCCAACTGGTCAGAAACCTTGCAGAAATCTATCGGAACCTTGCTCATTCTGAAAGGCCTGTCCTTCCCTCTACCCCTGTGATTCGGTCATATCTCGATGATCCGAATCTCATGTCTGATGATGAGCGGCAGGAAGCAATTGAGTTTCAGCCATCCATTCTCTCCTTGGAAGAGAGCAATGATACAGAATCAAGCACCCCGGGTCCCAAAACCGAAGTCTCCGATGGCCAGTCAAAGATTACTGGACGAGTTACTGGACGTGTGTTGCGCTTTACGGGCGCTCAACTCAAGCATCTCAAAGAGCTGGCGACAGAGCCCGAGGGAAGAAGCTGGGTATCAACCTTTGAGGCACTTTCGGCATACCTTTATCAAAAGGTATATCGTGCACGAGTGCAGCTAATGAAGTCCCATGGGGTACCGGCATCTGAAATTGCTTCATGCTTTTCCCGTGGCTTCTGGGGCTCCATCGATCTACGTGGTCCTACTCGCCTCAACATTTCAGAGCGATACTTCCCAAATGCTGTTGCACCGCTCATTCTTTCGCAGTCGTCACATGAACTTCTCACAGATGGTCCGCTATGGCAAGTAGCGACCGCTCTCCATGGAGTCGTGCGATCATTCAATCCAGAAAGATTGGATAAAGATCTGAAGTGGATCGCTGCTCAGCCCGACAAAGGTCGAATCAGGGTTAAATTCAGCTTCAGTGGGGGGAATTTCACCGTCAGCCAATGGAGCAATCATGAAATGTACATTGGTGTTGATTTTGACGCTGATGAGGACGGCAATGCGATTCCGCCCACTCTTGTCTCTCCACCATTGACCGAAATATCTCGGGTTGATGGTTTGGCAATGATATTGTCGACAGAGGAACAGTTGAGCCGAAATACTAAGCATGAAGAGCCTCCGAGCCTTCCGTGTTCGCTTGATGTCAACTTAACACTCATGGAGCACCTGTGGCCAATTCTTGATGCAGATGAGCAATTTCGGCAGTATTGTTGCTGATCCCACACAGGGAAGACATTGAATGTATTTCAAGACATGCATTTTATCCAAAGAGACCTTCTAACCCTTTTTTGTGTTCGCATTGCAAAAGTCTGGGATCTGAAACAGTCCCTCATACTCCCGTATATGTACCTGGATTCTCATTCTTATGTGTCATGGCAGGTCCACTGTGACCCTGTAATCAGGCACCATTCAGGCAGAAACCGTGGAATTAATTACTCTGGCCGTGCTCTATACCTTCGCCAAAACCCAACTCACAACACCAGTGTCTCAACCCTCTTTTCCTCCAACACTTTTTGATCTCCAATAACGACTGATATCCGTTTAATCATGTTTTTTTTCCGGCTCTATTTCATAATACGGGTACTAGGTACCTGATCATGTCCCAAAACGGCAACTGGTATGGAGTAGACGATGTAAGCCTTAATGGAGACCGAGACTTCTCTTCACACGACGTTGCATTCGTGTAGCGCCTCCACCATCCATGACCTCAATCACGCCATCAGCGAATAGAATTCTCTGCACCCCTGGTTTTTCTCCTTATCCTCTCTTTTTCGACTTGGGTGACTCCGACGGTTTGGGGAATCGGATCTATCGAACATCAACTCTGATTAGAGTTGCCACGGGTGGGTCACACGACGTTAGGGCTGAAACATTGTCTATACGGGTGAGTCTCAAGCTTACAATATCGAATCTTGGGTTTTTGCCGAGACTGGCGTTTCGATCGCATATGATGTCGGGCTAAGATGGTAACAGAGATTATTTCCGCGTTCATATCCCCGCACCATGGCCGACATTGAGAAACACCCGGCAGCGGAGCCCCCTCAGTCTCTGGGCACTACCGACGATGTCCACGATAACCCATTCGTCAATGCGAACAAGCTTGCTCGCCGCCTGTCCGGCAGGCAGGTGCAGATGATTGCTATTGGCGGTACTATCGGCACAGGTTTGTTCCTTGGAACTGGCTCGTCACTCTCCAAGGGTGGGCCTGCTTCGATGCTTATTGCATATGCTATCGTTGGTGCTATTGTTTTTGTGACGATGATGTGTCTGGGCGAGATGGCAGCGTTTATGCCTATTGCTGGATCATTTTGTACTTATGCTGGGTGAGTATGATCGGGTTTTTATTTTTGTTTTTTGCTTTTTCGAGACTGAATGGCAACTAACTTTCTTCATAGTCGCTTTGTGGATGATGCACTTGGCTTTGCCTTGACTTGGAATTATTGGTTCAATGATGCAGTCTCCACTGCATCAGATATCATTGCTCTACAGCTGTTGTTGCAGTATTGGACGGATAATTTCCCGGGTTGGGCGATAAGTCTAATCTTCTTGGTGGTCGTCATTGCGCTCAACGTCATGTCTGTGAGGGTCTATGGTGAGGTATGTACGGGCGACCTCAACTTCGTCACAATAGAGCTGACCATTCCATCTAGATCGAATATTGGCTGAGTTTGCTGAAAGTCATCACCATCGTTGTGAGTGCCATGTTATGTAAAATGCCTGCAGACCCAACTAATCGCCTTTCTAGATCTTTATCATTCTTGGCATCGCTGTGAACTGCGGTGGAAATACAGACCACAAATATATCGGCGGTCAAAACTGGCACATAGGCGACGCACCCTTTGTCGGTGGAATTGGCGGTTTCGCGTCGGTCTTCGTCACGGCCTCATTTGCATAGTAAGCTACCCATATCCCACCATTGCTTACATTCGATGAATTGTATTCTTACTATATAACACAGTGGTGGTACTGAGTCTATTGCCATCACCGCTGGCGAGACCAAGAGTCCCGCGAAAACGATGCCCAAAGTCGTCCGCAACGTGTTCTGGCGTATCATTCTCTTCTACCTCCTCTCGATCCTCATGATCGGTCTCAATGTGCCATACAACTATCCCGGCCTCTCCGACGGTGACACCAAAACCAGTCCTTTCACAATCGTCTTCCAGCAAGCCGGCTCCACGGTTGCTGGCAGCTTCATCAACGCCGTCATTATGACCTCTGTCATCTCGGCTGCAAACCATGCTCTCTTCGCCGGAGCCCGGTTGCTATTCACTCTTGCAGTCGATGGGTATGCGCCAAAATTCTTCGGCCATCTCAACCGTTTCCAGGTGCCCTGGGTCGCTGTTCTTGCGACATCAGTGATTAGCGGTCTCTGTTTCGGAGCCAGCTACATCGGTGCTGGAAAACTGTGGTCTTGGCTACAAAACATCGTCGGGGTCTCAAATCAGCTCTCATGGATCTGTATCTGTCTTGCATCCCTGCGGTTTCGCTCAGCGATCCGCGCCCAGGGGATTGAGCATCTTCTTCCTTTTAAAAACTGGACCTATCCATATGGTCCGATTTTTGCTGTTGGGCTGAATGTTGTCCTTGTTCTTGTTCAGGGGTGGAAGTGCTTCAGCCCGCATTTCAAGAGGGTCGACTTTGTCTCATATTACATTGAGATCCCTATTATGATTGTCATGTTCTTAGGTTGGAAGTTGCTCAAGAGAACTCGATTCGTTAGTAAATCCGAGATGGATTTGCGAACGGATCGATATGATCCTTCTCAGGAGGATGGACCCGAGAGTATGATTACAGAAAAAAGGAATGGGGGCTTGGGGCAAAGTTCAACGATTTGGACAGTGGTTGTTCTTCTGATTTTGGGGTGCAGATATATTTTCCTATGACTTGGTCTACCCGCGCAGACAATTTCACCTTGCATGTATATATGTGCATACCCATGATATAATCTGTTTATAATGAACAAATATGTTTGCAATCAAAACAATCACTATTGACCAGTGTGCTGCGGATTCGCAGGGATTTTTACCCGGCCGTGGACCTTATGTTCTATGCCATTGAGTCCGGTGCTTTTAAAAGAGAACGACGGTTTGTGTACTCCGTAGAAATTGCCAGCATTGAAGGTACTGAGCCCAGGATTAGGCATAAAAAATTAAAAAAGAAACTCCGATAGGGGGAATCGAACCCCCGGCTGCCGTGTGAGAGACGGCGATGTTAGCCACTACACCATATCGGATATTGGATGAAGGGCTGCTCTCTTAAATCTATTTTGAACCCTTGGAGTTAGTGCACTTCATCCTATCCGTTTCCTTGCGTGGTTCTATATAATCCCTCCCATCGCCCCTTCAACTTCTCGCTACATTTCGCCCGCCCGCTTTTCTTTCTCCTCGTCCGTGCTCTGCAGGTGAGGCATTTTTGCTATTGATCCGGCTCGCAGACCTCCGGGGCTTCGCCACTCCCTTTTCTGGAGCCTGCTTCGCGTCCTCTCGCCGGCTTCGCAGCACGATTCTTGTGATGAACCCACCGCGCTCTCCGGAAGAGACTTCGTCCGTTCACTCCGAGGGCGGCCCCGGAGATGAGACGGGCCGTGGCGACGACCGCTTGCAGAATCACCGCCTGAGGTGTTGACACCCGAGTTGCTAGGTGCGCATGTTTTCAATCTACGCTCTTAGAGAATACATCTTTACGACAAATCTATCTGCGTCTTGGAGTGATCATGATATACCGCTCACGGATGGCGTGAGCTGCTAGTAGCTTACCGGCCAGTTACTCCCGGAGGCCGGCTCAGTGATGGGTTTCTCTTTGGTGACGACTGCGAGTGTTTTTGACCTTCGAGATATCGAAATGATTGCGACTAGACTGATTCCGAGAAATGCGAAGCGATACCGTGGGATGACCACCGTATGCATGTTCTCCTTGAACCTCCAGCGGTCTATCGCGCGCTCGCATTTGGGACCTGCCCGTTCTGATCTTCGCCATCATACGCTCCCTGTGACCAGAACCATTGTTGGAAACACAATTCATTGGCAGAGACGATGAGGTTTGCTTGTGCAGCCGGCGCTCGCGGGCACGCGATTCTACTCAGACATGAGTTGCATTGTTAGGATTGATTGGCAGGTATGGGGCGATTGAGCTATATCACAGCATCCACCGTCTATTTTGGGACTCAGGTTTCTGCCTCGGCCTTTTGAGCGGCGGAACGATTGGAAATCAGTATTGCTCAATGCGCATTGCATGTAGTCGGTTGTCTCAAAAGTTGGAGCAAGCAAGTTGGAACGGGCAGGGACTGGCGATGCTTCGTTCTGGGCATGTTGGCCCAGGGTGAGCCTTGGAATCATTGGAGGAGGTGTCTTGATCGGCGGCGAAGGCGTGTTCCATCTAAAATTGGGACCTCTACTCTGTCTGCCCCGTGAGCCCAGCTGTTCACCATGGCATTCACTCTATAAATTTGGACAGACGGCCCGCAAGTTCACCGTTCTCGCAAACTCACCAAGTCCCAAGATCCAAGCAATAGCTTCTCCTCGCGCTCCTCACGCAAGAAACGATCAATTCACATCGATAAGGTCTCGTTCAGTCATGAATGTGAATACCGCTCCAGAAATGGGTATGCGAGCCTTGTTCCACCCTGTATCTTTTGGGTTCATAGAACGATCTAACGATGTGTAGACTACTTTTCTTTCGGCTTTGCTACTGTGCGAGTTTGTCCCCGTGAGGGTGATGAGCTCGGTTCCGAAAGCAACCCTATAGTGATCAGCGACTCGGAACCTCTTGGATCGCCTTCCAATCCTATTGTCATCCACTGCGATGAATGCAACTTCAGCACTGATAAGCTGCCTGCCCAGCCCTCTTCCGATGCTGACACCGAAATCATGTGCACACAAGAATTTTGGAATGCTGTGATAAGTAATATTGATTCTGACTCACCAAACGAGGATTTGGAGGCTGGCTCCGGTGCTTCGCATCCAGGCTTCGATGAATTCTCGAAAGGTGGCCCGCTATCCCCAGGACAGCTGCTGGGTAGAGACAGAAGGGGCACTATCGTGTCGAGTTTACAAGAAAGCGCTGCAGAGGAATGTCATGCTGAAAAACGGACCTCGTCTGAGATTTCAGGTACAGTTCCTGCCAGCCAGGTTCTACCTTCTATTTGCTCCAGCTCAGGGCAGAGCGAGGCGACCACTCAGCTGTCATCAAGGGAGTTCCAAGCTGAGAACGTTGAACGGACTGACCGGATGGAAGACGAGATTGCACGATTGGGATCGCCTTCAAACTCCATTGTATCTCGCATTGAGAATGCCCCGACGAGTGATTGTGCAATAGAAGAATATGGTGGTTGGTTTGACGTGGATCATTTTCAGCAAAAGGAAACGAGAGAATCCAGCGCCGATCAGGTAGAGGTGATAGACCTGACTTCGGTTCCCTGTCTCCACAAGAAAGATATCTTGACTTGGCCAGAAGAGATCCAATGCGCACTTCTTCGCAGAATCGTAGCTCTCTCAGGCTTCAATGTGACATGGGCGAAACGCCCACCCACAATGAAACATTTTGGCCATGTGCCCCTACTTAAATGATTCACTCCTACTCACTGCTGAACTTATGATTGCGCGAGAGACATCAGAAGCAGCACTGCGAGCAATGTTCTTTAGCTAAAACTCGCGCCCCGAAGCTTTCCCCTCAATCTTGGTTGCTTGAATTTCTTGTAAATTCGGAATCTCATCATGTCTTCCAATGTCTACCCTGCCGAATCTGCTGGCGTGCCAAACCATGGAGCCATCTACATCGAGACCAAGCCTGCCCGCCACCCGAATGACAGAAGGAGGCAGCCTTGACCATGTCACTGGAAATTTACTTCAAGGCATGAAGTATGACCCATAACACTCGATGAACCCAGACTTCTAGGCATCACATGTGCCAGGCTCGAAGAAGACGATTGGATCTATAACGAAGGAAGATCTAGGATCAGACGGAATGTTGTCAGGCAGTACCCGCACCTCGAGCTCAATTGACACTCGGCGAGCAATCGTACCTGGGCACACCACTCTATCGCTGTGGAGACTGTCTCCGCGATGTCCAAAAGCTGGAATTCGCAAAGGGAATCTCCACGCGTTAAAAATAGGGTAAGTCTCAGGTTAAATGGGGTGTATACCTTTCTGGCATGTATTGAGATAGAGATCTCAATCTGAAATCCCTGACTGAGAAACAAACTTGGATCATGGGAGCTGAGGCTCTTGCATTTTCAATTTAATTTCCAATACTACAATTACGTCTTGTCCATAAAATTACTGATTCAAATGAAGTAAACCATTGACAGATAACTGTGGACGGCAACGAAAGTGTATTTCGGTTGACGAAGAACATTTTAACCCAAGCGATGAAGCTTTGGAAAACTTGAAGTAGAATCAACTAGCGCAACGGGGATTTACTAGGTGTTGCAGTTCTCAACGTCCTTGATTCCACGTATTCTGGTTATGAGGATTGTTCTTCCAGCCACTCTGGTTCCAGGTGTTTTTGTGGCCTCCATGAGAGTTATCCTGATTCCAAGTGTTGGTATTATTGTTATTGCCCTCCCAGTTATCCTGGTGCCAGTTGTTTCCCCCTTCGTTGCCATAAAACGGGCGCTGCAGTGGGTAGGTGGGCTCAGCTACGACGTAAAAGCTGAGCTCATCCATGATCCACTTTCGATCCACTTCCGGTGGATCCGTAGTTGAGGTCTACTCAGAAAACATTTGTAAGCAGTATTGATGTGACGAAGAAAATAATATTATGGTAAAATTAAATGCATTCGTAATGCATTAACCCTATCTACCTTATACTTATTATTTTATCATAGTTAGTAAAATTAAATGCATTCGTAATGCATTAACCCTATCTACCTTATACTTATTATTTTATCATAGTTAGTAAAATTGAATGCATTCGTAATGCATTAACCCTATCTATCTTATACCTATTATTCACTATAATTAGTAAAGATACATTTATTTATAATGCATTAAGGATATTACTAGGTTGCCTTATACACTAACTATAATAAAATAATAAGTGTAAGGTAGATAGGGTTAATGTATTACGAATGCATTTAATTTTACTAACTATAATAAAATAATAAGTATAAGGTAGATAGGGTTAATGCATTACGAATGCATTCAATTTTACCCGAGCTCTAAAACAGTAGGCAGTGGTAGGACCTCTATATATATCATGATCAAATGAAAGATCATAACGGAAGTCCATAGGGGTAATAGGTTAAGAACCTATTACTAATCACTCTGGCTTAGGAATTAATTACTTCATACATACTATTACATGCTTCCTGTCATGTGATCGTAATCTAATTAATTTTGCCCCACTTTTTGGGTGGGTCGTAGGTGAGGTCAGCTTTTGCGTCGTAGTTGAGCCCACCTGCGACCTGCGGGCGCTGAGGCATGCGAGGTCCACAGGCAGCCCCTATGATGTCCTCTTCGCCATTGCCTGGCTTCGACTGATCATATTCTTTCTGTGGAGACATTATAGCTCATAAAAATATCTTGGCTAACTAGTTAGTACTGGACCACTGCACGCTGCTAAGGAAGATAGGGGTTTCTTGCTTTACCTTATATGTTTCGAGTCGTCCAGTGAAATGTGTCCAACAAGATGTTCTTGGGAGAAACATTTAATTATTTTGGAGGATGTCTTGGTTCATTTATGTACGAGAAGCATACGATCTATGGGTTATTCTGAAGGCTTCTAGTTTCGTTTTCAACTTATACGATATCATAACAGTGTCAGAGAACTGAATAATTGCTGCATATTTGCATATCCCTATATTTGTCCATGCACCACAGCAACTTATGTCATCTAAAAGGCGCTGAAAATTTCTATCTTCGTCAAACCATCTTCTCATTCATTCCTCTCAAAATGCCCACATGTAAACCTTACGACGATGTTGCCTGGGCAATAAGCACACAGATCTGGAAGGACTGGCCAGAACTTCTTCGCACCGATGGGGACATCTACAATGACATCGGAATCATTCTTTCTGAAGAGTTTAGCGACCTTCAATGGGAACTTTTCGAGTTCCTCTCCACTGGTGGTTTCAATGTCTGTTTCAAGATGAATTTTACCAATAACTTTTGCGCTGTCATACGGTTCCCACTGCCGGGTGCTGTGATGTTTCCCGAAGAAAAAGTATATCCAACACAAAGAAAGTATGAGTGATCTTCTTGAGACCCCGGGACGCCAAGCGGGAGAGAATCCTGTACTTAATCCTGGCCTTGAGCTGGTTAGGCTGGAATCTCTCTACAAAGAACTGGCCAAGATTTCTCTCTCGCTGGCGACACTTTCTTTGAGCCGGATAGGATCTCTGCACAAGAATGACGATTCTATATGGGAAGCGTCACGTCGGCCGTTAACCTACTCTATGAACGAAATTGTTCAGTTAGGGACGCTCCCTCGATCAGGACTACCGACTACCACATATGACAAAGCTTCTTCATACTTTGAAGCCCTGGCGGAGTTGCATCTTTCACACCTCAAAAGCCAAAGGAATGAGGCAGATATTGAGGCAGATATTGACATTGATGTCCTAGCTGATAATTTCCGGCGCAAATTTGTTGCTAGATTTCTCTTCCGAAAAGTGGTTCGAGACCCGGAGCAAAGGCAGCAATGGATATTGCAGGATAATGGCCCATTTCCAGTATGGTGTGACGATTTTCGACCCGAAAATGTTCTGATTGATGAAACCGAGAAAGTTATTGGAGTCGTCGATTGGGAGTTTACCTATGCTGCTCCGGTTGAATTTACTTATGCACCACCTTGGTGGCTGCTTCTTAAAAAGCCAGAAGATTGGCCTGGGGGTCTAGATGAATGGTGTGCAGAGTATGAGAAACCGCTTCAGACGTTTCTTGGGGCCATGCGGAAATGCGAGGATGAGGCAATTCAGAAAAAACAGCTACTTGAGAGCCAGCGGCTGTCTAGTCAGATGCGGGACAGCTGGCAGAGTGGAAACTTCTGGATCATGTATGCTGCAAGGCAAAATTTTGCTTTCGATGCCATATACTGGGAAAAGATTGATCAGCGGTTCTTTGGGAAGACACAAGATGCAGACGACAATACTTGCGATGTTTGGCGCAAGAGGCTTCATCTCTTAGAACCCGGAGAGAAGAATCTGATGGAGGAATACGTGGCTTTGAAGCTCAAAGAGAGGAGCATAGGACGTCTCACTTGGGATCCAGATGAGTACACTGTGGGATGGATTCAACGGATGAAGGAGATCAGATGGAAGGAGATGGAGAGGGAAGAGAAGGAAAGGGTAGAGAGGGAGAGGATGGAGATCTGTGCTGAATCGTAAATAAGACCTAGGCCTGAGCTATGGTGCTACCGAAACCATGCCTCTCCTTCGATACTTTATAGTTTAAAGCTCTCAAAGCCGCTGAAGAATGAGACGACGCTTCAACGTAGTGCGATGAAAGTCGATGATCAAAGCACGTCCGAGCTCTTCGCTCCAGAGGATATTCTCTGGCCGGAGATCTTCATAAATGTGTGCACTCGATCAAGTAGCTTGCTTTGTTCTTCAATGGCATTACCGTGTTGTTCCAGAGGCTTGTATTATCCGGGGCTCCCAAAAGGAAAGCTCATCACATCAGTGAAGCACAAGAATATTGGTTGGGGGAGGATGCAAACAGCCCCCAAAACTTAGACAAAACTTGTAGCTCTTCGGGCTTGTTCAACGAATTAGAATGCTTATGATGTTTCCCTAATGCATCAAGCGCCTAGCTATCATATCGGGGTCATAAGACATTACGGCGGCTACAGACGAAATTGGCAGTCTGGTCACATTGGTAGATACAGAAACTAATCTCGCTAAACGCCCAGCTCTGCACGCGAGTTGCCTGAACTCTCTTTTCATTGCGCTGCCTTTGCTCTTTCCGCCATGAAAGATTGTTTGCGTAATGATTAGATACTCCATTAGTTTCGGATACTGTTCTCGCAATCCTAATTCATGTATAAGAAATATCCTTTCCTTCAGAGCCACTCTTATCAGAATTGGTATCGGTAAAAAGCCTTGCCGGCTCTGGCTAATCATGAATGGATTGAAGGAGCGACTCGTGCCTAGGGTGCTCCAATCCTACTACCATCCATGATAGTTAAGAACCACAAAAGAAATATTTCCGCTATAGAATCTAAGGACAATCACTAGAAGTAACATATTGAATGAACCAACTACATCTTGCTATAGAAACCTAAGCACCTAGGTGGTAAAATCTCGAGAAAATATGGCTCTAGTGCCTGGTTTATATATAGCTTCATACACGGGATGCGAGAAGTGTTTTCACCTGGACAGCATTAGGAGTTTCATCAAGCAGATCCATTCACATCGATAATTCACGACGCTTTAAAGCAAGATAAACAGCAACGTTCAGTGATCTCATCCAATGACGATCACTCCTCGTGCGATCCAACTTCTCCTGACCATTTCAAAAATTTCTTCCAAAAACTCCGAGGCGGCTTTGCGGGAGCACTATCCCTCAATTTCTGAACACTAGCCGTTATATCATAGGATGGAGGGCTTTGGCCAAGTTTGTCATTCATATTATCCACCTTTGAGGACTCAGGTAACCGCCCAGAAGAGCAAAAATAGTCATCGCCATCCTGAGAGTTCTGGGATAGCTCTCTTCGCATCTGGCGGTTGGGATTCTGCTTTAAAGAAGCATAAGCTCGGTTTAACTCACTGTCGGAGAGTCTCTCCATAGCGATATAGATTTCGGGGGTTTCAAGGCGTTCTTTTAGAACATTTGATAATGTTGTAACCAACTGTATCATCTCTGTCAATGCCAGAAACAATTTTTCAAGGAAGTCTATCATTGGCGAGACACCGTCGTCGTGCGTAGGGTGATTCTCTGCTAAGTCCTCAAGCTTTGTCTCTAACTTCGTATACTGTTGCATTGCTAACCGGCGAGTATGCTCGTTCTCGATGACAGAGGTGAGTAAATCTGGGCTCGGCTCGCATACGTGGTATTGTGGAGAAGGATGACAATCGGAGACTGGCTTCGATTCTTGGCTTCCAAGTAGTTCGGACATTTCTTTTTGGAGATAATGAAACGATTCTCGTATGGTAAAGTTTGATATAAGATAGAAAACAGGAATATTGAATATAAGCTGGGATCGAGGTTTGAAACCGTAGAAAGATATATCTACCTGGGCATCATTGATGTATAACGTATACTCCTTGCCGCCGCCTAATAAGGAATGGATCTCCAGGTAGCTTCCCTCCCCAACCTTAGGACTAATCCGAGGCCCTCTCACCTTTAGGGCTAAGGTTTTGTTGAAGTTTAAGGTTTCATATAGCCGTATAGCTTCGAATTTAGCGAAGGCGTGTAAGTATTACAGTCTTTTCCAAACAAATGACCGGGTTCTCGCTCCACAATTTCGTACATTCAGGCTTCTAATAGTTTCCGACCCCTGGCCGGGATACACCTACACAGACATTGTAGAAACATCGAATTTAAATTCACATTTCAAATAAAGTCAGGTTCTACCAGAGGGCGCTCAGAGGAAAATATTAATCCTCGGGAAAGGAAGACAGGAAGATTTTCAGATATACGACATTGTCGGACACGTAGGCTTCCTTCCTATTTTCATTCATATCATCCCTCTAATCTAGCAGCAAATGCGCTCGGTTTCAACCGCGATCTAGTCACAGTATATACAAGAATAGAAGAGAGGTCTTGTCCCTTCGGAACGAATCACCCATGAGATAGCCAGGTACTGTTAATCTCAGCCAGCTCCCCATTACTCGGCATCAAATACACCCATTCGGAAGCAAAATACATAGCTCCAAGCATTCTATATTCAACCAATCCTTAGGAAGGAAGTAGGATTGCTGTACCTGGTCCGGGCTGAAGTTGGAACTGATACTCTAAGAACATACCTAGTAGCTTTTGTCAAGGAAAACGAGGCGTTAACGCGAGAGAATTCTAGGGGAATTTCAATCTAGCGTTAAATTTCGGCTAGGATTGTTATATTCGTTCCGGTAGAGGTAGGATTCCGAGATTATAGGATCATAGAGCCTAGCAAATCAGGCCGTATTGACTCCCTACACTGAGCAGCTGTGAGAAGCTGATGCTTAACACACCGCTATATTTTTTCCCGGAGCGTATCTTGCTGTAATTCTTGATGATTTTATAATCGATTGTTCAAAAGTAGAAGTTGATCTAGTATCATAAGATAGCTTTGTCAGGTGTCCCCCTCAGTCCATAGCTTCCTAGCATAGCCCAGCTTAGTCTTCTCATCAATCAACCATCTCCACAGTGCATCTCGACGCGTCTCTCAGGAGCAGACTCTGACAGACTTAGAGTTGGAGGAAGGGAACATGGCGAGAGCAGTATAAGCAGGAAGCGAGCCTTTCCCGATCGGGATATATGCGACCACAGTTGAGCCCGATTCGCCCATAGAGTACGGAGTCCTCTGGCCTCAATATACATACATTGATCTCACCATGAGTCGTCCAGACCGTAAAATGCATAGTAGCAATGCTCCTCTCTACAAAATTCACCTTGATGTGATTTCTTATTCCTTATTGACGCCCAGCAATGTGGCCACGGAGCTAGACTTACTTTCAATCACTTAAATATGCACCGGGGAGGCTTCATTGACTGGATAGCCGGGCCAAGAAACTAGCAAGGCTGGGATTGGAGTAATGGCAGCGAATATTTGTTTCCTCTTTCTTCTATTGGCTACATGTTTCTTGAGAGCCACGCGGTGATCGGAGGGGAATTGGAAATGAAGCCCCGAAACTATCTACTATGCCGACGATACCTAGACCGAGGCACCCGTCCTCTCTGGTCACAACAAGAATGATTTCCGATCATTCACTCTGGAAATCCTTTTTTACTGCCTCGGCAAATTTATCATCGACCAACACCTGACAGGCGACCTCTGCCATTCCAGCTGCGCACGCAATGCCTCGTTCAAAGCCCTCCTGGGATCCTGCCCCCTGAGTAAACTCGGGAGTGTGGTTGACACCATCAACTGGGATGCAGAAGAGTCCGTGGAAGCCCGGTACGACATAAGAGACATTACCTAAGAGTTGTGAGACGAATTTTCGTAGATCATCAAAGGAGTCAAACGTACCCATATCGGTGGAACCTCCGGAAAATAAGCTACGCTTCTGTTGGGAATTATCGAACAAGGCACGATGACCCATGTTCCTGATTGCCGAGAGATATCTTTCACAGAGCGGGTTATTGCTCTTCATATCATCGTATGAGACGCCCCTGTATGAATGATCAGCTGAGCTCAACTAAACTAAAAGCGAGACGTTGTGTACACACCATTCAAGCTCAAGCTTGCAGCCGGTAGCAGTTGCGGCAGCCTCAAAACAGTTGATCACTTTATCTGTCAGGACCTTCAAGGATTTCCTAGTGGGAGAACGGATGTAATAATCGATAGTGGCAGACATAGGAATGATGTTTGGTCGATCGCCCCCATTCACGATGATCCCGTGGACCTTCTGACTCGGCAGAATTTGCTGACGAAGGAGAGAAATATTGACATAGGCTGACACCACTGCATCGAGTGCATTGATCCCTTCCCATGGTGCTGCTGCAGCATGAGCGGGCTTCCCGATGAAGGTGGCCTTGACCTTGTGGTTGGCAAGGTATCCACCCTCAGCAACAGCGGCGATTGTCAGTATTTCTGAGAGCTCTGGGAATATTGGGACTGGGTGTATCATGAGGCAGGCATCCACACCCTCGTAGGCTCCCGCATCGATCAATTTCACCTTGCCACCCCCAGACTCTTCGGCCGGAGTACCCAGGAGTCTGACGGTAAACCCAGAGACACCGGAGGATTGAGCGTGAGCCTTCATGGTTTCACAAGTGGCGATGAATGCAGCGATAGAGGTGGTCGCAATCAGATTATGGCCACAGGCATGGCCAATACCAGGGAGAGCATCGTATTCCGCGTTGAACGCGACCGTGCGTCCACCGGTACCATAAGAGTAATTGACCTCCAGCGCAGTATCCACGCCAAATGCTTTACGTTGGACTTGGTATCCGCTGCTTGCAAGCCCGTCAAAGAGCTCACAAATAAAGTCATGTGCCAAATACTCCTTGAAGGCAAGCTCCGGATTCGACCAAATCTAGAGAAAATTAGCTAGGGCTTTTTGGATCTCCAATTATAGCTCACTTTCTGGTTGATGTCCTTCAGCTGCGTATCATAGTGGCGAAGCGTCTCTTGGATATCGCCCAGGAACGAGTTCTGGGAATTAGGGACAGCCATTGTGAACAGGTTGTTGGATTTGTCTGAGTCAAAAAGGGTGTTAGAAGAAAGAACACTGGAATCGGAGTAGAAACACATCACATTCTTATAAGAGCTAGGGGAGTGAACCATCTTTCAACAGACTTCGACAATGACTGCAACTATCCGTCGATTCACCCCGCGTAGCTTCGCATACTCGCTGTTTGAGTTCTGTCGGCACGCGGCGTATGGAGTGCTTCATATGGCTACAGAGCCGTTGCCGAGACAGCCAATCGGCAAAATATGTGAGACACTCGAGGTCTGACGAAATTGGGCAAGTTTTGGATGTTTGTCGCTCGGTAAATCCTGCTCATTCTTGCCTGAGTCTCCGGTTACCCCTTGGAACTTGGGCTCATAAGTTCGCGTGCAGTCGCGTGCATCGCAATAGGTCCGCTCAACTTCTTATAAGAAACGGCTGATCTGAATATACACTGGAATCAACGGCTGGATCGCTAAGAATCCTGAACAGTCACATGGATCCTCATCGGCTGTCGCATTTGATACGCACACCGTATAATGCCCCTGTCAAGCCTCGTTCCAAGACGGGTATCCCCGATCGGCAGAACTGCATACCTACCCCTGAATCTCATCCTTCATTGGAAAAAGTGAACTGATTGGTTCGAATAGGATGTCTGACATGTCGTGTTCGTAAGGTTAAATGTGACAAAGAGAAACAGCAAGTTGAAGGTCACGAGGAGCCCAAATGTGGACGGTGCGCGACCGCGCGTATCAAGTATGAACGGAGGAGTGATCCTTCTTCCTGCAAGTCGACCTCTGTATCGACTTCAACTAGCTTGAAGACAATCAGGAGGAATTCGCGACACCAGAATGCTGGCGGATCGCGCAAAGCCGGCCGAGCAAGACCTCACGACCACCTGCAGCTGCGCGCGGAAATTTCTAATCCCCCATTGTTGCTCGCTCAAAGAATCAACTTTGACAACAAGTATGGGGGCTTAGCGGCAGCTAATTCCCCTTACCCTATCGTTCTTCGACCGAGAGTGTCTCGTTTATCTCCCAAACTCGATGCTAGTTCTTCTCATAGGAAAGCAGTGGCCGTGGTCAGTCATGTCATATGCATACCCAAAGATCGCGGTATGAGTGCCAATGCCCATGAGCATGCTGCTGGCAAGCACTACCGGGAAGATTCATCGCCTGAGGTGTCATGATAGGGACGTCCTTGGTGGATGCTCTTTGAGTGATGAACCTGGCAAGTTGAATGGACGAATGCACTATGGTCGGGCACTATCGAGCCCTCACCATGCTCTGAAGAACAATGTGATGAAGTCACCTCAGAAATTGGAGGCTATGTTCATAAAATTGTGGCTTATGTTGGATTATGAGAATAGGGTTGGTAACGTGTAACGGAGTGGCCGCCATTGATATCCATATCGGAGGTATTGAAAGCATTCTTCACGATCACACCATTCCGCTTCTTTAGAATGAGCCAAACAAGCTACTCACGCATTGCCGACCTCGATATCTGCGTTTGAAGATCAGGCTGCCTCACACCAAACACAGAAGGGGGCCGATTTGCAGACTTCTAGAACCAGTGAGAAGTCTGCTACAGAGAAGTGTACTTCTTCACCCCAGCGGCTATCTTTCTCGCATCACCCGCCGCGACACTCAACGCGGATATATGTAAGTTCTTTTCAGCAGAGACTCGGAAGACCAAAAATGCTGGCTGTCTTACCCTGTTTGAGTTGTATCGAATGAGCAAGCAAAGTGCCTCTCGCTTTTGGGGCGGCGAATATCCCTGGTCTGCCCGATTAGATGAGATGGAGAACCTTCCTAGGCTGTCACTTCACCACCGGAGCCATGCCATGCAGTTCAAAATTGCCGAGCTCTTGAAATGGAATGTGTCAGCTGAGGTAGTTTCAAACGAGCATACCCAGTTCCAGCAGATCATCGATGAGATCAACACAATAATCGTGGTACATATCCAAACCATCCAGTAGTGAATAGTATCCTCTTAGCTTATGCTGTAAATCTAACTTGAGATTGAGGAGTACGACACGCCGCTGAATGCTGCGAAAGGGTCACCATCCTGCGAGCTGGGAAGCGATGGACGTCGTGTGTTCCAGATGATTCACTGGGCCTCCATAATTTTCCACCGCACGATAGTCTTTTTCCATCTCTGCTTCCAAGATATTCTCAACGACCAGCCGACATTCCGCGTTCGAGGTACTCTTTTGTCCCTTCCAGGCGCCGCATCCCATGTTCTAGAACTCAGCCTCAAGTTCCACCACACTCAACCCCGTCTGATGGTACGGATTACGTGGCCCTTATTCTCAGCTGGAATCGCGACATCTGACGAAATCTACAAGGATTGGGTATCCATACAACTAAGACAACTTGGTAGATACGGGCAGATATTCAGCCATATTGGCAGGCGTTTTGACGAGATCATACAAGGCAGTTATACATACATTCATGGACCAGACTCTCATTTCCTCGATAACTCAGGAGGGGAAGTGCAAGCTTTTCCCTTACACTATGTATCTACGGCACAAGAACATGAGTTTTCAGTAGCGTAATAAATAGCACGATATGCTTGGGTCTTATGGTTGAACCAGTAATGTACATATTGTAGTGGGGTACGCTGTCATTGACATGTTGCAATATCCGTCTACAAGCCAGATAAACCAGGGCAGATTATTGAGTAGCGGAAGGTGGAAGAAGAAAAGGTGGCTATTTGTCCGATCTCTTGCTTCTAGCACTCGGATACTCGTGAGCCTCCAAGGTTGGTATTCGACAGTTTGTCAACCTCGGACTAGAGCCCTTTAAAGCTGAATGACCACCTGGACTTTGATTCCATTTTGAAAAGCGTCCTCGTAAGCTACCTAAACAAAGAAGACACTCTCACGCTTATAAGAACCTGTTATAGTAAAGCGATGGTAGTATCGGGGCCGGACTAGTGGCAGACCTAGTGGTAGCCATGTACCTAACGAACTCCCTTCTGAAGATTTGTCACTTTTTCTGCAATACAACTCTCTTCCTGCTTCTCTCTCTAGCCCATTTGTTTCCTTCATGCGTAAATCGCGCACTGATATGTTCCCACCAGAAAATCACACCCCAACACCGAACACCCTTGACCTCACCATGTCTTGTCGCGACTCAAATCTGTCTCATAATCCCGCAGCGTGGAAATTTCTGAGGGCGCAGAAGGTTGTGACTAAGTGTCTGAGAGTCTTCCGTTCTCTCTCATCGGCATAAAAGCCCTGAACACATTACACTGTCCTCGAGTGCCCAACACCCTACGACAGTGGCCCAGCAGGCCTCCAACCGTGCCATCGGGGCGTGAGGACACCGTGCGCTATTTCCAATTCCTTGAGGCTGGGTAGTTTGCAGATCTTCTACAGACTACGGAGTTCTACGGCAAGATCTGCACCGGATAACAAGCGCCTAGCGGTCCCCCTGGTCTCTGAGACCCAGCTCCCACGTCCAAATGTCCCATGGCAGGAGGCAGGACAAATGGTAGCGTGGATCCTACCTGGTGTGAACCCAACTCCTGGCGGTTATACTCTCCTCCAATTTTGCAAGCTTCAACTGATCTTTATGGACAAAGCAGATCGCGTCCACCCTTGCAAGTCTCCGCCGATTCTCATCGACCAAACATATCGCGCTTTTCGGCCAGCCTAGCTACCGCAATCCCATACGCACTTATCCTGTCACCCGCGACAGATAAACCCAAGCACGCGCACCGACCTACAGTACCATATAGGAGGGCTACAAAATAGGGGGTCTCGCTCACATAAACTACGCTATGCTTGTGAGAGAGTCTTGGGCGACAATGATTCTCTCATAGCTCGATTTCATTCCCTAGTCCCCCTTCATATATGCTCGAATACACTCAATACGTTCTGCATCTTCATGCCCTCTATGATCCTCGAGTAGCCCCCAGAGTGCCACAAAGAATTAACCGCTTCATAATAGCTTCATAATGAATCTAGATCCATTTTCTTTGTAGACTCCCCTGTAGTGCGTCTTGGTCGCAAAGTACTTCAAGGAGATAGCACCCTCCAGCCCTCCAAGTTATCCTGCCGTCAAGATCCTGAGAAGAGCGCACCGAGTATCCACCTCAGATTGTCAGTCTGTGTCGTTCCTCTAATACACACTGGCTACATGCGATCCGCAGCCCATCTAGGTAATGGGCACGTGTCGTTGGGGGGCCGTATTCATTATCCAGCCCAATCGGCATGGCCAAGGCTTCTATGGGACCTAGTTTCTCAATAAATTGCTCCGAGAAGATGGGAATTCAGCTCTGTATACATGGATTAGGCAGGTCAATAAGGTCAATGAATCACCGTGCACTCCCAGCCAAGACCGACGGCTCCGAGTCTGAAGGCCAACAGATCTCGCTTGCGAATATCGATTCAAAGAATTCACATATGGTTCAATCTAAGCCTAGGAGAATATTGTTTAGCAGTACGTGACATGGCCACATCATGTTCTGGATATCTTGGTCTTTGTGCTGCTGGTGTGACCGCATCCGCCCATGCCCATGTGGGGACAGCGCAGTCTCAGACCTGATACAAACTTGAGCCCACTTGCAGACTCTAGCAACTCATAACCTATGGCATCAGTAAATCCCAGCACTACTGTAAGGAGTTCACATGTGGCAGGTTTTGAGGACCCCTGTGCCTGAGTGGGCACACAATGCCAAGCCTGTCGCACTGTATGACACACGGGCCGTGCACCCGGCACGGCATGCCAAGCATGGTTTAGCGTATAACCTTAATGATCTATAGATCCTATTGCATGTCAACGACCTATATCTTCAGTCGAACAGCGTGATGCCTTTCTATGGGATGATTTCGGGTAGGGTCTGAGCTTGGAGAGAACCCAGGCGTCGGGGATGATACATGGGAGTGGCCGCACCTAATACTATCCAGGGCCGTAAGCCTGTAGAGTGTATACACTGCCGTAGATGCTCTTTACGAGTCTAGAGACTATCAAGGACTACACTAGTGCCATCATAACCAGGGGGGACGGGGGAAACCCCACTGAGCAGATAGTTGTAGGAGGGAAGTTGCAAAACGGCCATTTCCTGAAGGACACCCCAGGTACAACGGTACTTGCTGACCCTTGGGGTATAAATACCCTCTCCTTTCCCTCCTCCCTCCCTTTTTTTTCTTCCTTCTTCATCTCCCCAACTCTTCATACCATCTACCAAAGACGTTTCATCAAATATTTTATCCACTCTTCCATCTTCCATCAAGTCTTCCATCATCAATTCATGTCTTCCATCATCAGCTTCAGCCTCATCATGTCTTTCATCATTGACTTGAGCCTCACCACTTCTTCCATCTTTCTACTTCCACCTCCGACGACATGAGCCCTTGGATGACTATGCCTATGACACGTCGGCACCTGTCACGTCCACGTTCATCACATGACTGACCAGTTGTGCCATCCACTTGTACCTTACTTCTTTTCTGTTCTTACTTATACTCGTCTTTCAGACAACTCAATCACACAACAACATACCCCATCAATATGTCTGGCATCTGTCACGCTTATCATTCATCATTCATCACATGACTGGTCAGTTGTGCCATCCATTTTCAACTTTCTGCGTCTTTCCTCACTTACCTAGGTTCATGCATCCTTCAGACGACTCAACCACATTCTCCTGTGGTCCATCTTCTGCTCTATGTCTTCGTTGTTTGTTACCTTGTCGTCACCTGTTTTCAGTTTGTCTCATTATATCTCATTGATTGGTCAACATAATTTGGGGCTGACAGTACTAGACATTTCCATCCAACCTCCAACCTTCATCCATCCAACCTTCGTTCATCCAAGCCTTGTTCATCCGACCTTCGTACATCCAAGCCTCGTCCATCCGACCTTCGTACATCCAAGCCTCGTCCATCCAAGCCTCGTTCATCCAAGCCTCGTCCATCCAAGCCTCGTCCATCCAAGCCTCGTCCATCCAAGCCTCGTCCATCCAAGCCTCGTCCATCCAAGCCTCGTCCATCCAAGCCTCGTCCATCCAAGCCTCGTCCATCCAAGCCTCGTCCATCCAAGCCTCGTCCTCTGAATCCAATCAAAAGAAAGAAAAACAAAAAAAGACAAAAGAAAAAGACAAAAGACAAAAGACAAAAGACAAAAGACAAAAGACAAAAGACAAAAGACAAAAGACAAAAGACAAAAGACAAAAGACAAAAGACAAAAAACAAAAAACAAAAGAAAGAAAGCCTCGAACAATCTCAACCATCAACATCATCCATCCACTTCGATCATCCACTTCGATCATCCACTTCGATCATCTATCATCCACCCACTTCAACCATTCATCCACTTCAACCATTCACATTCATCTATTCAACTTCAATCCTCAACTTCAATCCTCAACTTCAATCCTCAACTTCGATCATCCATCATCAACTTCAGCCATCATCCTTCAATCATCCACTTCAATCATCCACTTCAATCATCCACTTCAATCATCCACTTCAATCATCCACTTCAATCATCCACTTCAACCATTCACATTCATCTATTCAACTTCAATCCTCAACTTCAATCCTCAACTTCAATCCTCAACTTCAATCATCCATCATCAACTTCAGCCATCATCCTTCAATCATCATCCTTCAATCATCCACTTCAATCATCCACTTCATTCATCCACTTCAACCATTCACATTCATCTATTCAACTTCAATCCTCAACTTCAATCCTCAACTTCAATCCTCAACTTCAATCATCCATCATCAACTTCAGCCATCATCCTTCAATCATCATCCTTCAATCATCCACTTCAATCATCCACTTCAATCATCCACTTCAATCATCCACTTCAATCATCCACTTCAATCATCCACTTCAATCATCCACTTCAATCATCCACTTCAATCATCCACTTCAATCATCCACTTCAATCATCTCAATCATCCATCATCCGTCCACTTCAACCATTCACATTCAGCCATCCAACTTCAATTATCCATCGACATTTCACATTTCACATTCGAGCACCCACAACGCAACTTTGCAAGAGGAGGAAAGAAAAGGGACGGTCTTCATCGACAAGGGTCTCCGAAGGAGTGTCTCTGAAGGAGGCTTCTCGTCAGGAAGAGGTTACAGCGTGTACCCATTTGAAGGAGACCCGGAGGCCGTTCGCTGTGGTGGTTAAAAAAGAAAGTTGTTGCTCAATCTCAGCACTTGATCGCCCTCACTAAACCAATATGTCACTCAACCAACTTCATCAAACCAGCTTCATCAAACCAACTCCACTCGAACCAACTCCACTCGAATCAACTCCACCCGAACCAGCTTCATCAAACCAGCTTCATCAAACCAGCTTCATCAAACCAGCTTCATCAAACCAGCTTCATCAAACCAGCTTCATCAAACCAACTCCACTCGAACCAACTCCACTCGAACCAACTCCACCCGAACCAGCTTCATCAAACCAGCTTCATCAAACCAGCTTCATCAAACCAGCTTCATCAAACCAGCTTCATCAAACCAGCTTCATCAAACCAGCTTCATCAAACCAGCTTCATCAAACCAGCTTCATCAAACCAGCTCCACTCAACGAACGCGTGTCACTTAACTAACTTCATAGAATCAATTTTGATCAACCATCCACACCCGAGCATCCACGACACAACTTTGCAAGAGGAGGAAAGAAAAGGAACGGTCTTCATCGACAAGGGTCTCCGAAGGAGTGTCTCTGAAGGAGGCTTCTCGTCAGGAAGAGGTTACAGCGTGTACCCATTTGAAGGAGACCCGGAGGCCGTTCGCTGTGGTGGTTAAAAAAGAAAGTTGTTGCTCAATCTCAGCACTTGATCGCCCTCACTAAACCAATGTGTCACCCAACCAACTTCTTCAAACCAGCTTCATCAAACCAACTCCTCTCGAACCAAATCCTCTCAAACCAACTCCACTCAAACCAGCTTCATCAAACCAGCTTCATCAAACCAGCTTCATCAAACCAACTCCACTCAAACCAGCTTCATCAAACCAACTCCACTCAATGAACACGTGCCACTTGACTAACTTCATAGAATCTATTTTGATCAACCGTCCGCATTCAATCGCTTACCTTTGACCACCATTCACAGCCGAGCATCCACGACACAGCTTTGCAAGAGGAGGAAAGAAAAGGAACGGTCTTCATCGACAAGGGTCTCCGAAGGAGTGTCTCTGAAGGAGGCTTCTCGTCAGGAAGAGGTTACAGCGTGTACCCATTTGAAGGAGACCCGGAGGCCGTTCGCTGTGGTGGTTAACAAAGAAAGTTGTTGCTCGAGATCAGCACTTGATCACACCTCTTCATCCACTTCAATCAGCCATCCACTTCAATCAACCATCCACTTCAATCAACCATCCACTCCCAACCGTTCAGATCAATCAACTCATTAGGAGACTTTCAAATAGATCTGAAGGATAAGAGTCTCTCTCGAGGGCTTTGCTTGCATGTTACTACATCACCGTTACAATAGCCTTGCTCAATCCATCGCATTGCATGTCTCATCCCGTCTTTTTTACCACACACATAATCTCTTTTGTAGGCACAAATCCGAGCTGAAAAAAAGGTAAAGTTGCATAGAATGATGAGAAATCTCCATCAGTCGAAATCCGGAACTGGAGTTAGATAAAAATTGACATGAACTTAGTTGTCTGAAAGATGAGAAACAGCAGGTTGGGGTATGCAAAAAGCGAGGGTGCGATGTTCCTGAGTATTCCCGACTGTATAGTAGGAATGCCTTGAGCGGTATCAAAATATGTTCCATCTAGAGTTGGACCCGGGATTGGATCCAGAGGATGCCTCTGCTGCGCTTCCGGTGCGTTCAGTGCCAACTCTACGTAGCAGCCCCGTTGGGGTATATCATACCTAAGGTTGTGGGACTATCCCATGACTACAGGGCTGGATTAAAAACAGTCCATGGCTTTTGGCAGATAAAGCGGGTGATTGAGGGACGCAGGACAGATTTTACGCAAAGTCTGGATACTAGAGGATTGCGGATGGAGACATTACGATTAAGAATGTATGATGCATCGATCAAGCTAAGGACTGAGCAAGAGGGTTGATTCGCCCACATCTTCCTTCTGTCAAGCTTCTATCAATGCTTACCGACACATCTCTGCGCGAGTATTTCGTTCCGCAACAAGGGTTTGTGGGGCATGCATTTCATATTGATTTCATTCTTTTTCTCACCATCACCCTTGGTCATGGATGCCGGCGATGACATTGCTTCGGTGAACGTGTCGATAGAAGATGTGCGCCAAGAGGCCTTATGGGAGGCTTTGGCGGGAAGAAGGTGAGTGGTATGGATGGTGACGGTGCTGCTGGCGATGATGCTGCTGGCGATAGTGCCGATGGGACCGATGGTGACGAGGGACCAGTAACAAAGGAAACGATGATGATGGATTCATTTCCCCGATGCAGCTGTAAAACCTATGCTCATATGCAGGATAGCGTCCCAAAGTCAGGTTTGGAATAACCAGTGATGGTGCATCCCCAGTACACACATCGACCATGTAGATAAGTCCCCGAGAGGTCCACGAGTTTGCCCGCCAAGTCCTCGAGGGCCGTCCACCTGATAGCTAAGGCCGCCACAGACTGTCGGAGCATGAGATCGGCATACCGGAAGTTTAGTTTATCCTGTCTACGCAGTATTGTTGATATTAGTCAGATAGTCATATTTCCTGCTAGAATAGTGGATACAGAAATACAGAGATTTCAACTCCCTTGATTGGACCCCTACTATACTGAATACCACGTTAGTTGACAGTTATGAGCCCGGTTCGCACGAAATAAGGCCGCTATTCACAAGATATAGCGCCTATCAGCACCTAAAAACCTCCAAAGCTGCACAGTAGCCCGCTGAGGCTATACAGCACCTAACCCTAACAATGGAAGTATTAACAATTCTCTCCGCTATAAAGGGCGAAAAACTGAAGGACTCGCCCCAATAGCGCACCTAGTTCGCCCGGGTAAAGCTATATACGACACAAAAATAAGTCTAGAAGCACTATAACCTAGATACCCCCCCGATAGAGAGACCGATTAGGAAAGAAGAGCCTATTAGGCCGGAATACCCCTACGGAGGGACCGAATTAGATAAAAGAGATTAGAGAGACAAAATAGATATCTTTAAAGTAGACTAATCGAAATAGGATAGGGAGACAAAAGGACTTTCTAATATAAATAACTATATTTATACCTTCTTAGACCTAATCTACTATACCGCTATCACCGACTATTAGACCCCGTATAAGAGACTTATATACCTAAGAGATCGCTTCGCGAGATCGACTATATACGAGGAGGAAGTCCGAATAAAGTAGAAGGTCTTCGCTATCTAAAAGCCGACTAGAGATATCGAATAATAGCTTAAATAATAGAATACCTTAAGGGAGTAAGCTATTAGCCTCGGTATTAATAACGGAGACGTAAATAGGGACTTCCTATATACTATTAAAGAGGTCTTACCTATTTAGTAGTAAGGAAGATATTAAGAGATCGTTATAGGTAAGAAAGTCTATTAAACCCGTGATCTCCTCGAGTTATTCCGCGTAATAAATCGAGAAATAGGGGTATAAAAGGTATTATCTACTATACCCCTAAAAGGGGTATTTTTAACCTAGTAGGGACACTAAGAAGTAAAGTCCTAGACCTAGTCCTAAACTAAGGAGCCGATCCTATTTAAAAAAAGGAGGTACCTATACGGGAACCCCTACTATTTATATAAAATAGTAATATATTAGTATCTTAATAAGGAAAACCGCCCCGAAGGGACCTATATTAACCCTAGAAAGCTAGAAAAGATTAAGTAAAAACTCGTTAAAGAACCTACTTAGAAGAAATAGGTAGAAAAGAAGGTAGAAAAGGTATAGTAAACTTAGTAAACTTAGCAAAATTAGTAACCTTAGAAGGAAGAGTTTATAAATTAAGTAAGCTTCGCTACTACCCTTAAGCCCTATACTATATAGTAGGGGGGCTAGTATAAAACTACGAATACGCCCTCTCCCTTACTAAAAATAGAGAACCTATCTTAAAAGATAGGTAGATCCTTAATATAGGATCTAGTACCTATATCTATAATAATAGAGACCTTTTTATCGACTTTATACTCTAGATTTCGGATCTTACGACGGGAGATAGCACTACCTAGGTACTAGGAAAGGGGAAGGTTAGACTAGTGGGTAGATATCTAGTAAAAGGTAAAATAGAGATCACACTTAGTAATACCCTCTATTCCCCTAGTTTCTATATAAACCTAATATCCTATTCTATACTAAAAAAGAAGGGCGGGATATAGTATTAGCGTATAAACTATATTAGAGACCCTAATAATAGACTAGTTATCTACGTTAATCTTTAGGACTAGTTTAACCTCTAGATCTTTAATTAACCCGGAGAACTTATATAGCCTTAGTAAGCCTATTTTATAGAGAGAAAGTTAGTGAAACCTTAGTAATTAAAGGCCTTATTAGATATCTAGTACCGGAGACTAGCCTATATTAATTAACGAAGTATAGTAAAACTTACTACTATAGTAGATAGAGTTAGTTTTAGTGATAAAGAAAAAGAGTCTACCGGAAAGAAGACTATAGAAACGTAGGTATTATACTAGATTTATTAGTTAGGTCGTATACTAAGGTAGATATTAAGACGCGTAGTTAGACGTACTTTCGGACGATTTAGAAGAGTGCACTTTAATCTTATTTAGCTACCGCTAGTAAAGAATAAGTACCGCTAGATCTCTTATTTTTACCTAGAAGGTCCTAGGTTTTATTAGCTAATAACCTATAAAATAAAGTCTAAGTGTTAGCTAGCGATTAATCGTTTTATAGAACTAGTAAGAAACTAATAGGATCTACTAATTAAAGCCTTCTAATACGATAATAAGTCCTTAGCTAAAAAACCTACGGAATATAGCCTCACTTCTAATAGTATCCTTATATATTATAACCCCCTAAGGTACTCCGAAATAAATAGTTATACCGAAAGATCCGGTAGTATAATTATCACCCGTATACGTATACTTATACTTAAAGGAAAGCTCCTAAAAGATCTATAGCTAGAGGCCGCTAACGCTATAATATAGTTACTAAATCGCACGCCGACATATATTACTACCGAAAACCGCTAGGTTATACTATAGGAGGAGGTATAGAAGGAGCTCGTACCGTAGGCGCCGAGGATTAACCTATTAAATATTAAACTATATAGAAGTTTAGTATACTATAGGATCGATAAATAGGTCTAGTCTAATAAAATGAACCTACGGGCTAAGATCGGATTCTTAGTTAGCTATATAGTATTAAATATCTAGAAAATCTAGTTTCTATATAATAGGAAAGTGAAGCCTATTAGGGATATAGTATTTAATAAAACTCGTAAATATATCCCTAATTATAATAGATATTAGCTTATTCTAATACTAATATAGTAAGAACCTTAGGAAATTACTATAGAAGAGTTTAACTAGGTACTTGATCGCGTAATAGCTAGTTAAGAGACTAGCGAAATAGAAGAGAGAGATTATCGAGATCTATAGGAAGCTTAGTCTAATAATCTATAAGATACTTAGCACTATAATTATTAAGGATCTTATTAAGGATCTTAGTAAGGATCTTAGTAAGGATCTTAGTAAGAAAACTAGTAGAATATATAGTAGAACTCTCCGTAGAGGGAGACAGCTAGTGAAGTTAGTTAGCGAGATACTACCCCACTTTAGGGGGTAGACTAGTAAGTGGTCCTACCCTCCCTAAAAACTACGATTATATAGTAAATACCTAAAATTATATAGTAAATGCCTAAGATCTATAAACCCCGAGCCCCGCTAGGTATATTTCCGGATAAACCCCTTCCTCCGCTCCCTATTATACCGCCGTAAGAACCCTATACTACCCCTAGTTAGGGGGTAGATATACCGGAGGATCTAGAGGATCTAGTTAGCGACTAGGTTTAGGATAATAAAGCTATTCCTACTATAGAAGATAAGCTAGAAAGATAACTATAGACGGAACTTCTCGCCCTAAGCAGATAAATTATAGGAGATATTAATACTAGCAATATTATTAGTAGAAAACGAAGGCGTTAAGCTAGGTAAGACAAAGACTATATCTATATAATAAGATCTACCGATATAGAGGAAGACCCTCCTACACTACTATATGCTTTCGCTATAGGTCTATATACTAAGAAGCCTAAAATTAGACGTTATTAAGATAATCTCCCCCTAGTCCTAAAACACTATAAAGATATTATAAACTATCTATTTTAGGAAGGTTTTCTCGTAGTAATAAGAAAGGAGATTAACTCTCTAATAGAAAAGGAAACCTATAAGATTATAGAGAGACTAAAGGATAGAGGTAAGCAAATACTACCTCTTATATAGGTATTTACCTATAAATACGATTAGGATAGTTATCTAGTTAAATTTAAAGCTCGTATATACGTACGGGGAGATCTAGAGACTATTTCGTACGAAGAAAAGAGAGCTACTACACTAGTAGTAAGGACTATAAAGATAATCTTTACCCTTATTACTATATTTAATCTCGATCTAAGATAGCGGGATACTATTACTACCTTTTTAAATAGTACGTTAGAAAAAGAGGTCTATACTTAGATACCTAATAGGTTTAGACTACCCGGTAAATACTAGAAACTCCGCTACGTACTATATAGTCTACGGATCTTACCTAGACTTTAGTAGTAGGAAGTAGCTAGTATATTTCGTAAGCTAAGTCTATAATAAGCCCTAGAAGACCCCTATATCTTTATTAGAAATAGACTAATAGTCTTCTTTTATATAGATGATATCTTAATTACTTATTATAAAGATATATAAAGAAGGGCTATAAAACTAGAGCGAGATCTAGAAGTATACTAGGAATTAATAGACTATAGAGAAATAGTATAGTTTCTTAATATCCGTATTATTAGAGATAGGTAGTAAAAGAAGCTATAGCTTTATTAAGATAGCTATATAATAAGTATCGCTATACGATATAATCTTATAGATAGACTAGCGGTATATACCCTAATACCTATTAAAGATCTAACCCTATTTTAGGGAGTAGCTACGGTATAAGAGATCCTATTATACTAAAAGAAGGTAGGATCTACGGGATATACCACTATAATTATAAGACTAGATACTATAAAATTAACTACTCGTCTAATATAATATTTAATAAACCCGGGCCCCTAGCACTATTAGGTAGCTAATAGAGTTATTACCTACCTTAATTCTACCCGCTATCTCGCTATTAAATATAGTATAGATTCTAGAATAAACTCTATATAATTTGCTAGTGATACTTTATATAGGGATTATCCCGATAGAAAGAGCTCCGCTAGCTATATCTACTAGGTATACGGCGGGCTAGTCGACTAGAAGGCTAGTAAGCAGCCTATAGTCACCACCTCCACTACTAAAGCTAAGCTCCTCGGTCTCTTAGAGACTATAAAATAGCTATAATAGTAGCGTAGACTTCTTAATACCCTCGGTTTTATCCCTTCCCATTAACTAAGCATTGATTGCGACAATTAGCGCACTATTAGTCTTCTAACTAGCGAGGATACGGCGTTCGAGACGAAATTGCGACATATTAATATTCATCGGCACTAGCTTAGATAGGAAGTCAGGGAAGGAAGAATCAAGGTGAAATAGGTGCCGATAGCTAGTATGGCTATAGACGGACTCACAAAGTTGCTCACTAGGCAAAAGTATAAAGCTTTCCTCAAAATGTTAAGGATGACAGATATAAGCTATCTGATAGTAGGAGCTATTTGACAGCATAGGTCATTTGATCAACAAAGGGAGAGAAATAACATGCCGACTAGGGTGCAGGAAGCAGCTAGACCATACTAGCCTAGCTAAGGGGGTGTGTCGGAGCATAAGATCGGCATACCGGAAGTTTAGTTTATCCTGTCTACGCAGTATTGTTGATATTAGTCAGATAGTCATATTTCCTACTAGAATAGTGGATACAGAAATACAGAGATTTCAACTCCCTTGATTGGACCCCTACTATACTGAATACCACGTCAGTTGACACAGACCGGCAGTGCGAACAAGACAAAAGAGTCCAGATCCCACATTCCCCAGAGTAGTCCCTTATCTCTCCTTCATCAACCACTTCCACCTCCAGGGCTGCCCCGTATCACCGAGTCACTTTGTCAAGGAACGAGTTTAATGATGGGGTAATCCGAGCGCGAATGGGGTCCTCGTGCGGCTGGTTGAAGAACCATGACTCGCTGGCTAGGGCATCGAGATCGGGCGTATTTGTGTCATTGCGGGCCATGCCTACATATGCGACCAGGTAGTTGTGCAATCTGGCGCAGCGTTGATAATCGAGTGTATCTTCATCGAGCGCTGGAATTTCGTCTGAAACGAGAACATTTTTGATGTCCAGTATCTGGCCTGGTGTGTTGCTCATGATGAGGGTGGAGAGGCAAGACACCCGTGACAGTCGACCTCGGGACAAATGTCGGGTTTCATAATCACGCATACACACAAGGACCTGGACACCTGGGCAGTGAGACCATCTTCAAATTCCCGAAAGGGAGTATGGTACTGCAAGTACGGTATATCAGTCCTAGCACCACTCCTTATTCTACCTACATGGAATCTCTTCGAATGTGCAATGGTGGATTCAAAAGATGCGGAGCTCAATTGAGGACACCCGTTTTTGATGAGGCTATTGGCAGGGAGATTGGATTAGAAAGGAAGAAGCTATGATCCTCAGAAAGCAGCAAACAAGTTGCTCGGCCTGTGAAACACCTTGATGCCTTAGGAATCACGCACCCGGGGCATCTCAACAATTTTGATAGGCAAATGGTTCTTTGTCGATTCTCCAAAAGTGCGAGATGGGGTCGAGTCAGAAGTGACCATGATTTACTTGCTGCGCAATGAGTCTACCATAAATAGGGGGAAGAAAAGAAAGGCCAACCCGTTCTGGTTGGGTTATATAGTTGTGCATTTGATATAAACCGTAGATGAGCTCACCATATATCTCTGCGTGATCCTTCAATCCATAGGTAAACTTAGTCAATCTCGACTGTCTGGTACTTTGAACCATACTCGTCCACAATCCACTGGCAAAATTCCTCCCAGTCCTTGTTCCAACCTTGAATGTGCTTAGCTTTGATACCAGTTCCGTGCTCACCACGGTCAATATCTTGGACCCAATCTTTGTCAGACTGGTCCTCGAAGTTTGCCCAGCGCAGACTGTTCTGTGCCAGTGCACCCTGTTTTTGAGAGTAAGCAAGCCGTGCCAAACTTCCAGGGGAAGATAACTTACCAGCCCAGCGAGACCAATATTGTCAAATGCTTGGATGGTTTGATAGAAGTCATAACTCAAACCTGCCGCGTCCTGTCCAAGGATTGCCGGATCATCATTACTGATTGCGGTCGGAATACCGTGAGCAATCATCGCTGGCAATGGATGGTGAAGGATATCTTCGTTCAGACGAAGGACTTCGTTCGAAATCGGGCAGACTTCGATCATAACATTCTGCTCAATAACTTGACGGATCAAGTTCGGGTGCTTATACAACGAGAAGCCGTGACCGATTCGTCGCGTGTTGAACAGCACGGCATCGAATAAGTTATTATCGGTGGAATTGCCATCTCCTAGCGTTTCTCCTGCATGGAAGAAGTACGGAATGGTGAGATTCAAGGCCTCGGTCTGTTCACGGAACCATACTAGTTCCGGTGCAAGATCAGAAAGAGGACGGCCGAGATCCTCCTGGGCAACGAGGTCGTAGCCACTGAAGAGCTCTGGGAAGTTTTGCTTCCTCTCGAGAGCGATTTTCATGCCTATATCAGTCATCGTGAGCAGAGCTGCTTTTGTGTTAAGGGGTCTGGGTTGTCATACTCTTGGTGATTGCAGCGCGGTTCTTGATGCGCGCATCCGACCAAATAATTCTCACGCCCAAGAAGTTCTTGCCTATCTCGGTGGCCTTGAACTTGTCAATCTCCTCAACCAAAACATGCCACCAGGCGTCAAGATCAGGATCGACGTCTTCATCTCCTTCGTGAACTAGCTTTCCACTCGATCCGCCGCTCCGAATTTCCACCCAGTTAATACCATCAACAGCTAAATCTTCGAAAAGTGTCTGATAAAACTTCCGTACGACAGGTTCGTATGCAATCATGGTATCAGTGGGACCAAAACAGGCCTGGAACCGTCTCCAGATCTCGTCAACGCCTAATTCGTGGCGGATAGAATCCTCCGGCAAGATGGTTGTCTTGCTCTTGATGAATTCAATGAAACCCGCTTTGCCACCTTCGAAATTGGCTGCGGCGGTTTTGACTGGGATTTCCGAATCAGGTATATAATCGGCAGTGTCAATTCTTGACTGATCGGTCGTAAGAGTGTCGTTATTATGAGCGAAAGTGATAGTGGCATTCTGCTGGGCCTCTTCGGTGTCAAGAGGCTGTGATGCGGACATTACCATGCCTTCCGTGTTGATGATGATTTCCATGATCTTTTCATATGGCAACATAGCGGACAAATGTGCGTGCAAGAGTGCACCCTTCGGCATACGCTTGACTACTCTCCAAAGGGTGGTATTGGAGATATACGGTCGAGCAAGAGGGAAAACTTCTCCTGCGAACCGTTCATCCTCGCCGTCCGGGCTACCGGCCACTCGCCAGTAATTGTCAATCTCATCCTGTCGAATTGCTTGAACAATCTCATCGGCCCGTTTGGCAGTTGGAGAGAGACTTTGCCGGAAGAAGTGATCTGCATTGACCGGTCAGTTCTTCTTGCTCGAACTAATTAGACAGAGATAGATTGTCAGAAACGAACCCTGTCGATGCGTCTTTTCCAACGCGATCAGTTTCTCGCGATTTCTGAGATGTTGTTGCACCAGCGAAGCATTGACATCTGGCTCTCCTTCAATTATTAATGCTGTTGAAATCCCCGACAGGGAAAGAGTAGCGATCCCGAATATTGAGAGTAGACGCATGATGGCTGGCTACCTGGGTCACCAGTACTCCGTCGAAGTGGACTCTTCCCATTGTATTTGTAGGGAACCGCTATGTATACACTCAGTCAGGCCTATGGTGGAGCTGAGCTCGGGGCCCCTTTAGGGTTGGTCTGGCATGGAGTCTTGCATGGTCCCACAGGCATACTCCAATGAACATTCTCGTTCCTGCAGATGATTATACAATACCAATATACTCCGCACGGAGTACGGATATGTCTGGTCAATTCAATTCGAAGCTAGCGACGCCATATGCTTAGATATCACACTGAGCCTACTGCACAATGTCATGTTAACGCCTGTAATCACATCGGCGGTTCAGATCACGATGATCAGTCTCGGGCATGATTCCTTGGCTACGGAGTGCTGGAGTACGGAGTAGTAGTCCCATATCTCTAAGATCGATCTACTTTTCTCCGTGTCTATTCAGTGGAATCAGTTTGATCTGTACCTACATAAATACCTACATAAAGAGAACGGCATCCCTTGCAGACTGCATCCCCCTCTATATCCCATGTTGCACCAGCAATATTCGGTGGTGGATCTCGGATTTCATAGGCTGAGGATTCCACAGACGCAACTTTGTGCAATGTGACCCCATTTTTACAAACTATTGACCCGGATACATAGTGTTCGGCCCGTATGAAGATCATTTGTTGATGAATTCCTATTTTCAGCCTAGCGCGTATTGCTGTCCTACATATTGACATTCTGCACGCTGAGGATGTGAGAACGGATTTGAATGGCTGACGTTGGAAGAGGAAGGAAAGAAAAGAAAAGAACAGCTGGAGCCATATTTCGTTAGACAGTTGACCAGTAATAGGTAAATTAAATAAAAAGAGTGTCGAGGCCCCTGCAGCAAATGTCATTTGCATCGGTTGCCGATCGGCCGTGGATGCCCAAGGGCTAGACTTAGCATCGCTAGCTTCCGTTGCGCTTGGCGACTGTGATTGGGCAGGTTTCAAAGGCTGCTGCTAGCTTGTTTATGGCAGTCTTCAGCTTGGACGAGTCAAACCGAGAACATCCGGAGCGCCGCCGACCCCTGAGCTCACCAACTGCAGCTCGTGCACGTTGGACCAATGAAGTTAAGGTGACATGCTGTGTAGCACACTTTCTATGACCTTGCATCGTGAAATTTGCATCGGGGAGCATGACGGAATACGTAGGTAGGTACTATGTTGTAAGGAGCAGATGGGATTCAAACTATCCACAAATCTACTAGCCGATCGCGTACAGTCCTCGTTGCCTCTGCACCCCTGAGTGGGCAAGGAAAGGGGAAATCAGATCATGCTTACGGAGTAGTGAGCAGTGCGATTGATTGGTAATGAACAGGCGAGTCAGAATGGGCACAATTCATATGAGCTATCACCGGCGAAGGCCGTATTACTCCGTATATATGTACATACATACATACATACATGTTACATAGTAGTAGATAGGACCAAGGCCCCCCTGGTTTGTAGCTTATATCAGAGTACTCCGTAGTGGGATTGGCAGTGAGGGGGGAAAGAGTCCAGATCCCAGTATTAGCTAGGTCTAGGTCGGATCAGAGTCCCTAGAGCCTTGATGAAAGCTATAAGGTAGAGTTCCATGAGGGAAAGCGTTGTATTAGGAAGAGAGAGACAGAGCTCCCGACTATTCTAGTCTACGAGGGTCGGTCCCTGAGGCACCAACCATTCACTGACTACTGTCTCAACAACCATGAAATGCAATCATGTAATCTAGAACAGCTAGTTAGATACGTATTCAGAAAGGTAGCTATGTGTACGGAGTAGTTGGGCTAACTACATGAAAAGAAGAGAGGGAAGAAACTACCTGGCTCATCCATGTAATACATCCACTATGATCATTCATAATCACACACACTGTGATGGTCCCCCAGCCACTCGAACTACATGCAACAAATACCTGTACATGCATTTTTCTTCCAGAGTTCCTACACCGGAACTGCATTCACTCTGTTTGTCAGCTTTGTGAGGTCATCGGAGGTGATTGCAACTTTAGGCTTTCTGTATCCCTCACGGTAAGGGATACGATCTTCTTCTATTACCTAGTCAGCATCAATATATTCCAATTTTATATTATTGAGCAAAAGCGCAGTTTGCAGGACATACCAAAGAAAGCCCGAACCCAGTTCTTTGGCGCTGCATCGGCTTTGCCATCCCACAGGGTCAGCAAGTAAAGGGCCGTTGTACCAGGACTGCCCATCACAGCAGTCGTGGGGGCATTGAAGCTAGGATTGACCCTCTTGGCTTCTGCCACGCGTGCCGCGCGAGCCTTAGCCGCCACCTCAACAGAGATGTACCGATTCTTCATAGAGCCTAGTGTGGTAAAGATCGAGGTCCTTAGCGACTCCCGCGCAGATATTAGCGTCAAAGTGCACATCTGATAGAGAGATGATCCTATACGACTACTCATAAGAAGGAGTGTGTTAGGACCGGCGTGCTAGCGGGTCCTAGCAGGTAATATAGAACTAGAGTGAAGGAATAGCAGGGTGCTAGTATATTTATAAACTAATCGCTAAAGAGCTAAGTTCCCCTAGCAGTCTCTATATAGATAACCTTTGGCGGGTCACGGGACTAGGTCACCTAACCCGGTAGGACTTAGTCTCCTTAGTGCGGTCTCTAGCGGGGGGTTATGCTACCCCTACTAGGTTACGGGTTCTAGGTCATAGGACTAGGCGGGATCTAGCCTATAAGGCACTCTCCTAGTAGAGGGTCGTAATATTTTCCCCCTCCTTAAAGAGTTACGTCCTCGTAGCTAAGGGTCGGGGGTCGAGGGTCTCTTATAGTTAAGGTAGGGAGGGTTTAAAAATAGTATATATATCTAGCTATCTAAAAGAGGGTAATTTGTCTTTATAGTAGAAGGTATAGCTAGACTCGGGGCTTTAAGCGTTATCTCTCTTCGTCGCGTATAATCTAAGTTCTTTATATATTTTTTACTTATCTCTCTTCGAGTTATAGCTTTCTTCTTCCTATACTTCCTTATCCTTTCGTTATAGCTTTTTTATCGTTTCGCTTTTCTTCTTATAGCTTTTTATTATCTTACTTTTCTTACTATAGGTTATTTCGACTTATTATAGTAGCTCCTTTTCCTTTAGTTATAAGTATAATATATATCTCTATTAATAATTACGTCTCTCCGGCTATTATCTCCTTTACTAACCCTATAAGTATATAGTATTAACGTTATATAGACTATCTTAAATATAATCTAAAGTATATATATATCCCTTTACCTAATAGGATTAACGTTAATACTTTTTAATATAACTATTATATAAGGAAATAGTAATCTTATATAATAGTAAATATAGATCTCTACTTATATTAATAGTTATTAACGTTTTTTAGATTAATTTTAGATTTAATACTTAAGCTAATATTTATATTTTAGCGCCTTATACTATCTTTATATAGAATATATTATTTTTTATAATTATATAAAGATTTTAAAGTATATAGAATACTTTAACTTAAGATATCTATATAAATATAGTTATATCTTTTAGTTCTTTTTATATTATACTCTTTTTATCTCTTTTACCTTTTTTACTTTTTTTAATATAGATTTTATTAATAAGTTAGATTATAGATTAGCTTTAAGTATTTTTTTAAACTAAGTTATATATATAATAATAAGAATATAGATATATCTTAGAGGTTACTTATCTAGTATAAGTAGTTATTATATTATACTCTTAAAGAGTATTAGCTATATTACTTTTTATTCTATTTTTTAGTAATAAACTTTTATATATCTTTATTATATATTTATAGTCTCTTTAAGATTTTTTTTATTTACTTTTTATTTTTACTAATATTCTAAATCCTCTCTTAACCTATCTATAGTATATATTAGTATAGTTAGTTATTTTCTAAGAGTCTATTTAATAGTTAGTTATTAGATTTAGTATTCTTAAGCTAACTCTAGTCCTTCTAACCTTCTTAGAATATATCTAGTAGTAGATCCTAGATTATATTAACTTTTTTCTTATAGATTTTCCTTAATATATTATATACTCTAGCTATTCTTTTTTTTATTATAGTAACTCTCGAATACTAATATATCTTCTATATTTTCTTTTAGCTCCTAAGTATTTTCCTTATATTTATATCCTCTCTATTTAATAAGGTATTTAGCGCCCTTATAGTTATTAGTAAGAATCTTTTTAATCTTCTATTTAGGTTAGTTATCTACTAATATAGGATTAGGCCGCTCTTAAGCTTTTAGCGGATCTCTATAATATAGCTCTAATATTAAAGTATATTATATAAGGTAGATCTTATAGTATCTTAGTATAAGGATTAGCTAATATACCTATTATCCTACTATATCTATTATCGCGAAGGATCCTATATAATAGTTATCTAGCTTTTTATATAATTATCCTAAGTTAATATACTTATTTCTTAGTATAATCTATTATCTAATTATAAAAGACTTCTCTATATATTTCTTATTATAGGCTTACTTTATTATAGTTTTTAACTTTTTTAGGCGCTTTCTTAGTATTTCTTATATCTTTAGTATTTCCTTTATATAGCTTTTAGTATTATTATAGGTTTCTATCTTTCTATCTAGTATTAATATTCTTAATTCTAGTTAGAATCCTAATAATACTTTAGCTAGGGATATTTTTAATATACTATAAATAGTAGTATTATAGATAATCTATATAAAGAGGATCTATCTTATCTAGTTATCTTAATACTAGCTTACTATATTATATAAGTAATACTTAATACTTATTAAGGTAACTATTTATTAAGATAGTACTTATTAACTAAGTAAATAATAATATAAGAGGGATATATAGTTAGAATAAAAAGTATATAATTCTATATTAGTTATAAGACTAAATCTTATCTTCTCTATCCCTATAGATATCTTCCTTTTATAATTTAGATTCCCCGCTTCTTAGGACCGGATTATATTAGTTCTATCCTAATATTATAGGGTAGTTAGAGGGGTCTCCTCTATCTAAGAGAAAGAGAGCCTAAGATAAAATAGTATAATAAAGAAATACTATAATAACTATCCCCCTTTCTCTATAAAACCTATCCTAGGGTTTTAGATTAAATAAAGGGAAGTATAAGTTATAAGGTAAGAAGGGTTCCTATTAAGTTTATCCCTTTCTCTATCTTCTAGAGTCTCTTTAATATAGCTATAGTAGTAACTAATAAGTAGGATACTAACGATCTAGTACTAGAACTAGAGCTAGTCTAATACCTAGGCTACTTATATTCTAATTTAAAGTCCTTTAATACTACTAAAGGGGAGGTTTTCTCTATCTTCTACTAGTATAATATAATTATATCTATCCTTTATAAGTAATATTATATAGATAAGAAGATTTATAATATAGTAAGTTTTTAAGCCTTTATTATAATAGATCTATACTTATTCTATATAGGTATCTATTAGTATAAAAAAGAATACTTAGGATTTTTCTATTATCTTAAAATTTTTAAAGGTTCTCTTAGATAATAAAATAGAGTTATTAAAGTAGATCTATATAGAAGTTACTAAAAGTTTATATAATTTAGTATAAATATTTAATATAATAATTATTAGTTATTATTTATATTAGAATTTAGTAAATATAAAGAAAATATAAACTATAAATATTTTATAACTATTTTATTAATAATTTACTATCTAATAATAGTCTAGTTATTTTAGGTAAGTTATAATAAATTTATAAATAGTTATTAGATAGATATATAGACTATACTTAATAGTTATAGTTTAACTTAGTTAGATTAGGGTAGACTTTTAAGTCTACTCCTTAGGGATATAAGATATACTTACTAGACTATTATAAAATAAAGGTATTTAGAGTCCGTTTCTAATACTTTTATAACTATATTTAGGGAAACTATAGAAACGATCTTACTTAATACTTTTAGGATTAATAAGTATATAAGGTTTATAATTTATTCTCTTTAGTAAAAGAAAGATACTATATATATAGTTCCTTTCTTATAATAAAGGTAGTCTAAAATAAAAGAGGAACTTATTTTAATTTTCTAACTATAATCTTTCTTTCTTTATATTATTTCGTTATTATTTATATATAGTTCCTTATATATTTTATAAGCGATCCTTTTATATTCTATTATCTTATTTTTTATAAATCTTATTTATTTCTATAGATACCTTTTTTTATTATAGTATAAGATTATAACTATAGTTATAATTATAATTATAATTAGAGTTATAGTATAATTCCTATTAACGATTTACTTATAGATTAGTTTATACTCTTTTCTCTTTTAGCTACTTCTAAAGTAGTATCTAAGATTTATAACCCTTCTAATATTAATCTACTATTAACTCTTCCTTAAATAAGTCCTATTAGAATTACTTATTATATTTAAAATTTTAATTCTTTTATATACTTAAAATAAAATTATCCTATCTAATATCGCCTAAATTAGTATATTATCTATTTATATATAGCTAAGAAGAAGTAGGTTACCGATAAATCTCTTAAGATTAAATATAAATCTAAGACTATTAGTTCTATTTCTTACTAATATTATATAGAGAAATAATAAATATATAACTTAGTATAGATTCGTTTATCTTTCTTATTAGTATTAGACTCTAATTATATAAATTCTAAGTAATATTACTAATAATACTATAAATCTAATCTTAATTATTAAATAGTCTACCTAATTTTTTAAAAAGTTAAAGGATTACTCTAACTATATAGAATAAAATAAGGTTAATAGATCCTAATTTTTTTATAAATCTACTATCTAGGCTATTATTAAAAATAAGATCTATAAGTTAATCTCTAACCTTTAAGTATTAATCTATAGTTACTAAGCTATTTATAGTTTCCTCTTATCTTAAAAAAAGACTCCTATTATAAGTATTACTTTCTTCTTTTTAGGTATATTTCTCTAATAAATTAGTAGGATATCGCTAACGCTTATAAACGGTTTCTCTCTTCTTAAGGTCTAACCTCTTTATCTCGCCTTAGTCTTTTAACTATATTAGCTAAGCGGAAGGCCTATAACGTTTTTATTTACTATTTTATCTACTATAAGGATTTAGGTTATACCTTATAAAATACCGCGAAATATTTATTTATTAAGGATCTAATAATAGCGATTATTATAAGTAGTTATAATATTAATATAAGCCCTATATAATAATCGTAGATAAGAAACTAAGTTACGTGACTATAGCTATCGTAGAGTAGGTCCGAGGTTTATAAGGTTTATAACTTAAAGACTCTCTAAAACTCAGCGATAGTAAGTTTTCCTTTTCCTCTTTTCCTTTCTTTCTCTATCTTAGTA